TTAGTATAGTTATATAATTATTTTTTTTAGCGCGTCAAAAATCATTTAAAAAATAATTATAATAATAAAATAATCAAAAATACCTTTTTTTTTAAATTATTATATTTAATTTCATCCAAAGCGTTACTTTAATTATATAAAACACTCACATCACATATCCTTTTTTTATATATATATAATTAAAATTTTATCTTATTTTATTTATATATATTTAATTTTTTAAAAAACTATTATATTTTCTTAAAAATTTTATTTAAAAAAAATATAATATTCTTCATTGTTTACTTTTTTATAATTTTCTTTATTAGTAAGTATCATTTAAAAATCATAGTTTAATAAAATATTGTTCAATTTAATATATAGATATATAAATTGTTATTTGGATAAATTTAGGTTTTTTTTTTTTTTTTCAAAAAATAAAATAAAATAAATTTTAAATAAAATAAAATATATTTGAAAAAAAAAAAGTTGACCTACTTTTTTTTTTCTAGAAATTTTTTTTTATTTTTTATTTTTTATTTTTTAAAAAAAATTGCCGAAAAAAAAAAAATTTGTTTTTCATACAAATATATAATTTTAAATATTTTCTTTTTTTTTTTTCATTAAACTAATTTTTATTCTTTTTTAAATAAAATGAATCAAATAAAATTAGTAAATACTATAATTAAAGAAACTGTTAATAAAAGTACTTCAATTTTAAAATCAACAAGTAAAAATTATAATACTAGTTATTTCAAAGGAAATTTAACTGGTAACACAAGTAGTTTTACTTATCCAACTCAATTTAAATCTTCAACAGTTTTTTGCAACAAACCATATCAAACCGTAGTAGGAGTTTTAATTACCCCAGGTTTTTTAGTTCAAACATCAAATTTTGATAATTTTAATATCAATCAATTAAAATCATATTGTACCAATACAAAAACAACAACCACAACAACAAATACAATGATCGATACAATGACAATGCAAGACGTAGATGCTAGTGGCTGCTTCAACTTCAGCCACAGTTGTTGAAGACTGCCTTAGTACAACCATTGGTGCTACCACAATTTCAGATAATACCAATATTGTAGACCAAGCCATGGAAGAGCAAACTATACAAGATAGAAAGTCAATAGATAATATAGATATAAATAATGAAAACAATAATATAGAAGATATAAATAAATTTAATACATACAATAATAATAATAATATAGATAATAATACATCAGAAGATGAAATAAATATAAATAATGTAAATAATAATAATAATGAAAATATAAATTATAATGAAGAAGAATTCCATTTACATTCAGGTATTTGCGTAATTCCACATCCAAATAAAAGACATAAGGGTGGTGAAGATGCCCATTTTATTAGTGTTGACCGTCGTGTCATCGGTGTTGCCGATGGTGTTGGAGGTTGGGGCGATGTTGGTATTGATCCATCAGAATATTCAAATACTTTAATGGAAGGTTCAAAAATCGCTTCAGACTCCATTCAATGCGAACGTGACCCATTAATAATTATGGAACAAGGTTACCAATATTCACAAGATGTTAAAGGAAGTAGTACCTGTTGCATCGTAGTTTTAGGAGGTAAAACTCTTTTATCCGCCAATTTAGGTGATAGTGGCTTTTTAGTCGTCAGAAATGGTGAAGTTATTTTTAGAACTCGTGAACAACAACACGCTTTTAATATGCCATTCCAATTAGGTACTCAATCAGTTGATCGTCCAATCAACTCTGTTACTGCTAGTTTCCCAGTCGAAAAAGGTGATCTTATTGTTATGGGTACCGATGGTGTTTTTGATAATTTATTTGACGACGAAATCGTTGAAATCGGCGAAAAAAGTAAAGAACCACAAACTATTGCTCGTTCAATCGCCAAAAGAGCTTTCGAAGTCGGCTGCTCAACTACAATTTACACTCCTTTCGCTAAAAACGCTGGTCATAATGGTTATATTTATAATGGTGGAAAGTTAGATGATATCACCGTCATCGTTAGTATCGTTCAAGATGGTCCAATTCAACCAATCAAAACCGATTTATTACTCTTAGATGAACAAGTTAAAAGTGATTATGAATAAAATATTTAATTTTTATATATATATATATTTAATAATAAAAAACCATTTAAAAAAAAATTATAAAATTAAAAATACTTAAAAAAAAAAAATACACCCGCCTTTTATTTATTTCTTTCTTTCTAAAAAACATTTTTTATTGAAATATAAATATTTTTATTTTAAAAAAAGATAAATAAAATTTGTTCAATAAGTTATAAAATACAATGATGGTAATACGAATATTTCTTTTTAAAAAAAATAAATTTATTTAAAAGTTTTTTGCTGTTTTTAATAATTTTTATGTACACAAAGAAAAAAAACAATCAAATTCATTATTAAAAGATTGTTTTTTTCTTTTTTTTTTTTTTTTTTACTTTTCGACCAATTCTTTCCACTGAGAATCACTGTCTAATTCAAAGTGACGATCAAATGAGGCGCCCAACAATAATAAAATTGAATCATCAATATTTAAAACACTTGCGATGGTAACCAATTGATAGTTTTCTCTTTTGTTCATATAGTCATCAGGTTCATCACCTTCAAAAATTCTCCAACCTGAATCATTTGTGAATGTTGGCTTTTCTCTGAAAATATACCCAATGTTTTCTTTGTCGACAAGAATACGATTACTGACTAAACATAATTGATCAAACATTTGTTTAATTGCCAATGGCACAGTTTCGAGATCTGGGTGATTGTATTGGTTGTTTTGATTGTAGATGCAAAGGATATTGTAGTCAAAAAACTCGACTTTGTCACCAAGTTTTAATGATTTCAATTGGTATGGGTTATTATCTAATACACCTTCAAATTTAATAAAAGTATTGTTATTATTGAGATTGGTATTGATTAAATTTGAGCTGGAGAGACCACCACTTTTATTAATGTTACTTGTGCGATTATTTAAATTGATACTACTGTCAAGACCGCCATTGGTACTGTTGGTTGGGCTACCATTACTCTTGTTTGAGGATTGACTATTTACAAGTTTGTTTTTTTCATCTTTGTGGGTACTAGACTCTCCACTACTACCCTCATCAAAGTCACTATCATGGAAATTGGTTGAATTGCCACCAGTTGCTTCACTATGGAATATTTCATCACTTGTATAAATATCTGTTACCTCAACCCACATTCTTTCGGCTTGATTATTTTCACTAAAGATTAATTTTACCAAGTCACCTTGCTTTAAATTTAAAATTTGTTCTTTGCTGGGCAATGAAAATGTATATTTGAAATCATTACCCCTAAGTACTTTAAAAAAAAAAAAAAAAAAAAAATTAATATTTGAAATTTCATTTTTTTTTTTTTTTCCTAAATTTAAAACATACCAACATTGTCTATAGAATATCCAGGATGCCCTCCATTTAAATTGAGACTATTCATTATTTAATAAATAAATAAATAAATATATTATTATTATAAATTATTGTTATAGTTTTTATAAAAATACAAATATATAGATATATTTAAGTTGTATAAATATATAAATATAGAAATAAATATAAATAAATTATTATATAAATGTTAAAAAAAAAAAATAATTGTTATTAGGTTTTATTTTTTTAAAAAAAATATTATTATCAAAAATTGAAATTTTGTTTTTTTTTAAAAAAAATTTTTATTAAAATTAAATATTATTATTTTTTATTTTTTGCCAATATTTTTTATTTTTATTTTTTTTTTGGGTTATTTCCTTTAAAAAAAATATAGACCCCAACCCTTTTTATGTTTAGTTGTAAGTTGTAGTTTGTTTTTTGTTTTTTAAGGGAAATCCCTTTTTAAAAAAAAAAAAAAAAAAAAAAAAAAAAAAAAAAATTATTTTATTATAAAAAAAATAAAAATAAAAATAAAATAAAATTTTAAAATAAAAAATAAAAATAAAAAAAAAATAAAATTTCAAAAAAAAAATATTTTATTGCAGTATAAATAAGATTATTATAATAATTTAAATATTAGAGATAAAAATTTAAATGAATTTTAATTCTTTACTATAATACACACCATATGATATTTTTAAATATTATAATACGCTTTATTTTTAATGTGAATAAAAAAATATATATATAAAATAATTTGTGTGTATGTGATAATATTTTCGACGTCATAATAATTATTTTAATTTATTCGTTTAAAATAAAAAATGATTTATTAAATTTATATGTTTAATATGAAAAAAATAAAATTTAAATTAAATATATTAAAATTATATAAATTAAATAAATACCGATTATGGCTAAAATTTTATTATAACCACTCATATGAGTTCATTAGTTTTTGAAAAGTTACAAATTGTCAAACCAATTTAACTTAACAACTGATTCAATGAGATGCCCAGAAAATAGTGTGTATCTAAAAAAATTAATTAATAAATGGATTTACTAGCTTCAAATTTTAAATTTTAACTTTTAATTTATTTTTGTTTAATTTTAAATGGAATAATTCCAGTTTTAATATTAAAATCATTTTTAAAAAATAAACAATAAAGATTTTAATTTTTAATTTTTTATTTAATTTATAAATTAAAAATTAAATATTAATTTTATTTATATATATATTCTTTTATATAAAAGAATTAGTAAGATTAAAAATTATTAAAGATATGAAATAGTTGATTTTAAAAAAACAAAACAAGAAAAAAATAAATTATAATTATTAATTTTTATACAAGTTGGGGGGAGGGAATCTATTATTAAATCATATTTAAAGTGTTAACTATTTTAAGATTTCTTTGTCCCAACTGTCTTAAATTATTTCTTTTTTTATTTTTTTATTTTATTTTTTTTAATTTTTTTAATTTTTTTTTTTTATTTTTTTTATTTTTTATTTTTTAATTTTTTCAAAAATTGTTTTTTGCCTCCATAACCAATATTTGTTAAATAATATTATTATTATATGCTCTTTTGTAAAGTTTATTATTGTATTTGTTATTTATTAATGAAATAGTTAATTATAGGTTTTTTATTTTTTTTTTATTTAAATTAAAAAAAACAAAATAAATAAAACTGTATTGTATATTAAAAAAAAGAATCTTTTAGTTTTATATATATAAAATTAAGATGCTTGGTACAAGAAAAAGGTCAAGCCCACCATTATTTAATGATAATAGTGGGGTACCAAATAGCAACAATAATAGCAATGGATATATTTCACCACCATCACCATTATCACCAAAACAAACAAATCAATTTTTATTTAATAGTGGCTTAGATTATAATAATTATAATGGTGGTAGTAATAATAACAATGGTTTTACAAAATATCAACCACAAACAACCTCATTTGTAAATAATAGATTAAATCAATTTTCATTAGTTTCAGATTCTGAACAATATTATGATAATCAACAACAAGCTTCATCATCAACATCTTCGTCACCGACATCACTTACATCACCAAATTTATTACCTCCGTTAAACTACCAAACTTATCAATACATTGACGAAAATGATAATTCAAATATTAATAACAACCACACCAATAACAATAATTTTAAAACAAAAAATAAAAGTAATATTAAGAAAAATAATAAGAAATCAAAAGTTAAAAGACATATAAATTTTAAATTAGATGACGGAGTCGAACAACAAAATCAAAATCAAAATCAAAATCAACACTCACCATCGCCAACACAAATAAATAGTAATGATGATGATGAGTTTTATGAAACAAATACCGATTTTGGTTATTTAAATGTATCAACTAAAGAAGATTTGCTAGTTTGTTTAAATGTTTTAAAAAAAGAAATGGGCCAATTTAAAAATTTATCACACAATTTATTATCAAGATTAAATACATTGGAAAGGGGTATTGGTCAAGAAAAACAATTAAGATTAAATGGTGATACTAGTATTAATGGTCATAGTAGAAGTGGTTCAGATCAAGATTCATTCGAAAATAATCAATTATATTCACCAAATTTCTTATTACCACAAAATTCATCTAATAATAATGTAACAACTATTCAACAAGAAATTTTAATATCTACATGTTTACTAGAAATTCAAAAGATAATTGAAAAACAAAGAACTTATGACAGTTTATTAGCTCAAAGAGAAAAGTATTGGGATATCGAGTTAAATAAATTAACAATGCAAATTTTAAATAAATTAAATAACGGTCAGCATCTGCACGAGCATCCACATCACCACCATCACCAAAACCATTTATTAAATTCACCCAATTCATCAGAATTACAAACATTTCACCATGATCAAGAGTTTTACCCCAACAATAATGGTAGTGTTTTAAATGATGAAATGTTTGACTCATATACTGCATTAAATAATATTAATAATAGTATCGTTAGAAATAACTCTAGCAGTAATTTAAGTGAATCAAATAATAGTAATAATGGTCAAATTGCTAGTAGTAATAATAACGTTGGTTTAAAGAAAAGAGTATATAACTCTTTTAAAAGTGCTTATGTTTATTTATTTGGTACCAAAAAGACCATTACATTTTGGAAGAAAGCTATTATAATTGGAGTAATAGTTGTATTATGGCCATTAGTCGCAAATTTAGTTTATAAATTAATAATGTATATTGTAAATAAAAGAAGATTAGCAAAACAATCAAAACAATTAATTACAAATAATTTACCAACAGTACCTAAATTATCATCAACTTTAAAACCATTAAAATCATTAGCTATAAACAATAGTAATAATAGCAATAATAGTGGTAGTATTGCCAATAGTGCTACCAGTTTAATATCTTCAGCATCATCATTAGCACAATCCAATAATAATAATAGTAATAATAACAATATTGTTAATAATAATGTATTTAAAAAAATAAAATCTTCAATTCTATCAAGTAAAAAAGGAGGGGATCTTTTAAACAGCAATTCATCAAATAATAGTCAAATAAGAGCCCCAGATATTGTTAAGGCATTTATTCAAGGTGTTAGCACAGGGGATGGGGGTAGTACAAATAATAGTTTAACTTCATTAACCAATACACTGGGTAATTTAAATCCTGCAGCTTCAATTGGTGGTAGTATTGGCTCGAATAGCAGTGGCAGTGGCAGTGGTAATAGCATTGTTAGTAATACTAGTAGTTTATTAAGTAACGGTTTAAATAGCTTAACTTCATCTGCAGTCTCATCATCATTTTCACCAAGTTCAACTTCATTAGCATCAATGATTATACCAAATTCTACAATTTTAGAGAATAATAACAATAGTAACAACATTAGTAACATTAGTAATTCAGCAACTAATGCTATTAGAAATGGTTTGAATAGGGTATCTTTAAATAATAACTCTAATAATAATACCACACATAATGAAGGACTTGAAGGAAATATGATAAAAATTGTTAGAAATTTACTCAGTCAAAGATAAAAATAAAATAAAAAAAAAATTATGAAAAAAAAAAAAAAAGGTATTTGTTTAATATATTTTTTAATTTTTATTTGTTTCATTATTTAAATCAGATGTTGTGGTTGAAGTTGCGGGAGATGTAATTTTATCACTTGAGTTACTTATATTATTATTATTACTATTGGTACTACTATTTAAACTATTTGAACTATTTGAACCATTTTCAAATTCTTCCAACTCTTCTTCAAGCATTTTCTGTTGATCAATAAACCAGACTGGTAATCTGTTTGGCAGTGTTACTAAATCTACATCAAAAAGTTCAATAAATTGTTCGTTTACATATCTAGTATTTGATTGACCACTAAATGCTTTATACTCCACTAAAATTGATGTAAGATTCCAATTTTGTAATCTTCTTAAACACCCCACTAAGACACCAGTTTGATGAACACCCGATCTATATTAATAAATGGGGGGTTAAATAATTTTATAAATTTTTTTTTTTTTGGTTAATAGTTTGAGATAGTTACGTGCAAGTAATCATTAATGGATAATAATCATAGTTTAATACAATTTCTAAACATTCTTTGATTAATTCATCTGTTAGAGGTTTCCAATTAGAATCTACTTTCCATGATTTTAAACCTAAATGAATCTATAGAATTAGAAATTGAAAAGTATGGTTAATATTTTGATTGGTAATTGTGCAGGTTTTGTTTTTAATATATTTACTAAATTGATATTATTCTCTTGAAAAAAACTTGATACCGCTTTAATTGGAACCTCTGGTGATAATTGTACAACTGTCTTTAAACCTAATAATTTTATAAATGGGAAGTTTGCTGGATATAATGAATTGGTTCTATAAAGCTGTGGTTCAATCGTTCCAAATATTGCAGGTGGTGATAATTGTGGGGGACCACTTTGAATTAATAAATTTATTTGTTGTTCTTGGTGTTGTTTTTTCTTTTGTTGTTCTTTTTGTTGTAGTTGTTGTAGTTGTAATGTATTTTGCTGTATTGGTTGTTGATCTTTTTGGTCTTTTTGTTGTGTAGATGGCTGATCCTTTTGCTGTTGTTGTTGTTGTTGTTGTGATGATGATTGTTGTATTGTTACAGATGATTGATTTAAATTTAATTGTTGTGGAATAATCTGTGATGGTTGCCCTGTTTTCTGTTTTGATGGTGTTAGGGGAACTTTTATTGATGCTTTTAAATTATCATTTTCGCTATTGTCTGTATTCATTTTAAAACAATTTAGTTTTTCATATATATATTATAAATAGGTAGAAGTATGAGTAGGATATCTAATTGATAAAAATAAAAAGTATTGTGATGATTTGTTAAATTTTAAAATTAATAATATGATTTTTTAAAAAAAAAAATTTTAAAAAAAAAATTTTAAAAAAAAAATAAAAAAATTAATTTAAAAAATTATTTGTAAATAGTTTTTTATGGTAATAATTGATGGTTTCACCCAATGTTGATTTTTAAAAAAAATAATAAATGTATACAATTGTTACAAATGATAGGTCAAAAAAAAAAAAAAAGAAAAAAAAAAAACACTTTTTTTTGGTAAAAAATAAAAATTAAAAAAAAAAAAAAAGATCTGTTTAATTAATTTATACAATTATGCTTTGCAATATTTTTTTATTTATTTATATTATTATATACAGTTATTTTTTAGAACTTCCAAAGTTTGTTGGTAATCCTAAAGAAGAGTAGTCAAACTCGTCCTCTTCATACTCTACTTTTGGTTTTTCTTTTTCTTTTTCTTTTTCTTGATCTTGATTTTTTTCCTTTTCTTTATCCTCAATATCATTTTTATTATCTTCTTTGGTTTCATCTTTTTTACCTTCTAGTTTTTCTTTTTCTTCTAAATCTTTATAAATTTTTTCATATTCTTTTTCAGTGTTTTTATTTTTTCCAACAATGGTTTGGTTTGATTTTGCTAGTTTATCTTCTTTAGCTTTTTTAAGTTTATTTTGAACTTGTGATAAGGTTGAACTTTGCACTCTCATTGAAACACCTTTTAACCTGTTATCTATGGGTATTAAATAATAAATAATAAAAAATTAATATTTTAAAATTATAAAGCAATAAAAAAAGGAAACTTACGTCTTTTACTGTTTTCATGATCTAATGCAGAGTTTGAATCTTTAAAATGCATGTCACAGGTTTCACAATAAAAACCACCTTGTTTATCGCCTGGAGTGACACCTTTAATATATGTTGCTTTACCGACTTTAGTTGATAGGTTTAAATCTTTATCTCTTGCTTTAAAAAATTCTAATGGTTTGTCAGTGGGCAAGTCATATCTAATTTTCTTTTTATTTTTATCAGCCTCCTCTTCGTCCACTATTAAACCAGCTTCCCTATCCTTGACCTTTTGTTTATATTCCTCATCATCCCATTTCCTTCTTAATGGTGTGTTACTTTCTTCTTTTTTTTTATTCATTATTTATGAAATCTTAAAATAAATTAAAAATAAAAAATTTAAAATTAAAATTAAAAAAAAAAAAAAAACGAAAAAAATTAAAAAAAAAATAAAAAAATATTTTTTTTTTATATATATTTTATTTTAAAATAATAAAATAATTTTTAACCCAAATAAATAAATGAAAAAAAAACAATTAAAAGAATTAATTCAAGATACATTATCACCAGCTTCATATGAATTTTGGGACGATTTTTATGAAGATGGACTGGGTAAGGGCGAACAGTACGAATGGTACATCCACTATAATCAATTAAAGAACCATCTATTGGAATTGGTCAAGGATAAAGATAGATTATTGCACATCGGATGTGGCAACAGCTTTTTAGCGGAGGATTTAATAGAGGACACAGAATCAATACACATCGAAATACTAAACATCGATGTATGTGACAATGCCATCGAAAGAATGGTCGAAAGAAATCAAAAAATAACTAATCAACGTGTAAAAAATAGTTTAATTTATAAAGTTGCCGATGCCACCCAAATGGTCGATATCAAAGATGGCCATTTCAACGGTGTAATCGATAAAGGCACTGCTGATGCATTACTCTCAACATTGGAGTTGGAAACTGGTGAAAACGAAATGGTAAAATTATTATTGCGTGAAATGTATCGTGTATTAAATAAAGAGAATGGTTGGTTTATCTGTGTATCCAGGAACACTTGTTTAGAGCCTTATTTTTATCAAGATGACCAAGCAGAATGGGATTTAAAAAAAATAGATTTAACAACCAATTCATCAAAAGGAAAAGGAATCCAACAGGTAAATTATATATATTTAGCAAAACCTTTACAATTATCAAACGATTAAAAATAAAATAAAATAAAATAAAATAAAATAAAATAAAATAAAATAAAATAAAATAAAATAAAATAAAATAAAATAATATTGTATAAAACATTCTTTTTTAAAAAAAAAACAAAAAACAAAAAAGGTTTTTTAAAAATTTTTTATAAATTATGAATTTGTATTAAATATTTTGAATTTATCTTTATTCTTTCATTCTTTATTATAATACCATTTCAACTCATATTTTTAATTTGATAGATCAAAATGATTTATCAATGCACGTGTACTTGTAATTTAAAATTCTTTTTTTTTCTAAAAGTGTGTGTGGTTAATTATAAAATAGGGGGGGGAAATTTTTTTTATTTTAATGAATTTCATTTGAATACAATGTCTTTATATAAAAATGCCAAGTTTTTACCAGTACTAATTTAATAATTTCGATATCGAATCGCAAGTAAAGATTTAATTATATATATATAGTAAAAATGTTTACTTGAATATTTTATTCTGATTTCCATAAAATACCAATTTGGCTTTTTTAAAAAAAATATTAATATTAAACATGCAGGTTCCACGTGACATCGTCAAAAAATCTACCAAGTTGTAAAATTAAAAATTAAAAATTGATATTTTTCATATTTTAAAATTTTATAAAATACAATATTCTAAAATTTTATTTTTCTATAAATTGAAAAAAAAATTTTTTTTTATTCATTTTAAATATTATTAAACAATTAAAACAAATATAAAAAAATGGTTGAATTCAAAGTTAAAGTTGGTACTCTTACCCATGGTGTTGTAACCGTTTCAGTTAGTTCAGAAGATACTATTGCATCTTTAAAAGATAGATTAGTTGGCCCAACTGGTGCCCCAATCGATCAACAAATCATTCTTTTGAATGGGTCGCTTTAGCCAATGACAAAACCTTAGGTTTCTACAAGATCAATGCTAATACTAACCTTATACAAACAATTCGTTTAAGAGGTGGTTAAAAACTTAAATTTTCAAATTATTTTTAAAAAAAAATAATTATAAACAAAATTTTGGTTGATAAAATAAAAAAAACAAACATTGTTTGTTAATTCCAAAATAAGAATTTATTTTTAAAAGAGTATTTTAATTATTGTGTTTAAATATAATTTTTTATATTTATTAAATCCAATTTCTTTGGATTTAATTTTATTTTTTTGGAATTTTGTGTGGGTCAAATAAATTTTTTTTAATTTTTTTTATTTTTTATTTTTTTTATTTTTTATTTTTTTTATTTTGCATAACAATGAGCAATAAAAAAAAAGATAATCACAAATTAAAAAAAAAAGAACCCAATAATAAAGATAATAATATTAATTTATGTAATAATATTAACAATAATTTTAATAATAATAATGATGATGATAATCATAATCAATTAAATAATTTGTTATTTTATAAAATTTGGCACTCATTATATTTAAGATCTTTAATTTTAGAAAAATTAAAGATATATAACATTTATCAGCATACAAGAAAATTTGAATCATTTGAGCTGTTTTTAAATCAAAGATACAATACATATATCGAAAGAGTTGAATTCAAAGTCAAAGATAATGATTGCTTAAATATTATAGAAAAGTTAAATCAACACAGCCATTTTAATATTAAAAAAATAAACTTTGTTGGCAATGTAGAGCAAGATATAATCATACCCAGCACTTCAACAATAACAAGTTTAAGTATATCAAATTTTACAAAAGAAACCTATGACTCTATATTAGTTTTATCAAATAATATAAAGAAATTTAAATTTGGAAATTTATATAATAAATTTATAATTAATTCAATTAATAATATTACCAGCAACACTAAATATAATAATAATAATAATAATAATAATAATAATAATAATAATAATAATAACAGTTCATTTTTAAACAGTTTAAAAGAATCATCAATTGAAAAGTTAACTTTTAATTCATTCAATTTCAGCAATTGCGAATTTTTACCAAAGCAACTCAAGAAACTTAAAACCAAAACTTATTTTTTAGGACCAGATTTAATATTTCCACAATCACTTACATATCTAGATATAACTCTAAATGAATTGGATGTCCAGTTGCCCAATACCCTAAAAACATTAATAATTTCAGCAAGTAGAGTTGGCGAAGGAACTCTACCCGAATCATTAGATCATTTGTTTATTGACACATGGGAGCTTAACCACGAAATAATACCTCAGCAACTAAAAAGCCTTGTCATAGGTGGTTTGTTCGACTCTCCTCTTGTAGATTCCAATGGAATATCAATGATACCTAAATCATTAGAATCATTAACGTTCAGTTCACTTCATGTTATTGGTAGACCTAGCAGACCAGGGTTCAATCAAACTATTGGAAGAAAAGATTTAGCAAATTGTAACAAGTTAAAAACTTTAATATTTAATTGTGATTTCGATCAACAGTTGCACCCATCAACTTTACCAAACAGCATCACCGAGTTAAGGTTTACCGAATTTGATAATGGTGGTTTCCAAATGACCCAAAGGTTCTTATTTCCATCATCCTTAACATCTCTTGACCTAGGTTTAAGATTTAATCAAAAAATTGGTGTAGATACACTGCCAAAAACAGGCAAATTAAAGAAACTATGTTTAGGTGAATTTTATAATCAAAAGTTTTTAGACAAATCTTTACCAGATAGTTTGACTGAAATCGAAATTTTAAATCAAAATTTTAGACACCCAATACCAATTAATTTTAGTAACACAACAATCAAATGCAATTATAATTTAAAAAAAATCAAATCATTCTCACCAGATAATTTAACATCAATAAAACTATCAGAGTGCAAAAGAAATCTCAATTTTAGTGATGACCAAGAAAACATTAATAATAACCATAATGATAATAACAATAATAATGATAATAACAATAGCCCATCAAGCAATATAATAAAAACTACACAACCATCACTTAAAAATAAAAAATCATTACATTATTTAGAATTTGGTGGAACTTTTAATCAAACTATATCAATCGAAGATTTACCAAAAAACAATATAATTAAAACTCTAGTTTTAGGTAAATATTTTAACCAAGATATTAATCTCGAAGATTTTAAAAATTTAGAAGAATTAATAGTATATGGTAACCCAACAATCAATCCTGCAGTTACAACCAAAACAAATAGTCTGGATCAATTAGAAAACCAATACAGCTTTTTTAACCTCAAATATATCAAAACTCCTTTAAACAATGATTTATTTTTGGATAATTTAAATCCAATGTTTTATAAATTTTTATTTTTATTAAAAAAAAATAAAAAAAATAAAATTTAAATGTAACTATTTATTTATTATTTATAATGTTATTTGGTATTTTTCTGTAATAAAGAAATAAGTTGAACCCAAGATCATTCCATTGGCATCAGTAACAATAACTTCTGGTAAGAAATGGCTTAAACCACAGTATTCTGTAGCCCCTCTTTGTGCATTTACAATATTTTTAAAATCTTTGATGTTTCTGATAATGATAATAATTATTACATGGTCTAGTACCTTTATAATTACAATATCACTGTTTGGATCTTTTGGGGCATAGTATTCGAATCCAATTTTGTTCTTTCTTGTGTTAAAGCTTAAGGAACCCCATTTTGATGGTAAATATGTTTTAAGAATTTTATTTTCTTCAGTAACACTTAAATATTGAACAGAACCATCACCGGTTTTATAACGTTTTGTAATGAATGAATTAGAATCAGAAACTCTTGCTGCCACTACTTGTGTTATCTGTTGTATTCTTGAAAACTATCAAACTGAAGGTGGTATTACTGTCCCAGAACCACTTAGACCATTTTTAGGTAATTGTTTTAAATATACATTTAAAAAAAGAAAAAAACATATTAATTTTATTAAATTCTCTATCATATTAACAGGCAAAGACTTTATTCCATTCGTCAAATCAAAAACAAAGCAAAAGAAATAAAGATCTGAAAATCCCAAAATAAATAATAACCAATATAATCTTTAAATTAAATGATTTTATATTAAATAGAACCTTTTTTTTTTTTTTGCCACATCCCAAAAATATACCAACTATCTTGTCAATCTAATGATCATTGCTATTTTTTATAATAAAATTTTGCAATAATTTAATAAAGATATTAAATGTAAAAAATCTCACAAATATCAAAAAATAAGCATATCGAACTTATTTTTTAAAACTTAAACTGTGGGTTTTTGTTTTTTAAAAAAAAATTTTCTATAAAAAATTTTTTTTTATCATTAATCAATCCACAACAATAACAAAAACAAACATATATATATAAATAAATAAATAAATAATTATTTGTAAAAAAAAAAAAAATGAAATTAATTTTATTATTACTCTCAATTATTTTTGTTTCCGTTGCTAAAGCTAGTATTACTGTCAAATATGGAACATGTCTTGGAGTATGCTATTGCCCTGCAAAATACATTGAAAATGGAAAGTACAAGGATTTAGATGAAGTTACTATCCCAGATTATCCAAATTATTTAAATCTAAATATGTATTTAAATGTCACCTATAAACCATCTAAAAAAGTAATTGAATTTGTTAAAATTCATGACAAAACTCCATATCACACAGAGTTAGCATATCCAATTGACGAAGATGATAACAGCTATAATGTTACTCAATGTGCCTACATTTTATCATCTAGATTCCACTCAACTCGGGAAGAAACATGCTATTACGAATTTATGTGCAATGCTGATGGCTCTTCATCATCATCAAAGTTGGTATTTAACTATTTTGCTTTTGCAAGTTTATTAGTATTATTTGTTTTATTTATTTAAAAAAAAAATATAAATAAAATAAAAAAAAATTTAAATAAAATTTTTTAAAGAAATTATAACTTTATTTTTATGTATTTAATAAAATATTTAAAAATACATTTAACAAATTGTTTTTTAGAAAATTAAAAAATACAATATCGAAGTACTTAATGCTTATTTAATTGGTATTAAAAGTAATCATTTTAATCACAAAGTAGCCTCTAAAGCCCATGTTGACTTTTCGCATACTGAAATTGTTAATAACATTTTCTTAAGCAATTTTTAACCGATACAAGTATTCAAATGATTGGTATGTACACTCTCATGGCCAGTTCTCATCTTCTCTATATTACTGATTTAGTTTTAAATGGTGATTGGAAGCATATAATTTAAGTCAATTAGAAATTATGATTTTTTCACTGTATTAAGAAATCATTATAAACAAAACATTGATAAATTTGACGATTATATCTCTAAACAAAATATTAAAAATGCTGACGAATGGAGCAAAAGAAATGAATTTTATGATTATATGATTTCAAATCATTTATTATGTTTCACACCCACAGTTATTGGACATTAAATCCACTTTTTATTAAAAACTAGAATTCTTCTTTAGTAACCTGAATGAAATAATATCGCTGTGTGGTATTTTGTAAAAATATCTAATTTATGGACATAATATATTATAAACAAAAAACTATCAGATACTGATATTTTAAAAAATGATTGAACATATATGGTAAGTTTTAATTTTTGATTAAACATATCCATAATTTTTCTTTTTTTTTTTTTTTTTATGTGATAAAATTTTAAAAATTACCAAGTTTTTTATGTGGGGTTTATGAAATTTGTGTGGTAAATATGGTGTGTGGGTTTCGAAAAGTGTGGTGCGATAATTAAAAAATAAATTTCTTTGATTTCTTTTTAAAAAAATAAAAAAAGATTTTTCTTTTTAATAATTTAATCCAACTATTGCTTCGATAATGACAATTTTAAGTAAGTATTTATTATAAAAACTATATAAAAAAATATTAATCGAATATTTTTTTTTAAAATTTATTACACTTTTTTTTTATTTTTTTCACACAAAATTTTAAAAAAAAATAGATTCTTTTAAATACTTGGATTTAAAAGTGATAAATTATAAAAAAATAATAAAAAGTGAAGAGGAATGCTGTAAATATAATAATGGTCATATAAATGATACTGCACATTACTCACCCATAGGAAACAATAATACAGTATCATTATCAAACAGACTGAGCATCACTACATTTTTACACCAAAATTTTGGTGGAGGTGGCTATTATTTAATTAAGGGAATAAACCCCAACAGTTCTATCACCAGTCATAATAACCACAACAACAATAGTAACAATAATTTACCAAATATTCACGCCGCATCTTCTATCTCTACAAATAATATCACACCAACCATAAACACTTTACACAAAAAAATTTGAAATTTTCAAAATATCAAAAAAATAATAATCAATAAAATTTTTTTCTTTTTTTTTTTTATTTTTTGAAAAAACTTTTTGGTGCTATTATTAATATTATTTAGAATTTTCAAATGGGAAAAAACCCTTTAGTTCAATTGTTTTTTATAAAACACTTTAATCAAAAAAAAAAAAAAAAAAGGTTCTATTTCTTTTTTCAAAACAATTTTTCTTTTCATAAAAATTACAAAAAAAAAAAAAAAAAAAAAAAAAAACAGAAAAAGATGAGAAAAAAACGGAAAAGATAATTAAGTGATTATATTTATATAAATATATTTTTAAAAATATGGGTTATATTTTTGATTTGATAGATTAAATTTTATAATAATTATTTCAACCCCCTTTTAAAAAAATAATTTATAATTTTTCAATGATATAGCCGAAGATAAAAATCTTTTTGTGTTTTTGTGACCTGCGCACCAAATTTAGTGCATTGTGCGTTGTGTATATATGTTTGGTGAAAATGGAACCAAATTAATAAAAATAATAACAAAAATTTTTTTAAAAATGTATTAGGTTTTTTGTTTTAGGTTGATAGTTGAACGAAAAAAAAAAAAAAAAAATTAAAAAAAATAAAATTTAAATTAAAAAAAAAAAAAAGAAAAAAAATTTCAAAACAATTTATTTTTATTTTTTTTATTTTTATTAATTTATTTCAATTTAAAAAAAAAAAAAAAGAGATATATATTGCGAATAAAATAAAATCAATTAAATCTATAATTATAATAATAATAATAGTAACACTAACAATATAATATTAAAGAGGTTTTATCATAAAAATAAAATAAAAAATAATGATTAAAAGAAATCAAAAAAAAATCTGACATTAAATATTCTTTTTTTTTTTTTTTTTAAAATTCTAATACCGCCTATACAAAAGTTTTTGTAAATTAATAGTAATAATAATAATAATAGTAATAATAGTAATAGTAATAGTAATATAATATAGTAATATATCTTTTTTTTCTCTTTTCCCTCTTTTTTAAAACCACACAAAAAATATAAAAAAATGAAAAATAGGAAATTTTTTATTTTTTTAATTTTAATAATTTTAATCAATACCATAATAGTTTCGTGTAATAATAACAATAGTAACAATAAAAATAATAATAGTAATGATAGTAGCAATAATGATGATAGCAGTTATATAGATAATAATATTTGGAACAATAATAAAAATTTGCCATGGGGCAAAGATAAACCAAAACCACCAGGACCTAATGGTGATAAGCCCAAACCAAGACCACCAAGACCAACCAAAACACCATATAATGGAGCAGAGGAAAGTTGCGATGATAATACTGGGGATTTACCGGATGATAATAATAATAATAATAATAATAATAATAATAATAGTAGCAGGGATCTATTTTCAAAAGAAACCAATGAAATAATGAAAAAAATTGGATCAGATAGAATATCAGCATTTATACATAGTGGTTGGGAAAGATATAGAAATCAAACTTCAGCAATAAAAAATTCGTTATTAAATAGCCCTCAGTATAACCAACTTCTAAATGAATATAACGAAAGATTTAGATATAATAGTACATCAGATTTAGATAATAATAAAAATAATAGTAGTTTTCAATCTTTTGCATTAAAAGATAAATTTAAACAGTTTTATTTATTAACAAATATTCAAAATATTAATAATTTACAATCAAACAATTATTTATATACATTTAATAAACTAGAAGTTGATAATGCAATCAATATCAATATTAATAATAATAATAATAATAATAATAATAATAATAATAAAAATAAAAATAAAAATAGAAATAGAAATAATAAAAATTATTTTTCAAAATTTTTAATAACAAATAACACAAATAATAACTTTGTTTTTTCAAATAATACTTTAGTTAATATAACTCTAAATAATTATGTTTTAAGTAATAGTACAATAAATAATAGTTTTGTAAATAATAGTAGACTTTTAAATGAATGTAAATTAAATAATAGCACAATAATAAATTCAAATATATCAAATAGTTTTATAGAGAATAGCGTTGCGATCAATTGTACATTTATAAATACAACAATTATAAACAGTAAAGTTAATGGTTCAATAATTTCATACAATTCAAAAATAATAAGGACTATAGCATCAAATAATTCTACTTTTATAAATTCAAATATAGATTCAAGTAAAGTTGATTCAAGTACAGTCAATTTCACAATTTCATATAATAGCGAATTTAACAACACTCTAACTAATTCAAGTCGGTTCGATTTCAGTAAAGTTAATTTAACAAATTCTTTTGATAGTATATTTAATAATTGCACCTTATATTCCAGTAATTTTACTTTTTCATCTATTTATTATTCAACTTTAACAGATTGCAATACTTTAAATTCAACCTTATATAATTCAGTGATTAATAACAGTAGTAATAGTAATAATAATAATAGTAGCGAGAATAATAATGGTGGGAACGATTTAGATGGTGAAATTGAGGATATTTATAATCTTTTGTTTGGTGATAGCACAAGCGATTGTTATAGTTCAAAAGTTATAAGTAATTTTAATAAAGTATTAAACTATGCCACAAATGAAGATTTCAGTTTTGAGGGTATTAAAGAATTCTCTAAAGATAATAAAGATTTTACACCACCTCCACCAAAACAATCAAAACCTGGAGCCTTTCCCCCAACAAAAAAATTTTCAACCTCATCACATTCAACTGGTTCATCAAATACAACTGCAGATGGAAAACCCACTACTGGCTCAAATAATTCAACAACTAATTCAACAACTAATTCAACAACTAATTCAACAACTAATTCAACAACTACCGGAGGTCATTCTTCTAATATAACATCAACATCAACATCGACATCAACAACATTAACATCGACATCAAATACTGATGGTTCTAACTCAACAAATACAAATATTGATGGTTCTAATTCAACAATATCAAATAATTCAACGGGTTATGCTCCAGCACCAGATAATTCTACCTCAGGTTCATCAGGTACATCGGGTACATCAGGCATATTTACAAGTGGTGCTGCCAATCCAACACCTCCACCTGAAGCTGATTCATCATCTGCACATACAATAGTTTATCCATGGAATAAGTTATCAGTTAAATTAGATTTCAGTTATTTAAATCGTACTGGTTTTGCATGCCATCATCGTAATCAAACTATTCCAATCGGTAATCCAAGAAATAACACTGCTTTTTGTTCAAAAGCCAATAGTCTAGATTGTTGGTACCTTTGCAGAGATAGCGATGTTATGACCGATGATTTAATTGATTATTTGACCAATTATATTGTTCCAGATATGATATCAATATTCGAATCAATCCTTAAAGTTCAATCACCAACCCCATTTTTGCTTAGTCGATCCGTAGCAGAGTCCACTAAATTTGTTTGTTATAATAATGTTAGAATTCCATATAAACTAGTTAAAGATGGTATTACAGGTTACAATTTTTATTTATTTATTACAGCAACACCAATTCCTAAAAGAACTGCAGTTGCTTATGGTTTACCATGTAATTTCGAACAGTATTCTAGAGATGTTTTTGGGCGTCCTTTAGCTGGTATCATAAATTTCCAACCATCATCATACAGACAACATCAATTAATCTCGCAAGGTAATTCTGGTTTTTCAAAAGAATTCTATCACAAGGCTGTCAAATATGCAATGCACGAAATGATTCATGTTTTGGGTTTTACTCCTTTCTACTTTAATAGTTATAGGGACATCGATGGCAAAAGATACAATAATCCTGTTATTTCAAGAGCATTGTCCGGTAAAAATCCAAGTGGTGTCTCAGTCTCTAAAGATATAAGAGCTTTAAATACTCCAAGATTAAACTATGTGGTCAATAGATACTTTGGTTGTAAACAAAATGGAATTGGTCTTGAGCTAGAGGAAAGCTCTACATCTGATGCCCACTTTTCATCTCGTATTGCTTTTGGTGAGTTAATGACTGCTTCAACTAATCCTTCAATGTCTCTTTCCGTAATTACATTGGCCTTGCTTCAAGATATGGGTTTCTATCGTGTAAATACTAGTATTCCACAAGAGCTTTATTGGGGTAAAAATCAATCTTGTTCATTTTTAAAGGATAGATGCGAAAATAGAGATAAATTCTTTGGTCATCATTGCTCTTTTGCGGCTAATTCTTCAAATCCAACAATGGGTTGTTCTATGGATCGTCGTAGTGTAAATTTATGTAATATCAAATTCTATAATGAAACCTTAGATCCATACTTTCAACACTTTAAAAATTCAACTTTTGGTGGTTATAAATCTTTAGAGTATTGCACAGCTTTTATTTCAAAAAATCCCAAAATTCAATGTTCAGATATTTTAGTTTCTAACTCTACAGATTCAAGATGCTTTGATATTACTTCAAATAAAGGTGGATCACATTCAGAATGTTTATTAAAAAGGTAAATATTATAATAAATATAGTGGTAATAATATTAATATAAATAATAATATTAATTGATTTAATTTTAATTTTAGATGTATTAATGAAACATTACAAATTCAATATAAAAATGTTTTTTATACTTGCCCACACCAAGGAGGTATAATTAATGTTGCGAATGCTTCAATTAATTGCCCTGAATATGATTTCTTTTGTTCTCAATTAATATTACCAGCATTAGAGGTAATTATAAGATAATCATTATTATAAAATATTAAAAACAAATTTATTAATTTTTTTATTTATTTTTATTTTAGCAACAAGGTGGTGGTGATAGCTCATATCCTCCTATCGGAGATCCATTTTATGCAAGACATGTATTTTGGGTACCAATGGTTTTGGCAATAGCATTAACATTTGCATTAATTGGACTTTTTATCTTTTACAAAAAGAAATTCCCACCAATCACAAAAAAAACAAGATATAGATTAAAATCAAAAATTAGTGATAACGAATTACAAATGAAAAGTTTTAGTGTCTGTAAAAAATTCGAATCTAGTGTTTAAATTCAAATTCTTTAAAACATTTAAACTTTTTTTAATATCCAAAATAAAACTCAAATGGTATAATAATATAATTATATTATTTTTTTTTAAAAAAATGTGGTTTTTATGTTTTTTTTTTTTAATGAAATATTTTGATTACTTTTATTGGCTTGGGTGTTGTGATTAATTAGTTGATATCATTTGAGTTAAAAGACCAATTTAAAACCATAATTATAAAGAAAATACAATAAAAAAATTTTTATGATTTTATAAAGATAATAAAATGATACTAATACCACTATTTTATTTATTTTTTTATATTTTTTTATATTATTAGCCACTCTTTGTAAAGAGTGTTTTCAGCTCTACCATGGGGAGGTTAGTATATTAGAGCTGAATGGTTAGTTATTTATACATTCAGGCAGTATAAATAATTAAACATATACAAATATTGAAAAAAGTGACTTGACTTGATTGAGCTGAATGAATGGTTGTAAAAAAATTTAACTTGTACTTAATGCAAATGATGTTTTGAGTTTGAAAGCTAAAATTTTTTTTAAAGCACTTGTTTCTTGTTGGTGCTGGTATCTTCACTTTTTTTTTTAAAGTATTGTGTAACTTGATAGTTTTTAATGATCCATTATATATGATATTCTTGAATGTTACACAATGCTTGATATGTTTTAATGATCCAATATAATAATTACCTTATAATTATTATACTATAAATATTGATACTATTGAATGATCCAATCCATTTGAATGTGTATAATGATAATAAATTTTATAAAATTATGGTATCAAAATAAAAAAAAATAATAGTTGAATTATAATAATTAAATGCTAAAAAATCCTCGATATATTTTAATGCTAAATAATCCTCGATATTTTTTGATAATATATATTAATTCTTGATATTTTTTAATGCTAAATAATCCTTGATTATATTTTAATGATACACAATAGTTGATATGCTAAATAATACTTGATATTATCGATAATATTTTTTTTTTTTTTTTTTTTTTTTTAATGATATGATATTATATGCTTTAGTAATCTAAAATACTTACCTTATGATCATAATACAATAAAACTTGATAATCTTGAATGATCAAATTTGAATTTACCTAAATATGTATAATGAAAAAAAAAAATTTATGAAATTATTTTCTTTAAATACTTTTTAGTTTTTTTAAAAAAAATTAAAAAAAAAAAAAATTTAATTTAAAATTAATTAATTAATTAATCTATAACTATTTCCTAATTTATTTAAAACATCAATTCCAAAATAAGTAAAATTTGTATTTTCAGAAAAAATGTAGATCTGCTACAATCAAAATTGGTAATAATTTGAAACAGGGGAGGTTTTTTTTTTTTAAAATTTTTTAATTTTCAAATAAATTAAACACATCTTCCTTTTAAAGAAATATTTTTCCATTTATATTTTTTTATTATAATTGATTTTATAATGATTTGAAAAGGAATAAAGTAAGAATTTGGTAGTTCATTATATGATAATGAAATTGGTATGATAGCTGAATGAAAATACATTAAAAAAAAAAAAAAAAAAAAAAAAAATTTATTTAATTTTATAAATTTAATTTTTTTTTAAATTTCTTTAAAATTTTTTAATCATTTTTTATTTTTTTTTGATTACAATAAGCGCTTTTTTAAAATTTTTTTTTTTAAATTTTGAATTTTATTAATATTTTATTTTCCTTTTCAAAAATAAAAATTATGTGATTATGGTTTATTTTGATGATAGTTATTACATTATTCTATAAAAACTCACAATTATTTAGCCCATCACCTTCACCGCAGTACAATCATGAATAACCTCACAATCAAAGTCATAATCCAGCAATATAACAAAAATTTTTGTTTTATTTATTTTATTTTAAAATACAATTTAGTTTATTTTATGATAATTTATTTTTATACAATAACTAATAAAACTAATGAAATAAACAATAAATTAAATGATACAAATAATGTGGATGAAGCTGAAGCATGGTCTTCAATTGATGATCCATCTTTGCTTGTATTGATTTGATCGGCGTTGTATACTAAATTATAGGTGGAACCAGTTTGGGATTTTTTGCAATCAAATGACTTTGAATTTGTTGAATCGGAAAGAGACAATGTTCCATTAATGTTACTATTTGTGGATGTTATAATAGCAAATTCATCGCCTTTCTTTAATGTTAATGAGGCTTGAGCATCTAAATTTACTTCAATTAAACCATTGACGTTGACATTACCATTACATGAAATCTTTGAGTAGTTATTATTTGCAAAAATATTAACTAAAACAACTGCGCTATCTAATAAGCTAAGACTTCCATCAACTGAAATCATACCATTAATAATTCCACCACATTGACAGTTATTTGATGTAATTTTACCTGTACCACTAATTTTACCTGATAAAAAGCTTGCTGAGGTTTTTGAAATAATATTACTACCTGCTAAAAGTACCAATTCTGCGTCCCCTGAAATTTGTGAAATAATTGAAGAGCTAGTATCTACAATATTTGATACAATGATTTTACCAGAATTCTTAATACCTTTTGCACAAGTAGTTTTAGCAGCATTAAGAGTTAATAGTGAGTTTTTAAGTACATTAAGTTCACCGCTGATATTAATATTGTTTTTGGTATTGATTGTGCAAGATCCACTATTAATCATTAGGTTGTTATCTGTGTTTGTTGGATCACTGGTAATAGTGTTGGAGATTGTGGTTTCACCAGATGAGATTATAGTTGAGTTGTTTAAATTGATTATACCTATAATATTTGATGTTGAGTTTAATGAGAGGGTTGAGCCTTCCAATGATATAACTGAATTAATTTGACTGCTTAAACCACCATCCATCTGAATGTTTGAACCAGATAGGATATTTAAAATTGAATTACCTAAACAAAAAACTGGGGAGCTAATTAAACTATCTGCACTAATGGTTACTTTTGCATCAGCATTAATGTTAATTGGGGTTTTAAGGGTTGGAACTTTAATACCGTTCTTGAATATTGTGTTCAAAGAGTTAATATTTATTTTACCTGCACCAGTTACAGAGAATTGACCACCAATAGCAACATTGTTTCCATTGATATTAACATTTGCATTATTACAATTAATGAAGGAGTTAGATGTACTAGCAATACCGGCATCAAATTTGATACTACCAGATTCAAGGTTGAGCTTACCATCAATATTAATAGTGCTTGAGATGATTGAAGATGGGCCTGAGACAATTAGAGTAGCATCTGCTGGAATAATAATATTGGAGTTTGAATCAACTACTAAGTTATTATTAATATTTAATGCAATATTATTTGAGAGGGCCAATGTGGATTTAATCAAATTAATTGTACCTATAATGTCATAGTCGGTATTTTCTGGTAATGTACAGTAGCTGCTTGAAAGTTGTAATGTTGGTAACTTAATGCCTTCGATTGGGAAAATGGTTAAGCCATTTAGTGAAACATTTCCATTAATTTGTAAATTAGCATCACCATTTAAATGAATTGAATTTCCAAAAATAGATGGGGTTAAAATATTTACATTTACACCAGTACCAATATTTAAAATAGCATCTGAACCGGTTGTAATTTGTTTAATGGTACATACTTTATTTGTAACCGATGAATCAGTAGAGGCGACAATATTTAATTGGGCAACACCGTTAAGATTAAGATTAGTATCGATGTTTGAGTTACCACCAATAGTTAAAGAACCAGAGTTTTTATCGATATTAATGGATGCAGTTGATGGACAAGTGAAATCTTTAATAATTGTACTATTTTTAACAAAGGTGATTGCTGAGTTTGATCCTAATAAGAGACTATCAAGTAAAACTGGTTTATTAAAATTACAAGTATAGTCGAGTTTGATAGTTGAACCAATGGCACTTAAAATATTACCATAGAAATTGACGACTTGAGGAGTTGTTGCTGAAATGAAAATCGATGAGGTAGGGTCAATATCAAGGTCACAGTTGAAATCAAATGGTTTGTTGATGTTAAAGTTTGATGAGTTTGTTAATTTAATAATTGAATTTAAAGTTGATTTTAATGAGGCAATAGTACAATTTGTTTTATCTAAAATAATTTTAGAGGTGGCATCAATAGAAAGAGAGCCTAATGAGATGGTTGTTGGTAAGCTATGAATAGTAACAGAGGAGTCAATTAAATTAATTGTGGTGGTATCAGTTGTTATAACATTGTGGAATTGAATATTTGAAGAGCTGAATTGAATAGTTGAACCGGAAATTGAATTAACTTTACAAACAAGGTCACCAATTATATTTCCAAAAAATAATTTAGAACGATTTTCAATCGAGGCAGTACTTGATGCTAAAAGACCTTTAATAGTACAGATACCACTTTTAATAATCAAAGAGGCGGTGTCTAACAATTGAATAGAGGTATTAATATTTGAATCACCATTTAAAGTAACAACAGCACTTCCAAAAAATTTAGGGAATGCTGTAATACCACTTTGAATATTTAATGAACCAAGATTTAAAGTTCCATTAGATTCGAATATACCAGAGGCGATTGATAAAGAACTTGTTACACTTAATGAACTTTGAGAGTTGATATATAAATTTCCATTTACAGTCAATGAGTTACAACTTGACATACCATCGAGCATTAGTGAGCCACCAGCAGCAATAAGAATATTTGAAGAGACTGATAAACTGCCACTACTAGCAATCTTTAATATACCATTGGTAATGTTTAAACTCTTGATTGAGATTTGGTTTGATAAAATAATTGTTGACTGTATCAAAGGATTACTTGTAAAAAATACAACATCATCGGTAATTTTTGGTAAACTAGATGTAAATAAGCTACTAAAAGTACAACCTAAATTTGTGCATTTGTCAGCGTTGATTGAAAATATCTCTGAATTGCAAGAATTTGCTAGCAATACAATTATTAATAATTTTATTATTAAAAATTTCATCTAAATTAATAATTTAAAAATATTAATATAAAATTTAATTTAAATTTATGAAATTAATTATTTTATTATATTTACTTTTTTATTTTTTTTAATAATAATACATATAAATTAAATAATATTAGATATAATGATATAATAAAAATAACAATAATATAAATAAATAAATAAATAAATAAATAATATATAAATAACAATTATAATAGTTTTTTGATTAAGAATATATAAAATAATTAAAAATAATTTAAATCTTTAAATAGTTTTTTTTTTACAAAAAAATATAATATTATATGTTAATTAAAAATTATTTAATTATAATAAATTAAATTATTTATTTACATATTGTGGTTTAAAATTATGTTATTAAAAAGTGTGTAAAATATATCGTTTTTATTTTTTTTATTTTTTTTTCATCTCTCTTCCATATTTTATGTACAGTATAGAAGAGAATTATTGTAAAATATTATTATAATTAAAAGAATAAATTAATAAAGCTGATCATTTAGTGGGGTGTTGATTTTGAAACTTATATATATATTTGTATATATTAAACTATTATTGATTTGATTTTTAAAAGAGATTACGATAAAATAATTATTGTGGGTGTGGGGTGGGGGTGAGTGTGATTCATTCACAATATAAAATTTTATATGGCATATTTAATATACATTGTATGGTTTCTTGATAATATTTTAAATTTGGTATAAAAAAATTGTTATTTTAATTGTTAATCTTTAAAAGATCACAAGCCCTTTGAGATTAGTTTCACAGTTTCTGTTAATTATTTTTTTTATTTTTTACCATTTTTAAATTTGAAAAAATATTGTGTGTTATTTTTAATTAACTGATTTATTTGAAAAACATATTATTATTATTAATAATGGTTTTATTAAAAAAAGATTTGTTGTTTTTTATTTTTATTTTAAAATCTATTAAATTTGTACTATATGATTGATTAAGATTTTAACTAATCAATTATGGTTTTTGATATGTAATCGTGTAGTTACATTTATTGTTATTAAAACTTTAATTGGGCAAAGGGTGTGAAATATATTAAAAATTAAAAAAATTTAAATTTATGAAAAATATTTTTTTTTTTTTTTTTTTTTAATTTTTTAAAATTTTTATTTAATTTTCTTTTTTAACGAGATTGCAATTGGATAAAATAATGAATTCAGATAATAATAATAACAATAATAACAATCTTAATAATGATTTTAAACTTACTGAAAAGGTAACTATTCTATTTTTATTTATTTTTTTTTTCAATTTTAAAATTTTTTTTTTTATTTTATTTTTTTTAATTCATTATCAAATATATTAATTAATTTAAAATCCTTTAAGAATCTAAAAGATTTACAAAAAACATTTGAAGACCCAACTATTCTTTCAAAATTAATAGAATATTATGACGAAGTTGAAAAGTTAAATAAACCAGATTTAGACAATAAAATAGAAAAAGACATAAAAAATATAATAAAAAATAAAGATAATCAAAACAAAAATAGCAACATCAATATTATAACAGATCATCCTCCTCCTGTTAATAATAATATTAATAATACCAATAATACCAATAATAATAATAATAATAATAATAATAATAATAAAATAAATAACACAAATTTTGTAAATACTTCCGGTAATGTAAATAATATAAATTCAACAAACAATGTAAATAATAAAAATTCAAAAACAAAAAAAGTTCAAAGTATAAATGGATTTTGCTTTAAAACATGCAGCAATAAAAATGATAAAGTTTATGTAATGATATCACACTATCCTACTATTGGAACAGCATCATTAACAGAAGAACAAGGGTGGATTATACCGTACAGTTTGTTTGAATTAGAAAACCAACAATCATCATATACAAGTCCATATCACAAGGTTTATCATACTATATTTGGAACTGATACATATAATGAATCCACTAAAGTGAAATCATTAAATAGGTTATTAATTCAAACATCAATTCAAGCAATTTTTCAAAAATTTAAAGAATCACTAAATATTGTAACTATAAAAACCTCTAAAAAAGTATTTCAAAAGGAATTCATGGTATCAATAGTGGACGATAAAGAAATTGACAATAAAATCCAATATAAAGAACCCGAACCAAAAGAAATCATTAACGACGAAACAAATCAAATCCAACCTGTTTTTACAATTCAAAATATTGGTATAAACAATGAACATTTAGATAATCCAGTTATAATACCCAAGTTTATTGAATTCAATATAAAATTACCAAAAATAGTAAGTATATAAATATAATATTTTTATTGAATATAAAACACTAATTAAAATTTTTTATTTTCATATAGAATAATTTAGATGATTTAATAATTGAAATTGAAGATAATGAAAGATTAATTGTTATTGAAGATAATGTAAACTATTATTTAAATGTATTATTAAAACATCATGTTGAAGATGAACCAATTGCTCAATTTAATAAAAAAGAAAAAAATTTATACTTAAAGCTTCAAGTAATTGATGAATCACACAGCCATAATCACAGTCATAATCATAATCATAATCATAACCATAATCAAAATCAAAATCAAAATCAAAATCAACCACCAGATGATACAAATAAAATAATTAAAGAACTCGACAAACTTGGATTATATTCATTTAATGAAAAGAGAAACGATTTACCAGATAAAAATTTAACCCACATACCAAAGACAATAATATACAGTGAACAAAAAAAAAATAGCAAAATTGAAGAAATAGGTGGCGAAACTCAACCATTTTATATTTTAAAACAAAATTTTTCAAATTTAATTTTAATAATTTATGAAAAAGAAATAGACAAAAATTCAATAATAATTAATTCCATACCAGAAGAAAATAGTTTAAATATAATCTACAAAAAAATTAATAATAATAATGAGAATGAAATTAATTTAAATTTTTATTTATCAGATTTTTTTAATAATAATAATAATAATGGTAAAAACAATAACATTGGTTTTCCAGAAGAAAATGGAATTATGCTCAATACTAAAACTATTACATTCACCGAATTTAGTTTTGTCATCGAATTGGGAAAGAAAAAAAAATCGTGGTAAAAAAATTTTAAATAAAATAATTAAATGAAAAATGGTACTTCTCCAATTTTGAAAAATTTTAAAAAAATTAATTTATTTTTTTTTTTTTTTAATTTTTTTATTTTTTAATTTTTTTTTTTTTTTTTTAATTATTTAAATTTCTTTTTTCTTTCATTCATTTAGATAATTTCATTATAATAAATAAATAAATAACATATAAAAAATGACAAATGCTTTAGAAAAATTAAAAGAATTCACTGTAGTCGTAAGTATAATAAACAAACAAATAAAATAATAGTGCTTTTATTATTTTATATAAATTTCGAAAATTTCATTTTTTATATTAATTTTTAATTTAATTTATTAAGGTTGCTGATACAGCTGATTTTGAAGTTTTAAAAAATTATGGTTCACAAGATTCAACTACTAATCCATCATTAGTTTTTCAAGCTGCCAGTAATCCAAAATACAAACATTTAGTAGATAATGCTATCGAATATGTTAAATCTAAACAAGGTTTAAGCCCAAAAGAAAAATTATCATTAGCTATTGATAAACTTTTTGTAAATTTTGGTGTTGAAATTTTAAAGATTGTACCAGGTCGTGTCTCAACTGAGGTAGATGCTCGTCTTTCATACGATATCGAAGGTAATGTCAAGAAGGCCCGTGAATTAATTGCTCTCTACAAAGAAGCTGGTATTGAAAAAGAACGTGTTCTCATCAAATTAGCCTCAACATGGGAAGGTATTCAAGCTGCTAAAATCCTTGAAGAAGAAGGTATCCATTGTAACTTAACTTTATTATTCTCTTTGGTCCAAGCTGCTGCTTGTGCTGAAGCTAAGGTTACCTTAATCAGTCCATTTGTTGGTCGTATTACCGATTTCTATAAACAAAAACAAAATGTTAGTGGTTTTGAAGCCTCAAAAGATCCAGGTGTCATTAGTGTCCAAACTATTTTTGCCTACTACAAGAAATATGGTTACAAAACTTCAGTTATGGGTGCCTCATTCAGAAATAAGGAACAAACCACCGAATTAGCTGGTTGCGACCTTTTAACCATCTCACCAAATCTTTTGGAAGAATTAAAGAATACCGATAGCTCTGTCGTTGTCAAGAAACTTGATGCCAACAATTTACCATCAAACATCCCAGAAAAATTCGTTCCAGATCAAAAAACTTTCTTATACGAATTAAATGATAATGAAATGGCCTACTTCAAAACTGGTGAAGGTATCCGTAAATTTGCTGAGGATTTAATCAAATTAGAAAAACAAATCGAACCATTATTAAATTAAAAACAAATAAATAATTGGTTTTAATGTTGTAAAAAGAAATTATAAAAATAAAATAAATTGTAAAAACTTTTTATTTTTTTTTTTTTTTAAATAAAATATAATAATAGTATATATTTATTTTACTTTTAAGTTTATTTACAAGTGTTTTCTCATTTAATGATTATAGTTTTAAAGTTTTCATTTTATAAAGGTGCTATAGTCTTTAGTTCTTCTTTATATCTTTAGTTTTGTCGGGTATGTCGGTTGATTTACCACCACTTTTTATTCTGTTCACTTCGCTGCTAAACTCCTCTTTAATACCATCGAATAAATGTGAAAGAAATGATTTTTCATTATTGTTATTATTTGTATTGTAGTTATTGTTGTTATTATTGTATAAACTGTTATTTTGTTGTTGGCTTTGAAGTCTTTGTTGTTGCTCATAAATTCTTTGGTTTGCATAAATATCATTTGAATATCTCATTGTTGTATTATTACTATTATTACTATTAAAGTTATTTTTGTTGTTGTTATTATTATTATTATTATTATATGTTGAATTAAAATTTTTAGAATTAGCACCTGAATGGTTATAGTGATTTCTACTATGATTCTGGTGTTGATTGTGACGAGTTTCTGAATAGTTATGTTTATTTGGGTTCTTAAGATTTTTTGGTGGAGTACCTGTTAATTCATCTACCTTATCCCTGAATTGCAATGACATTTTTTGAAATTGTTTATTTTTTGATAAGGTTTCGACTAATTTCTTTTGAACAAAACCTGCAACGAATCCATGTATTATTTTATCCATGTTTGGCTACAACCTTAACAAATTTATTATGTAATGTGTTGTTATAAATTTTAAAACAAAATAAAAAAAATTAAAATAAAAAAAAAAAAATTAAAAAATAAAAAAATAAAAAAAATTAAAAAACAATTTATTATTTTTCGTTATTTTAAAAAAAAAAAAAAAAAATTATCCTTTTAAATATCTTATTAGAAAAAACAAAGAAATAAAGTTTATTAATATCTAATAAATATAGTTTATGACCAACTTTATGGATTTCTTTATTTATCTTTTTTTTTTCAAATTTATTTAAAATTTTTATTTTAAAAAAAAATTAGTAAAAAAAATTAAAAAAGAAAATTTTAAAAAAAAAAAAAATTAGTAAAAAAAATTAAAAAAGGATTTTTTTTTTTAAAATTTTTTTTTTTATTTAAAACCAATTAATTATCTTCAATTCTATTCATATATATACAAAAACTTTTTTATTTATTTAATAATAATTGTATTTATATATTTGTTTATTTATTTGTATTTGTTTATTTATTTATTTGTTTTTTTTTTTATAAAATAGAAAAAAGAAAAAAGTGTAAATGGAAATTGAATTTATAAACAAACTCGAAAAAGCATGTTTGGATTTAACATCACAAAAAAATGAACAAAGAAAGAATGGTGAGGAAAGTATTTCAATGTTAATGAAGACACCTCAACCATATAGCCTTTGTTTCAATTTGTTGGCAAAGAGTACAAGTACATTTGCACATTTTTATTCATTGTTGATGATTAGAGATAGTGCTGTTAGAGAATGGGCTGCATTAGAGTCATCCCTCAAGATCTTTATCATCGAAACATTGTTTCAATATATAGAAAATCAAAAATCAATGAACTTTTTAAACTATGCAACAAAGAATCAATCATTTAATACTTTAGGTGTGGTTTGCAAAAGAGGTTGGCTAGACACTGACAAATTTAATGGTAATCAAGAATTAAATCAAATTATTATGGAAAAAGTGTATCAGTATTTGGACAGCTCAATAAACTCATTTTCACCAGATACCATCGATCTCTCTATTCGTATTGTCAGTTCATTAATCATCGAATTCTCTTCAGGTAGTAAGGCTGCTCATATTCAACTAAGTTGGGAATTTCATCAAAAGTGTTTATTAACTTTTCAGAATCTCCATCTCCAACCAGCTTTTCGTAAAATCATGGAACTATTACACAAATTTCAAAATCATATTCAACAACAGCAATCACTTTTAAATGATAAAAACTTTACCTCACTCTTACATATGACCATCAAGTGTTTTACAGATATCTTAGACTGGCGTTTCCTCGAATCTGGATCACCTACATTAGCCTACATCACTTCATTCAGCACAGTCCAACCAAATTTAAAACCAACAATGGAATGGGCACAACTATTCACCCAAAGCCCATTTCCTGTTTTAACTCTTATCTTTTCACTTTACAGACAATTGGAGAATTTAGAAAAAGTTCCAAGCCTTTTACGTCATTGTATGAATCAATGTTGTGGTCTTACTGGTATAGTTATTAGAGATGCTGGTGTTAAAGATCAATATCTTAAAGAATTGTTGGGATATTTGACTCCAATGATCCAAAAAGCAATCACAACACGTAATTGGAGAGAAATGGAAGATGTATCAAATATTATTTACAAATTTTGCAATGCCTACAAGTTTAGCAGTCTTTTAGTTTTACCAAATGAACTCGTATTACCATTCTTAAGATACACTACCGAATTTGTATTCTCATCTTTGACCTTAATGAAAATTTGGGCAAAACATGGTGAAGAAGAATTGGAAGAAGAGTTTGAAAATGATTGCTTTAGTATCCTCTTAAAAGCATTTGTTGCTCTAATTTCAGATGCCGATATTATCGTATCAAGAAGAAAATCATCAACATTTGAAAACTTTACAGAACAATTCACCTGCTTAAAACAGTGCACAGCTCAAATTTACCAAACATATGTTCAAAGCAGATTGGAACTTTCAGAAATCGAGTTAAATAAGGATAGTGATCAATTAGAACCATCAGCTGTTCAAGAAAATGAAATTGATGAAGATAAACATAAATACGAAGAACAATTAAAATCAGTTGCATACATTGGTCGTTTAAATCCAGGTCAATCGATGGATCTTTTAAAAAATGAAATTAATAAAAGAATTTCGTTATTAAAAGAGCGTATTAGTGATCCAGTAATTTTTGAACATCTCCATTGGTTATTCATTTTCTCTGGCCATCTCTTATTTGATTCAGAAAACAAAACATTATCTGCAATTCCAAATGCAATCGAAGATTACACATTCCAATTATCCTCTGAAAATCCAAATGCTCCAGACAGTGTAGTCGAATTATCAAATGCAGTTTTCCGTTTTGGTTTAGAATATGAAAATCCACTTTTAAAAAACAATCAAGCCGATAAAGTATCCCCATTGGTATCCCAAACTAGCTTGTGGTTTTTAAGTGGATGGAGTTTAGTTTACTTACTACCATCAAAGAGCTTGAATGTTAGAGTAAGCCCAAAAATTTTAGAGGCTTATGGAAGTGAACAATCAGTATCAGGTATTGCAGATTATCTTGTCGATAAAGTTCTCTTCAATTTAAAATGCTGGTCAGGTGACATCGATGTATTAAAAGCAACCTCAGTATTATTAAATTGTTTATGTTCAAATAAAGACTTTTGCAAATTTTTAGTTAAAACCAACAACTGGCCAAAGCTTTTTTATTTAGAAGGTTTACAAGAAGGTCAATTAACCCCATCAGTATACGGTCAACTCTATCAAGCATTTAATAAAGTTGTTTTTTCATTCAGCGATGATAATAAAAAGCAATACTATATGGAATTGGTCAAGACTATGGTAGAGCAATTCGATTCAGTTCTTGGACGTCCAGATTTCACCAAAATTTCACAAGACGCTCGTGTTAAAGAAAATATCTATATTCTTTTAGAAAAATTGAATGGTATTGTTTCAGTTAGTGAAAGTCTATTCGTTGAAGATGTTGAAAATAGTTTATTCCTTACATTGGACCTTTTCACCAAATATGCAAATGCATTAATCGCAATGATTCCATTATATGACCATTGCAACGATGTTGTTTTATTAATTTTAAGATTATTTTCAAATCTTACAAAGAATCAATTAGAATTTTTAACAGAACCTAGAGCTAAGCAAATCTATCCATTCATCATTCAACTATTCAACTCTGTTAGTTCAACATCAAGTCATAAAAAATCTTTAGATTCGAAAGAATACTATTCAAGAATTAAAATGATGGTTAAAATTTTATTCAATATTATTACCTTTAATGATCAAAGTAACAATTGCCCAAATTTAATTGCCGAAACTACATTCTATGGTATAAATATTATTACACCATGCTTAACAAACAACGATTTATTATTAGTAAGTTTTTTTTTTGATGATCAATATTTAAAAGAAATTATTTTAGTTTATTAATTTTTTTAATTATATTTTTTAGTTCCCAAAATTAGCAAGAAATTATTTCATTATTACAACATTTTTATTTGGATCCGAATCAATTCAAGTTAAAGATATTCCACAAATCAATACTATATATTCTTTAATTGAAGCAGGTATTTTACATCACGATTTAGAAATTGTCAAAGGTTGTTTCGAATGTATCGTTAGTTTAACTAAAAATCTAGAAACCACTCACGAAAAAACTGGAGCCATTGATCAACACTATCATCAAGTTATCATTCAATTTATTGGTTCTGTAATTAATTTCCTTTTATTACAAGATTTTAATGTCGATGATTTATTAGCAAGTGCCTCTGAAACTTTATTCGCTTTAATGTGCTCAAGTCCTGATGGCTATAGATCAAAAGTAATTGACTTAATTACACGTCAAGATTCTAGTATCCAAAATAGAGTTGCTCAACAATTTGAAACTTTAACTATTACTGGAAAAGATAGAAAATCAAAAGAGGCTTTTAATAAAAGATTACAACAATTTTTAGTTAATGTTAAACCATTAATTTCTAAAAAATAAAAGGTATAATTAAAATAAATAAAAATAAAAACAAATATAATTATTTGGATATATATAAATCGTATATCTAAATTAACTATTCCCAATTACATTATTTGTTTAATTTTTTTGATTCTAATCATTTTTGTTTTTTTGTTTTTAATCTTTTTTCAATTTTTTTTTTTGAAAAATGTTATTTTTTTTATTTTGAAATGATTTACTCTAAAAAAAATGTAAATTATAATAATTGGTTTTATTTTATTTTTATAAATTAGATTTGATCGATTGTGTTAATATTAGGAACAGTATTTTACAAAGCTATCAATTTGAAGGAATTTCATAAAAATTCCTCAACAAAAATTTTTTTTAAAAATTTTTTTGAAATTTAATTTTTTTTTTTTTTTTTTTTTTTTTTTTTTTTTGGGTTCGTTGCTGTTTCTTTAAATTATTTAAATGATAATTTAATTTTCTTTTTTTATTTTTCTTATAAAATTATTAAATAAATATATAAACAAATATAGGTAATAAATAAAATATATACACATAAATAAAATAAACTTTTAATATTAAATAAAAAAATGGTTGTTGATGGAAATATTAAATTATTTGACCCAAGCAGTCCAAATGATAGCTTAGAAAGTATAAATGAAAAATTAAATGATAATCAAACCTCATTTGCATTAGGAGATTTATCAAATACAACATTTTGGATATCAGCAGCCACGCTCTATGTACATAAATCAAATAAAATCGAAAATATAAATCATACTATAAGCGAAACTTCAAAGATTATTCAAGATCTTACACACGAAAAAAAGTCAGATGATAAAAAAAAGAAAGAGGTAGTTCAACATTATAAAGCATTATGTGATGTATTCAAGAAAAGAAACGAACCATTATCAGTAGAAATGATTAAAGAGTGGCATGCAATTTTAATGAATGGTGCTATGCCAAACCCCGGTCAATTCAGACAGCAAGAAGTTATCACAGGTAATAAGCTATTTATCGAATACAAATCGATTCCATCTCTATTAGAAACTTTAGTAAATAAATACAACCTATTTGTACAAAAAGAAGCCAGAGAACATATTAACAATAGATCAAAGCAAACTCCATATTCATTAGCTGCATGGATCTCTCACGCTTTTCTAACCATTCACCCCTTCCTTGATGGAAACGGCCGTATATCCCGTTTATTAGAAAACTATGTACTATTTGAGTTTGGTTTCCCATTCCCAATCCCAGCTTTCGATAATAAAGAAGACTACTTAGGTGCCCTCAGACAAGCCGACAGAGATTTTAAAAATGGTAGAAATACTTCACAGCTAGCCCATTTAATTTTAAATGGTTCAAATAAAATATATACAATGTATTTAGCAAATAACGCATTAAAACAAGAATTAAAAAATGATGTAAGAGCTTCAACTGAAGTAAAAGATGTAAAATTAGATATTTAAAAAGATAAAAAACAAAAAATAAAATATAAAGTTGTTGTAAAATAAATAAATTTATTTGTTTTTTTAAAAATAAACCCTCTTCAATCCACTGTATTCACTCCTTTATTTTCTTCATTAATTTTGCTTGAAATTTTGTTTAAAACCATTGATATGTTTTAATTATTATTTGAAAGACTGAGATGAGTTAATGTAGTATTTTGAGTTAGAATTTTGATATTCCCTAATTTGATCAATAGTTACGTACACTGTAGCTTTACCTTTTCTTCCTAAAACTATTTTATTTCTATCATAGTTGTTTGGCCAGAGCGAATTAATGATATTCATAAAATAGTTGATATGATTGATTAGTGCTAATTTGATAAGTTGAAACATGATTGTACACTATCGGATCAATAGATTCCACTACTTTGACCAGAGATTATGCACAGCTTGATGAAACAGATTCGGTACTTCAACCTTTTACCAAAAAAAGATTCACTACCTGGCGTAAAAGATTCTTATGATTGATCTGTCTTTTGTTTGAACTATTTATGTGTATTTACTGTGTTGTGTAAAACAATATGAAAAAATTGAAAGAAATTTTATATAAAAAATGACAATCTGAGATTGGCACAATAAATCGACTAGAATACATTGTTGGTATGATTAATTACTGTATTTAAAGAAAAAATTAAATAAAAAGATTATTAATATATAGTTTAATATAAAATAAAATTTTAAATAAAGATACCATACCCAAGTTACGATTTCTACTATAATGAAAATAGCAACATGGTGAAAGCCTCTTATAAATCTATGGAAACTAAATATTCTACAATTCTACTTCTAGAAAATGTTGTGTATTACCAGCGCTTGAAATAAAATAACTAATTCTGATTTTTCACTTCCCTAGTTCTTTAACTTTTTTTATTTTAGTTTTTTTATCTAAAATTTAATACTTGCTAAAACAATATCATTTAAATTGTTTGGACCCTACAATTCTATATTTAACACTTGAACTACCACATTAATAACTATTAGATGTAGTACTACTTGAAACTGCATTTAATTCTACCTAAATCACTATTTGAAACACTACTTGAAACAAAATTACAACCGCTGTTTGAACCAACCACATTTGATTCAATATTTATACAACTGCTTGAACCATACTTAAAAAATTGCCTGAACCATTTGAATGACATTTGACCACCATTTTAAAGACTATTTGAACCATTATTGGACCACCATTTAAACTACTACTTGAAACATTGCTTGGGCTGCCATTTGAACTACTATTTAAAATATTGCTCGGACCACCATTTGAATCACTACGCGAACTACCACTGGATCAATATTTGACCAATTAAACCACTACTTTAAACATTACTTGGGTTACCGTTTGAACCACGACTTGAAATATTGCATGGACCACCATTAGAACCACTACTTGAAATATTGCTTGAACCCCATTTGAGCCACGACCCCGAAACATTGCTTGGACCACCATTTGAACTACTACTTGAAATATTGCTTGGACCACCATTTGGCCACCATTTTACCTATTACTTGAACCATCATTTTGACCTTTAATTGAATTTGCTTAAAGTTGTAAATACGTTTGGGCAATTGCTTTTCAGATGCTGCTTATCAGTTCCTTATTTAAATATATTATTTATTGAACCTAATTATTTAAATAAATATATTATTAATATATGTTTAAAAATAATTTGTAAAAATAATATTATTTTACATACCATTTTAGTCTATAAATTATTGATTAGTTGCACTAATACCGAAATATAATAGACAAATGTCAATACATACTATAACTTTTTAGTGTTAAATTATAATGTTGAATATAATTGATTTACATCTTGAACCTTATATATTTTTAAATCATTTGGCGTAAAGAACCATAGTGTTTGTCATGATGAGATAATATAATTGCTCTATAATTTTCTATTGAACTTGGAAGAATTTCAATGAAAGAGCTGCTATCAGATTCACCAGATGAAATAACTGTAATCTTTGATTTTAAAATTTCAGCAGCAGCAATTAAAGTTAAATGGTCACCCCAAGTACCTGTTCTTGCCATTTGGTTACAATATCTATTCCAATTATTGGTATTTGCAAATTGGTGTAGTTTTGCACCATTTGGGAGGGTGAAATTTTTATTTCTTATGAGCCATGTGGAAATGACTCTTCTTATCTCAGCACTATGGTTCAAGTTGCCATAAAGTTGGTCAGATAAGGCATGCATCTGACAATTGCCATCTCCTGGGATGTCCCTACTATTCTCTAATTGGTAGAGCTCCAAACGTTGATTTAAACGTCTTATAGCTTGATTTCCAGGTTGTGGTGATGGTTGTGGAATAGTGACACCTAAGTCAATATTCATATGTTCTAGTTTTTGTTGTTGCTGTGGTGGTAGTGGTTGTTGTTGTTGTTGTTGTTGTTGTTGTTGTTGTTGTTGTTGTTGTTGTTGTTGTTGAAGTAGTTTTTTATTTTCTTGAAAATTATGCAATAGTTCTTTATAACTAGGTTTTGATGCTGTGGGTTTTGGTAGTGGTTGTTGGTTGCTAGTTGTTGGTTGTAGTGGTGGTTGTTGTTGTTGGAATGGCGGTTGTTGTTGGAGTGGTGGGTGTGGCGTTGGTGGTTGTGGGCGTTGGTGTGGTTTTGGTTGTGGGGTTAGTGATTGTGGTTGTGACTATGGTATTGGTTTTGATTGTAGTTGTGGTGGATTGTGAATTTTATGAAACTCTTCATAAAATTCGTCGTTGTAGAAAAAGTCTTGGTCGTTTTCTGTTCCATCGGCGTAGTAGTATTTGGTGGTATTATTCTTAGTTTTTTTAAAAAACCAATAAAAAATGAATAAAACAAAAAAAGAAATAACAAAATAAATCATTATTCTATTTTTTACAAAAAATATTAAAACAAATATTATTATTTAAAAATTAAAATAAAAACAAATACAATTATTTAAATATTAAAATAAAAATATTTAAAAATTTTTTTTTTTTTAATATGATATACAAAAAATAACAAATATATATTATATAATTATTATGATATGTGTGAAGTTGAATGAAATGTAAAAAAAAAAAAAAAGTTATTTACAATGCAAAATTATGTGTGTGTTTTTGAAAGCTATAATTTTTAAAAAAAAAAAAAAAAAAAAAAAAAATTTAATATATACTATTTTTTTTTATTTAAAACAATTTAAAAAAAATTAAAAAAAATATAATTAAATTAAAAAATATTATAATAAATAGATAAAAAACATAAAAAATATTATTTTTACATTATTTTTAATAAATTTTGGAAAAATAATCTTAATTGGGAACTTGACTTTTATACAGATCACCCTTTAATCAACTATTTAAAGTAAAACTTTCATCTTTTCAAGAAATTTATAATTTTTAAAAAAAAAACAGGTTCTCAATTAAAGTAGGTGCCATATCTGGTTTTACAATTTTCAAATAAAATTTAATCAACACTTTTTATTAAAGAGCATACAGATGCATTTAATTTTTTGTTTTATTTTTATTTTTTTTTACTTTTAATATAATAAATTTATAAAATCACACAATATAAAAGATAATTAATTAATTTTAATTAAAGAAAAAAATAATTTTAAAAATAAAAATTAATATTAAATCAATTTTTTTTTTTTTTTTTTTTTTTTTTAAATAATAATATTTTTTAAAGCAAAATAAATAGTAAACATAAGAATAAATAATTATGTATAACCTAAAGTATAGTATTAATTTAAATATGGATAATTCAGAAAGATTAAGATTTTTAAATGACATAGAGAATAGACTAAATAGATTTCAATCACCAAATCAAGAGATATGATAAGAATGTCAATTGGTATAGAAGAAAGAAAAGCTAGATTTCAACAAAACCAATTTAAAAATAATTTTTCAACACAGCCACCACCACCACCACTACAACACAAAATGAAATCCATATTTATAGACAAAATATGGAGTGTTACACAATGTAAAGTAATATTTCATGAGGGACTTCTGATTGTCCACCCAAACACTGCCTTTATTTCTAACCCTTAAGAATAAAATAGATTATAAAATAAAATAAAAAAATAAAATATTATAATTTTAAAATAAAAAAATAATTTTCTTTTCTTTCAATTTCTTTTTACCTCTTTTCTTTTCTTGGTTTTTTATTTGAACTATTTTTAATTTAAATCATTTCTTATTATTTTAAAATTATTTTATATTCTCATTATAATAGAACTTTTAAATCATCTTCACTTTTATAAAAAAAACATTTAAATGATTAAATATAAATTTTATTAAATGGGTTGATACTACATCAAACAAAGTGTTTTATCCACCCAGACTAGCAAATTTAGCGCCACAATCATCATCTTTAATACGTTTGGATGGCATCTTGAAAGCATTGATGAAAAAACTTGATAAAGCAACAATTAAAATTAAAGAAAGTAATAGTTTCATTTCTAATAAGAAAATAGTTTAATTAATAAATAGTTATTATTAAACCAACATTTAATATTTGTTTTTTTTTTATTTTTTAATACTTTCCCAAAAGTTTTTATTTTTTATTTATACTTTTTTTTTTATTTTTTTGAAATTATATTTTTTTTAACAGTTTTTAAATTTTGATTTTTGTTTATAATCCGGTTTATAATCATTCTGGAATTATTATTTTTAAAGATGATGTGATAAATGTTTATAATAAAAATAAAAAAATAAAATTAGGGAAAAATTTGTTTTTCTTTTTTTTTTTTAAAAAGGTAAATAACCAATATATAGTTTTTAGTTTATTGTGATTTAATATTTTCGATTATTTGATCTAAATAAAGAGCAACATCTCTTCTATGATTTTTATCAACAAGTGACAATATTTCATATTTAAAATTTTCAATTGAAACTGCTAGACCAAGTCTAGCACCTAGAGTGAAATCGTCTTCTGCTAATAAAGAGACGAAGCCTAAAACTAAAGAACAACCACCACCAATAAAGGCTATTTTTTTCAAAAATTCTGGTTCCATTTTTACTATTGTGCTAATTAATTGGCTAATAATTATTATTTGTCTATCCTGGGTGTCATTATCTGCATCATATTGTTTTCTTTTATTTTCATCATATAAAACTCTATATGCATTGCTTATTTCTTGAAAAGCTGTGTTATCACCTCCTTTATCTGAATGTCTCAAGGCCAAGTTTACATAAGCTTTATATATTAAAAAACAATTAATATAATATTTTTTATTTTTAATATTTTGAAAATAAATTACCTTCTCTAATTTGAGCTTTAGTAATATTTTGTCTATTTTTTGTATCTAATTCCAATACTCTATATAAGTTGGTCATTTTTTTATTTATTATTTGTTGTGAGAGTTTTTTTTTTTGCAGTTAATGGTGAATTTTTTTTTTTGATTTAATTTTTTAATTTAAAAAAAATTGGAATTAAAAAAAAAAAAAAAATATAAAAAAATAAAAAAAAATACCAAACATTGATGAGATTTTTTAATTTCTAAAAATTCAAATTCTAATTGAGAGATAGGTTTTCAACAAAATACAAACAATTAAATTGGATAGTATCCAATATTTTAAAATAAAAACTACTTTGCTTTAATAAATAAATAATTGAAATAAAAAAATTTGTTTTTTAATTAAAGAAAAAAAATAAAAAATAAAAAGAAAATAAAAAACAAAAGTAAATAGTTGTTTTTTTTGAAAATAATGAAATAATGAAAGGTTTAATAGCACGTTATTTTATTTTAATTTTATTGGTTAAATATTTGTTCGTAATATTTGATTCCGTTTGTGATCAAAACAGGTGAACACTTTAATGTTGGCATAATAACGATTAATAAATTTTCAATTGTCATTTTGTTTTGAGATTCATAAAGTACAATTTGTTTTAATAAAAGTAATAAAATTTTGAAAATGTGAAAAGAGTTTGGTGTTATACTTTCAAAAATGAATTTGAATTCTTGAATTTTTTCATCCTCTGTTTGAGAGGTTGCCAATTGAACTGAAGTTGAATATTCGTCTAAATCGGATGGCACTAGTGAGTGAGGTAATTTTCTAAAGAATGTTTTAACTAAACCACTAATTGCATGAATATCATGTTGATTTAAATCTATATCTCTACCCTGTTCAAAATCTTCCTGAAGCTCTTGAATCTCTCTTAAACTTCCTGATACTCTAAATATACCTTCTTCTCTGATACCCTTCTCTAAAATATGACTCAAGCATACATGTAAAAGGTATGGTACTTTTAAATATTGTTGTGATGCTATCGCTGATTGATTCTCTATTATTTTGGTAATTGGTAATCCAAACATTGGATAAATTGGTGTTAAATTTACAGGTGTTGATGATAAATGTTGTGGGTTTGAGTCAAACAATGTATTATTATTTGATGATGTTGATGATGATGAAAATGATTTTTTATGTGATTTACGTGGTTTACCGCTACTATGACTATTATTATTATTATTATTATTACTGAATAAACTATTTATATTTGAAACTGTATGATATTGATTATATTTACTTGGGGTTGCTATTGGAGAGATACCGTTTGGAAGTGTATTTGATTGACCAATATTTACCACACCGTACTGACCTTGATGTTGTGTATTAAGTTTAATCGCATTAGATAAAATACTAAACCATTCAATGCAGTCATCCTCTCTATCACTTGCCAAATAATATGGCATTCTCTTTTTTTGTATTGCACCTGTCATATATTTCGATTGAATAATTTTAAAACAATTCTTTCTTGTTGAAACTGAAGCTCTCTTTAATTTTGTACCACCATTTAATAAAATCATACCACATGGGAAATTATCCTAATTTAATAAAAAAATAAAAAAAAAAAAATATTAATATTAAATTTTTTAAAAAATAGTATTTTATGGTTTTAAATATATTACATTTTGATGCTTAAAATAAAATAAAGAACAATCCCTTAATACAAAATACCTTTTTTTCCATATTCTTAAAATATCATCGCCTCTTTTATATAGCCAACCTTCTTTGAGAGATTTGGTGGAGGTTAATGGAGTAACACCATACATACTAATGGTTCTGTTCATATACTTTTCTTTACCATTTGCGCCTTCTTTCTTTTTTGATGATGGAGTATTTGCCAAATAAACTGATTTCCAATTGTGTGATTTATCAAAAACTGAAGCTGGTGTTATTAAATGAAATACAAATCTGATCCATAATAGGTTATCATTTGCTAGTTTTTGCCACTGTGTTGAAACCTGTGCACAAATTAATAAATCATTTGGTTCTAAATATGAAAATACATATAATGATAAATGTACTGGTAATAATGAAAATATATCCGATATCTCGTTATTGACGATGCCGTTGCTTAACAATACATCATCATCTTCATCATCATCTACTAAACTATCATCCATTGTTATTGAATTACTTGAATTGGTTAAATCTTGGCTACTATTTAATCTTTTTAATAAACTATTACTAAAAATATTATTACTATTATTTAAATTTGATATATTATTTATATTACTATTGCTATTTTGCTGTTGTTGTTGCTGCTGAAACAAGAAAAGTTCATTTTGGCAAGATTTTAAATAATTTATTTTTTGTGTAATTTTTTCTGATATTAATTTAATTTGCTCTTGATCTGGTTGAAATTTTTCTAGTAATGGTCTTATTGGGCTATCATTACCATTATTACTATTATTATTATTATTAAGATTATTATTTGATAATGATATTGCACTTAAAATTAGCTCAATCTCACCTAATTGATTTATAAAATTTGGATTTTCTATTGAACCAGTTACTGATAATGAGCTTTTTTCAAAATTTGCTTTTTTCCACTGATTTAATGTATTTACCCAGTTTAAAATTGAAGTTTCATCAATACCTCTTAAACTATATGTTTTCTTTATAAATAAAAAAAATAATTAATATTTTAAATTTTCATTATGATTTCTTTTTTTTTTTTGTTTTTTTTTTTTGCTTGTTATAATTACTTTTTCATTTGTTATAATAAATTCTAGTCTGAATGAAATTGATTGTTCTATATGAGTTGTTTTTACAATGGGTATTGATTTAATTCTTTCTGATAATGATGTTGGTGTAAGTGGCTGTGATAGTGCTCCGCTTGATGTTGTTGAATAATATAATGTTCCTGTGTCTGGTTCAAACCAAAACCATTTTTTTTTATATAATTTTACATTTGAATTTGGTAGTTGTGATTTTGATTGTTTTTGTAAATATCCCAATAACTAATAAAAAAAATTAATATTAAAAAAAATGATTTTTGTTTATATAAAAAAAAAAAAAAACTAATAATACCTTTGCTTCTTTATCTGCACCCCTTGTAGTACTTCTATTTGATGTTGATGGTGATGATGATAATCCAGCTAAACTATTTGATGAAATTGATTTAGAAACCCATGGTGTATATGATGAGGATGGATTACTACTCATATTTTAATTTTTCTATTATATCTAGATATTTATTTTTTGTTATTTTATTACTATTATTGTTATTACTATATGACTACTATTGAATATTTGTTATTGTTATTATTTATACTAATGTTTTAGCTCCTCCCTCTCTCTTCTCTCTTCTTTATCTTTTTTAATCATATGACTAATAATATACAGAATATATATAAAAAATTTAAAAAAAAAATAAAAAAAATAAAAAAAATAATTTAAAAAAAAAAAAATAAAAAATTAAAAAATAAAAAAAAAAATTTTTGTTTTGAAATTATATATTTTTATTCTATATTTATTACTTTAAAATAATGAATAAGTGATTATCATTAAAAATTAATCGATGATTTGTAATAAAAAAAAATATTAAATAATAAATATTGAATGCATGAAAAAAAAAAAAATAATGAAAAAAAAAATTATAAAATAAAAAAAATAAAAAAAATAAAAAATAAAAAACAGATTTTTTTTTTTATTTTTTTATTTTTTTTTTTAACTAAAAAAACAATCATATTCACTCTTTTGATCCAAATAAATAAAACAAAAATATATATCTTTTAAAAGATTTTAATATATCTATTTTTTATAATATATTTTTATATAAAAATATTATAAAAATGTTAAAACAAAATGTAAATAAAAAAAAAAGCTAATTTAATAAAGAAATTATTAAAATAGTAATTACTATTAATTTCTTATAATATTAATTTTTAGTTTTTATAAAATTTAAAATTATAAAAATATTTTTTATAATTTTAATTTTTTTTTTTTTAAAATTATAAAAAAAAAAAAATTTTAATTTTTTCCAAATTAAGTAATTTTTTTTATAACAATTATGTATCTAATATAGAATCACAAAAATGGAATTCTTTACCATATGAATAAATTATAATAAAAAAATAATAATCAATAAAAGGATATATTTATTATGTTAAAAAAATATTATTTTAATTTGTTAAATAAATTTATTTTAATTTTTATTTATTTATAATTTGAAAAATTGTAATTATTAAAATAAAAAAAAATTTTAGTTTTAAAATTCATTTCCCACACTTACTACTCATACAAACCAGTAATAAATATTAACATATATACATATATATTAATAGTAATAATAATAATAAAAAATGAATGATACAAAATCAAATGAAGTTATCAAACCAAAAATCTCAACAGAATTAGATGATGGAGATAATAAACTTTATTCATTCGAATCCAATTATGGCAAAAGCTTTACTTTTGAAAATGGTCAATTAAAAGAACATAATGAAAATAGTACAGTCACTAAAGGTAATGAACATGGTTCCATTTCAAAAAAAACTGAAAAGAATACCCAATTCCAAAAGCCATTACCACCAACCCCAAATGATAAAGGTAAAGATAATAATAATAATAATAATAAAAAAAACAATACACCAATGACTAATACTAAAACTTCAACTTCAATTAATAACAATGATAATAATACTGTTGCACCAAATACAACCAATTCTAAAACTCCCTATAATACACCAAACCAAAAATATCAAACATTAGAGGAAGCTAATAATCCAGTAGATTTTGGTAGATTCAAAGAAAGCATTACTAAACTCCAAAATCCAAAGAAAACAGGCGAGGACTCTACCAATGACCCTCAAAAAGAAGTTGCTGACAATTTAGGTCTTAAACATTTAAATAAAAATCCAAATGTTGGTCCAGAGCAATACTTTACCTCATTCCAAAAATTTGTTCCAAAGAACAATACCACTGATCCACTACCAGATACAAAAAAATAGAAAAAGACATAATTTATTAATAAAATTTTAAATAATTCTTTAAATGAATTATTATTTTTAAATAATTTTACTTATTTTTATTTTTTATTATGATTTTATAAAAAATAATTTCTAAAAAAAAACAGTTTATATTTATATTTTTTATTTTATATTTTTATTTTATATTTTTTTTTTAAAAAGGTTATGTTAAAGTATTTATTTTGGAGATGGAGTTGGAGCTGGAACATATTCTTTGGTAAGACCAATGCTAGTTGAAGTAGTCATAAGAATACCGACAATAACAGCGTAAAGACCTAAAGCACCACCGAAAATTTCAATAATAAGCATTTTAACAAAAAGGGCTGGATTTTGAGCATCACCGAGTGCACAACCACTACCACTGATACCAACACAAATACTGTTAATTATTTAATAATAATAAAAAATTTTGTTTTTCGATTTTGATAAAATTTAATTTAATTTAATTTGATTTGATTTGATTTGATTTGATTTGATTTGATTTGATTTGATTAGATTAGATTAGATTAGATTTGATTTAAATAAATTTTTATTTGATTTGATTTTAAATTAATAGATTAAATAAAATATTAATGTTAGTTTTTAAATGCAATGCAATAATTATTATAAAAGCTACATACCCTGAAAAAACATTACAAAAACCAACTAAGAGACCAGCACCAAACATCATGTAACCAGCCATATAATCAGTTGCTGGGAATTCAACATTTAAAAACTTCTCGATTTTACCCTATAATATTTGAAATGATAAATTAATTAATTAATAACCTGTGAACTTGATATAAATCATATCGTTTTTTATCCAAACTATATCTATCGAGTTTTATTAAACATCCATTAATCTAATCGCTTAATAATTTTGTTTGATTTCTTTACATTTAAAATAATAGCAAGAATAATACCGTAAATAGCTACGGCTTCACAGAAAATAATACTAATAATATTTTTTGAACGAATTCTTGGTTCTTTGACAGCAGCACCCATTAAAGAAGCAGCTGTGATCCAAATACCCCAAGCTGAACCAACAACTGATAAGGCCAATGAAATACCAATACCTAATTTTTCATTTTTTTTATATATAAATTTTTTATGATTATTACAATAAATTATTATATGACAAAAATTATTGATATATTTATAGTATATTAATAAAAGTTGTTAATAACTGATGGGTTTTATATTTTATTAATGAAAATAGTTAACTACATACCAATAGCACCCCAAGTTGATGGAGCAATAGTTGCAATAAAATATGTACTTAAACCATAATATGATGCACTATAGTCGATTGGACCGCTATAATCTGATGATGCAATTGAATTTGGGTTTACCATTTCTAATACATATAAATTAATAAATGTACAATTTATATATATAATTATGAAAAAAAAAAATTAAAAATTAAAAAAAAAAAAAAAAAAATTTTAAAAAAATTTAAAAAAAAATTTTAAAAAAAAAATAAAAAAAATAGTTTATCAATAGTTTTTTTCCAACACAAAAAAAACATAAGAAAAATTAATACGGAGATAATTTATATGCACACACAACCAGTTCCTTCTATTCCCTGGTTATGAAAAAAAAATAAACTAATGATTTTTAATTAGATAATATAAAAATAGGATTTTTATGTATTAAATTATATTATTTATATGATTATATTATATATATATAATAATAATAATATTTTAATAAAACAATAAGGAAAACGAATATAATTTTAAATGATTCAATTTTTTTTTTTTTAATTTTGGAAATAAATATTAAATTTGTTTTTTTTATTTTTTATTTTTTTTTTTATTTGTTTTTTTATTTTTATTTTTAATTGTAATATTATTTAAAAAAAAATAATTGTTTGATTAACTCAATTAGCTAAATGGACTACTATATTTGAGCCCTATTGTAAAAAAAAAAATAATTGGATATCAAATAATAATATAATCATTTTTATTTAGAATATTATTAAAATTACTTGTTTAATATATAGGAAATCGTTTTTTATAAATAAAAATAATAATAAATTTCTTATTTCAAAACTAGCGACTCGAGCCTGGTACTGGTATATTATGTTTTTATAAAAAAAATTTTAAAATTTTAAAATTTTTTTTTTTTCAAAATATAAATAATTCCAAACTAGTTTTTTTTTAATTTTTTATTTTAAAACACTTTGTTTCATAACATATAATTATAAAACTCTTTTTATTAAATAATATATAAGTTAAAAAAAGTTATAATTATTTTTTTTTTTTTTAAATTTTAAAATCATATACAGGTAAGAATATCTTTAAATTAAATATAATGTTGTTTGTTTGTATAAACCTTTCTCTTTTTTGTAATCAAAAAAAAACAATCTATAAAAAAGTTATTTAATTTAGCCCCCAACCACCAATATATTTTGCCTACACCGCGCCATAATTATAATTGTTTCTATTTATACAATTTAATAATAGTAATAGCAAAAATTAAAATAAATCAATTGGAATAGCTTAATAATCATTATCATGATATATTTATAATCACAACTCCTATATTATTTTAACATTATTGCCACCAGGTGTTATTTTTCCTTTTATTTTTTTTATTTTTTAAATTTTTTTTAAATTTTTTTTTTAAAAATAATTTTTTTAATTTTTTTTTTTTTTTTTTCAAAATTTTTTTTTCTATCAATTTTTTTTTTTTTTTAATTTTTTTTTAATTTTTTTTTTTAAATACACCCGTATTAACATATAATTATTTTTTAATTAATACACAGTATATATAAAGAACAAAATGTTCCAATTATTAAATTTATTAGCCTCTGCTTCATCAGCTGAATCCCAACTTGCCTACGGTACAAGAATTATCACTGACTCTTGGTAGGTTCATTTTATAAAATAAAATATACAGATAAAAAACCAAAAATATTAATACAATTTTTTTATTAAAAAATTTAAATAATAATTTAAATATTTTAGCCCAGTCTATGCTCCATTCTTTGGTGCTATGGGTATGTATATTGATTAGTTATTATTTAGTTTAGGTTATAATGTTACATTAGGGTTCATTTTTCAGATGGTGATTTACAAATTTTATACATTTTTTTATTTGTATTTCTTAAACAATACCATCTAACAATACAACCTTTAGATAACAGGATAATATAGTTTACAAAATATCAATCAAATAATATATTAATATTCATTTTATTTAATTAGGTGTTACTGCTGCCTTAGTTTTCACCGTTATGGGTGCTGCTTATGGTACCGCTAAAGCCTCAGTTGGTATTTCAAATATGGGTGTTATGAAACCAGATCTTGTTATTAAAGCTTTCATTCCAGTCATTTTTGCTGGTGTTATTGCTATTTACGGTCTTATTATTTGTGTCATTCTTGTTGGTGGTATTAAATCAAATCTTCCATACACTCTTATGAAATCATTCACTGATTTAGGTGCTGGTTTAACTGTCGGTCTTTGTGGTCTTGCTGCTGGTATGGCTATTGGTATTGTTGGTGACTCAGGTGTCAGAGCTTTCGGTCAACAACCAAAATTATACGTTATTATGATGCTTATTCTTATTTTCTCTGAAGCTCTTGGTCTTTACGGTTTAATTATTGGTATTTTATTATCATCTGTCTCAGATAAATATTGCCCAGGTACCCCATTATCCCCAAGCAACAAAAAATTAACCGGTCTCGAGTAATAAAATAATCAATATTTAAAAAATACAATTTTTTTATACAATAATAATATGGTAAAATATTAAAAAAAAAACTCTTTAAAAAAAAAAAAAAAGTAATATAATAAAATTAAAAAAAAAAAAAAAAAAAAATTTAAAAAAACTTTATTCAAATTATTTTTGGAATATATTGTGTGTTTTATTATCTAAAAACTATCATTTATTTAATTAATACTTAATTATTGATGATTTTCAATTTCATTTATTAATTTTTTCGGTTAAATACTCAATTATTTTTGTCAAACGAAATTAAACTAAACTAAAAATTTATTTTTATTTTTATTCAAAATATTTTCAAATCAAAAAAAAACTAATTAATACAGATTGTTAAAAAAATTAATTAAAAAATAAAAATTTATATATAGTTTTAATTATTTGTATTGAAATATTTTCATCTTTTTTTTTTTTTTTTTAAAAAAAAATTAACGTTTAGTTTTTTTTGTTTGGATTTTTTATTTTTTTTTATTTTTTATTTTTTTTTTAAAAACTAAAAATTCCCATAATTTAGTAATCATAATGATCAAACCAAATGAAAAATATTATGGATCTAAGCAATTTGGTAAGAATGCTCTCAATTTCCCAAGTCAAATTGCATTGGTTATTTCTAGATATAATCAGTGTGTCGATGGGAGCACAGAGTAAAGTTTCATTAAGTTTTTTTACGACTAAACGTTTTCACAGTTTTTTTGTTAATGGCCTAGTGAATAAATTTATTTTAAAAATTAAAGAAAAAAAAAAACTAAATAATTTATATTATTTAAACAAAATGTTTTTATAACTATCGGTTATGTAAATATTTGTTATATTTATAATAAGAGATTTCAACATTACTATCAATTGATAGTAATATTAAAAATTCTTAAAATAAAATATAATAAATATTTATTTACCCATATTATATTATTATATATTATTATTTATCACTTATCACTTATTCAACAATTAATCAATTTTTATTTTATTTTTTTATTTTTTTTTTTTTTTTTTTTTTTTTTTTTTGTTGAATCACAAAAATAAACATAAAAATAAAATTTTTATTTATATTTTATTTATATTTTAAATATGTATATATTATCCAATTTATTTAATAATAGTTTTTTTTTTTTTCTCATACCTTTAACACCAGGATATTGTGATACTGGTGGGTAAAGGAAAATTAGCTCCATATAAATTTAATTTTGTGTTAAGGAAAAAAAACTTTTTTTTTTTTTTTAAATTTTTTTTTAAAAATTTTTTTAAAAATTTTTTTTAAATTTTTTAAAATTTTTTAAAATTATTTTTTTTCAAAATAATTAAATAAATAAACTATATTTTTATATACATATATATATATAATATAAAATGTTTCAATTATTAAATTTATTAGCCAGTTTAAGTCCAGAATTATATTTAAACGGAAATCGTATTATTACTGATGCCTGGTAAGTTTTTTTTGCATATGCGATACACGAGGAAATTTTAACTCTTTCCTTTAACTCCTATATATGATATGATTTGATTAATCTTATCAAAACATCAATAGGAGATTTTATATAAAGTTTGATTTTTAAAATTAATACTAGTATTCTAGTTTTAAATTTTAACACTTATTTATATGATATTTCCTATTTTTATAAATTATCTATAATATATAAAAATAATTTAATATTGAAATAGTATTAATATTAAAATTTAAATTTAAATTTATAGTCCAGTTTATGCTCCATTCTTTGGTGCTATGGGTATGTTTTTAATATATATAGGTTATTCAGAATTGTGCAGTAGATTTTATAAAAAAACATTATAAATCAACAGATCACTCCTTCAATCAAAACCTTCAAACAAATTTACAATAATTATAAAACAAAAGATGGAACCATTTATATTCGATTATTATTTAATTTTAAAATTTTTCAATTTCACATCAATCATACAACTGATCAAACAGTTAGGATTATACAAATAATTAGTTATTATATTTTAGATCAATTTATGTATTGTTGTGGTTATGAATATATTAATATTATTATTCCCCATGAGAGATAATAATAATTATAATTATAATAATAATGATAACAATGATAATATTAATAATGAAAAAGAGGATTTGATAATAAAGTTATAGTTAATTGAATAATAATTATGGTTATTTTACAACTAATAAATATGCTGCGCAATCAAATTAAACTTACCAAAAATCATTGTTTTTATTATATAATAGTGTTACATATATATTAATTGTTATTCATTTTATTTAATTAGGTATTGCTGGTGCTTTAATTTTTACAGTTATGGGTGCTGCTTATGGTACCGCTAAAGCTTCAGTTGGTATTTCAAATATGGGTGTTTTAAAACCAGATCTTGTTATTAAAGCTTTCATTCCAGTCATTTTTGCTGGTGTTATTGCTATTTACGGTCTTATTATTTGTGTCATTCTTGTCGGTGGTATTAAAGTAGATAAACCATACACTCTCTTAAAGGCATTCACTGATTTAGGTTCTGGTTTAACTGTCGGTCTTTGTGGTCTTGCTGCTGGTTGTGCCATCGGTATTGTCGGTGATTCTGGTGTCAGAGGTTTCGGTCAACAACAAAAATTATACGTTATTATGATGCTTATTCTTATTTTCTCTGAAGCTCTTGGTCTTTACGGTTTAATTATTGGTATTTTATTATCATCAGTCTCAGACTCTTATTGTCCAGGTAGTATTTTAACTCCAAATGGTTATGTTGATCTTTAAATACAATACAAATATAAACAAAACAAACAATTAAAATAATATAAATCAAATCAACCTTTTTAAAAAAAAATATTTAAAAAATAAAACTATATAAAAAAAAAATAAAAAAAAAAATTATAAAAAAAAAAAAAAAAAAAAAGAAAAGAAATCAAATATTTAAATGTATTTGGTTTGATCACAAAATAAAAATTATTTTATTTAAATTATAAATATCACAATCAAATACACTCATAACAAAAATTAATAGGTTTATTTCCTTTTTAAATTTGTTGCACAAAATGGGAATTTATTTAAAAATTATTAAAAAAATAAATTCACCTGTTTGTTCACACGAGTTCGCACTCCGACATTAGTTTCCCACTCAATAAAACACGTCATTTGGAATAATTTTCAAATAATAAAAACTGCATGCATATCCATACAGACTCCAAAAAAAAACGATTTAGATATTTCCTTTTTTTTTTTTTTTTTTTTTTTTTTTAATTTTTTTTTTTTTGTAAATTTATTTTTTTTCTAAATTATTTTTTAATTTTTATTTTTTTTATTTTTTTTAGTTGAAAGTGTTGTGTGTGTATTTTATTTTGTTGGATTATAAAAAAAAATATCATTTGTTTTTTTTTTTTTTTTTATATTTTTTATTTATTATATTGTATTTATTTGTTTTGATAAAATAAATGAAAACATTACCAATTAATAATACTAATAACAATAAAAATGAAAATAACCACAATAATGATCATCATATGATAATTGGATCAATGTCCAGCGTTGGAAGTATCGAAGACATTGACATTGATTCAGAGCCACCACCAATCACAATCAATTTGCAAAGACCAAACACTAGCAATAATTCGTGCATTACAGTCGTTTTAGAAAAAGATAATTGCACAGATATAAAATCAGTTATAGAAAATTTAAAGGTACATAAAAATATATTTAATGTTTTTTTTAAAAATATATAAAATTAAAATTTAAATTTAAAATTTTTTTTTTTTTTTTAAATTTATAGGTTCAATTAGAAAGTACAATAAAAGATTTGAATTTTTTCAAAGATAATTTTGAACAGATTGAAACAAACAATCAAATTAAAGAATGGTCATATTTTATTCACAATATTAAAAGTAATTCATTAAACAATTCAAATGTTTATTTAACCATACCAACAAGTTTAACATCATCTGCATCATCATCATCATTAACATCATTAACATCAGCACCTGCATCATTAAACAATAGTGGTAATAATATCATCATTGCTTCACCAGATTCATTAAAATCAAATGAAATATCAAAAGATTCAAAAACCTCAAATAATGTACCATTAGCCTTAACACAAAAACATCAACCAAACAACAATAATAAAACCAATGAAGAAGAAAATACAAATTCTGAAGTTGATAACATTCAAATTACAAATTATACTCAAGGTCCATCTATAATAACACAAATGAAAAAGAGATTTGAAAATAAAATTAAAAATAGTAATTTAAATTTAAACACAAGTAATAGTAATAATAATAGTAATAGTAATAATAATAATAATAATAATAATAATATGAATAATATGAATAAAGATAATAATTTTTCAACATCATTATCACCACCAATATCACCACCAATATCACCACCAATTTCACCACCAATATCACCACCATCATCACCACCATCAAGTATTATATCACAATCTCTAGCTACATCAAGTGTATTAAATCCCTTATCAGTTACAAAAAGGATGAATAAAATTAAAACATGGACATCCACCAAACCTTCTTCATCATCTATCAATTTTGGATCTAGTGTTAAAACTTCATCACTAAATATTACTGGTTCAAGTAGATTTTTTACATCCAGACAAGATAGTTCAAAATTAATGGTTAATAGTAGTAGTGGTAGTAATGTTTCAGTACCATCCTCACCCCCATCTTCACCTTTAGTAAATCCTCAATCACCAAATGTTTTAAATGAGGAAGAAATAAATGAAACTAATAATAATAATGAATTAACAGTTGAAGAAGAAGAGTTAAAAAAACAAATTTTAAAAGAAAGACAAGAAAATGATTTATTAAAAAAGAAACAATATTTTTCAAAAGGTTATTTTGTAAAGACATGTAATGCATCACATGATGATTGTACAGAGGAAGAGGAGATACCAATTAATGAAGATCATTGGGAGACTAATGTTATAGTAGTTCTACCATGTAGACATCACGTTAAGGTACCAGGTTCATCAAGTAGCACTATCGAGTCTATTAGACAATTAGCATGGGCAAGTGGTAAAATGCAAGGTCATATCAATTTAGATAAAGATGAAAAATCATTTACATTGAAATGGTGTAACAAAGATTGTGCCTTTGATCAAGATACCCCGTTACTTCATTTGGTACAATACAACTTAAATTATAATACTCAAAAGGTGGGCAATATTAAACTAGAGTTGGTATTGGAGGATGAGCTATGCAAGGAAAGATTGGTAGATTTACAAAGTTTGGAAATTAATAATGGTAAACCAAGTTATTGGAAATCTCATATTGACGAGGTTTTAAGATTTAATAAGGTTTTACGTGACATAGCAATTTTCGCAAATCCTCAATTTAATAGTATTATTTGTGCCCGTACATCACCCTATCCACCACCTCAATCTATTCCAGAGTTTTTTGTTATTAGAGTTCACATTAAAGATCAAACTAAATCACTTCGTTGCTCCAATAACCATACAGCTTTAAGTTTAATGACAATCCTTTCCGAAAAATTAAAAAATACAATACCCTTCAATCCCACAGAATATTTGTTTATAATTACTGGTATAAATCAATATATTAATCCAAATTTAAATTTATTATCAGTAGAATATATATTAGAAAAAATTAAAAGAAAAGGTGAAATTGATTTAACAATTATAAATATTAATCAATTAAATAATAATCAATTATTAAAATTAAAACAAGATAATAGTAATAATAGTATAGATAAACAGGAATCAAATTCAACTTTAGATAATGTTAAATTATTATCAAAAGAATCATCAAAATTAATAAACTTATTATTAAATAATAATAATAATAGTAATTGTAATAATAATAATAATAATAAATTAAAAAATAATATCAATAGTGACAATGAAAATCAATATATTAAATCAATTTTAATTGAAGAAAATTTAAAAGTAAGATTGTTGCATGCTCATGAAATATTTTCAAGTAATATTTATGAAATTATAGGTAGTGAATCGACCAATATACAAATATATATAGAAGTTAGTCTTTATTTTGGTGGTGAATTACTGGCAACCCAAAATAGTAGATTGGTTAGTTATCAAGATACAGTAGTTTGGAATGAATGGATAGAGGTACCAATTTCAGTATCAAATATACCAAATGGGTCTCGTATGTGTTTGGGTTTACATGCAAAGTATCGTGGTGAAATTTATCCAATTGGTTGGGTTGGTCATAGATTGTTTGATTCTAAAGGTATTTTAAATACATTTGCTCCATTCTCTTTATTGTTATGGCCAGGTAAAATAAATCCAATAGGAAGTTGTGTAGATAATTTAGAATCTAAAGATCAAGCTATCATTATTGCATTCGAATTTAAAGAATATTTCGTCCCAAAGATCATCTATTATGAAAATGATATTATTGGTCATTTAAAGAGTTTGGAAAAAGATAAAGAAAGTAACTCCGAATTGCCATCAGCATTACCATCTGTTACCACAGAAGATATGGACCGTGTTGAACAAATTATGCTTCAGGATCCATTATATCGATTAACAAAGGAGGAAAAAGAGTTATTTTGGAAAACACGTTATTTTTGCCAAACTAAACCCCAAACACTTTCAAAATTACTTCAAAGTGTCGAATGGACAGATTATAGACAGGTTGGTGAAGCTTACCAGTTATTAGAAATTTGGCCTATTTTACCTGCTGTAGATGCTTTGGAGTTATTGGATCCCAAATTTGCAGATTCTGTAGAGATTAGAGAGTATGCTGTAAAATGTTTAGATCAAATGTCAGATTACGAATTAGAGATTTACTTGTTACAATTAGTACAGGCTATCAAGCATGACGTATTCCATGGCTCAGTTTTAAGTCTCTTTTTAATTGGCAGAGTTTTACAAAACATCGACTTGTTGGGCCATTATTTCTTTTGGCATTTACGTGCCGATATTGACAATCAAGAGGTTTGTGAAAGATTTAGAGTACTCAGTTCTGCTTTCTTACGTTATGCTCCTCCTCTTTTGGGTGAAGAACTTAAAAAAGAAATTACAACTCTTCGTATTTTAGAAAATTTATCAAAGCGTGTTAGAGAAGTGCCATATGAAAAAAGAAAGCAATACGTCGAATCACATTTAACCGAAGAGCAAAATTTCCCAAAAGATATATTAATACCCTACGATCCATCTATCAAGGTTCTTAATATTGTTCCACAAAAGTGTAAATCAATGGATTCAGCTAAAGTGCCATTATGGGTAACATTCAAAAACTCTGACTCATTCGCTCCACCTCTTCAAATGATGGTCAAAACAGGTGATGATTTAAGACAAGATATTCTCACTTTACAACTATTAAGATTAATGGACCACATGTGGAAATCTCATGATTTGGATTTACATATGACTATTTATCGTTGTATAGCAACAGGTGTTGGTACAGGTTTAATCGAAATTGTTCCAAACTCGGAAACTGCTGCAAGAATCCAAGCAGCTGCTGGTGGTTTTAGTGGTGCATTCAAGCAGACTCCAATCGCTAATTGGTTAAAGAATCATAATCAAACAGAAAACAATTACCAAAAGGCAGTTTCCAAATTTACTCATTCTTGTGCTGGTTATTGTGTTGCAACCTATGTACTCGGTATAGGTGATAGACACAACGATAACATTATGATTGATAAATATGGTCATCTTTTCCACATCGATTTTGGTCACTTCCTTGGTAATTTTAAAACATTTGCTGGTTTCCAACGTGAAAAAGCTCCATTTGTTTTAACACCCGATTTCGTTTATGTAATTGGTGGTAAGGATTCTAAAAATTTCAATTACTTTATCGATATTTGTTGTAAAGCATATAACATTGTTAGAAATAATGCTCATATATTTATAAATATGTTTGAATTGGTAAGTATAGATATATTATTATTATTTTAAATTAATAAATATTAATTATTTTTAAATAATCATTTAGATGTTATCAACTGGTATTCCTGAACTTAAAAGTGAAAGTGATATTGTATATTTAAGAGATAAGTTTAGATTGGATCTCAACGATATCGAAGCTGCAGATTACTTCAAAAAATTAATACACGAATCAATAGGTACATTAACAACCCAACTTAATTTTGCTTTTCATATATTTTATCATAGAGCAAATCTTGTAAATGGTCAAGAAAAATCAACAAACAATGTCAGCAGTAGTTTAGTTTATGGTAGTAGTTCAAACAGTTCAAATAGTAGTAGTTTAAATTTATTAAAGAGTAGTAGTGCAAACAATAATAATAATAATGGCAGTGGAAACAATAGTGGCAGTAGCACACCAAGAGAGACTAGTAGAATTGACAAATCGGAAATTAAAAAAAATATTAAAAATATAGAATATGAAAAAGATGAAGATACAGTCAGATCGATAGATAAAGATGAAAATAAATAAATTATTATTGTTAACATTTTTATAACAATAAATATTTTTTAGAAATTAATGTATAATATTTTTATTAAATACCCAAACATGTATTTTGATTTCATTAATGGTTTTATTTTTTTTTTATTTAATTTTTAATAAACCAATATCTTTTAATATTATTTATTTTGGGGTTCTTATATAAATTTTAAATATGACCTATTAGTTCAATATTTATCATTGGGGGTTTACATATTTATTCCGGGAAATACCACTACTATCACTTTGATATTTGGTACCATCTTAGGTTTAATAATAAATTTAAATATTTAACAATTTAAAAGTATAAATAATTCAATTAAATTATTATCAATTATAAGTTCATTTTATATTTTATATAGAGATAATAAAATACTCTATTTTTAGTTTATACAATTAATAATCTATCTATAAACAATGCATATATATTGAATAAAGATTTAAATTTATTAGATTAACTTTTATTTGTCTTATTTATTTATTGATTTTCTTTTTACATTTTTTTTTATATTCCAAATTATACTTTTTTCTAGCTTTATAATCATGATAGCATTGTGAGGGATTAATTTTTATAAAAATTTGTTAAAAGTTGATGCAAGTTATTCAAATAATACATTTGTTGCACTAACAATCAGCAATTTTCATCAATTTGGGGATGTAGCTCATATGGTAGAGCGTAAGGTTTGCAATAATACAGCAACATCAGACCTCCTTAAGGGAAGGGGATCGATACCCCTCTTCTCCAATTTTTTTTTTTTTTTTTCCTGCCGGGCTTTTTTTTAAATCCAGGGCCACATTTGTAAAGATCACAAAAAATTGGTTTGTTTTGGCTATGGAGCGTATATTTTATAATAAAACTATTGTTGTTTACAACCTCAAAATGGACTAAACTAGCTACTTTAGAATACTTAAAAGGTTTAAAAAACATCAAGGAAAGACACGCTAAACAACCACAAACAATTAGCAACATCAATGAAGAATATAGAAAATTCAAAAGAAGAATAGCAAGAGCATACTTCATCAGCATCAAATCTTTACCAAATATCAACAGTTTAGAATATTTTCTTTAAAAACATTACAAAAAACATTAAATAAAATTTACTGATTAATTTAAAGCATTTGCTTTTTATTATCTTCACTTTTAAAAAAAAAAAAAAAAAAAAAAAAAATATTGTTGTTTACAAAGAAAAATAAATATTTATTTTATTATTTAAAAAAAAATAAAAAATTTTAAAATATGATTATTCCTATATTTTAATAAAACACAGGTGTTATAATTATGATATTATTTCTTTAATAACAATGGAGTACAATTAATTTTTATTAAGTAGCCCCATCTTCATTACAATTAATTAAATAAAATAATTTTTAAAAATTAATTTTTCAAATTTTTTAAAAAAAAATTATTTTTATTATAAAATTTTTTTTTTTATTTAAATATAATTTATAAAAAAAAAACACAAGTGTTCACATAATAATAATAATAATAATAATAATAATAAAAATAAGTATTAATAAAAATGACAACTACATTACATGAAGAAATCAAAAAAATGGAAACAAATGAAATTATCCCTCAAATAGTAAAGTCAGTTCCATGTAAAAAATTAATAGTAAAGTATGGTATTAGAGAAATGGATTTGGGAGATGTTATAACACCAACAGCAGCAAAAGATAAGCCAACATTAGTAGATTATGTGTACGAAAAGGATCAATTTTATACATTAATATTAATAGATGCCGATGACCCATCAAGAACCAATAGATTAAATGCAGAGGTTAAACATTGGATTTTGGTTAATATAAAAGAGAATAATGTAAATAAAGGTGAACATTTGGTTCAATATTTGGGACCCACACCACCTGTTGGTACATTTTTACACCGTTATATTTTCATATTATGTAAACAACCTTCAAAATTAGATTTCAAAGGAGAATATAAAATACCATTCACGTATGAAAATTATATTAATTATAATTAAATACTAAATATTATAAAGAATAAAAAACTAATTTTTTTTTTATAATTTTACAGTTTGGAAAATAGAAAAAATTGGAGTTCTGATGAATTTATAAAAAAATGGGATTTAATTATAGAAGGAATAAATTATTTTGAATGTCAATATGATGACCAAGCACAATTTATAAATGAAAAATTAATAGAATCACAGGAAGAATCAATAAAAATTAAATAAAATTATTTTATTTAATTTTAATTAATTTAATTAAGATTAATCTCTTCATTTTTATAATAATATATTTATTTTTATTTTTTTTATGTATTTTTTTTTTTTTTTTTTTTTTATGTGTTTTTAACTAACAGTTTTTTTTTTTTTTTTTTTTTTTTTATTTATTTTTTAAAAAGTATTAAATTAATATAAAAATGTAAGTAAATTATATTATAATATGAAGATTTTAATTTTATTATCATATTAATATTAATGTTTAACTATTTCAGGAAAAATTTTTTTGATTTAAAAAATCATACACATCATGAATTACCAGACGTAAAATATTTTCTTCCTTTTTTTATTTTAACTTGGATAGCAGAATTTTTACTTCAGATATATGATAATGTATATAAGAATAAAAAAATTGAGAATGATATAAATGACTCAGTGCTTTCAATTTTTCACGGTGTTTTTCATTTTATTATTCACTTTTTTTTAAAACCTTTATTTTTTTTGCCATATATATATTTGTAAGTATTTATTTAACCTTTACAATTTTTTTTATTATATTAACTTTTTCTTTAAAAATAGGTGGGATAACTATAGACTCATAAATGAGTTTTCAAATAGCTTTATATTAAACTCTGTTTTATCATTTTTGCTAATTGACATATCAATTTATTGGTAAATATGGACTACTTTAAAAATAATAAATATATATTATATTAAAAAAAATTATTAATATAAAACATTAGGTTTCATATTCTAGAACACAAAACAAATATATTTTGGGCTTTCCATTTACCCCATCATTCATCAGATTATTATGGCCTTCAATTAGCACTAAGACAGAGTATCATTGTTTATTTTGTATTTTGGATACCATTCATTTTTTATATGCCTTTCTTGGTACACCCATATTACTTTTCACTATATTTTTATATTAATAGATATTTAGCATTTTTTTCACACACAAGGATGTTAAGTGGTATTAATATAAAGTATTTAGATTTAATTTTGGTAACACCAAGTGTTCATGAAATTCATCATGCTAGTAACAAGGAATATATAGATACAAACTTTGGTTCAATTTTAATCATATGGGATAGAATATTTGGTACTTTTCAAGATGATATAGGAATTAAAATAGAACTTGGGATAAGCGGTATACCAAATGCATCAAACACAATGGATTGGATAAACTTTAACCATTTTGGCCATATGTATAGAATATCAAAAAGATTAAAGGGTTTACACAAATTAAAGGTTTTATATAAATCACCAGGATGGTTACCAGAACATCAATATGATGAAAAAGATTTGCATCCAAAAGATAAAAGTATTTCAAAACAACCTGTCAAAACCATTGCAAAGAAAAAGGAACCCAATAGTGTTCTTAGTTTTATTATGTCTTTTTATTTACTCTCTGAAACAGCTCCAGCCATAGCACTACTATTTGCCATGGGTCATTTAAAGTATTATTTTTCAAATATGGACTATGTAAAAATAATGGTATTATTTTTAACTCAAATTCTATTTGTATCTTTTAACCTAGAAAATAATAATAATAACCCAATCATAAGAAAAGGCCAAAATAGCAATAAGAAGCAATCTTTTTTCGGAGTATTCAAATTATTTTCAATCTTTCAACTAATCAGATTGTTTATAACTTTATATTATTTTTATACATATATAATTTATGACACCAATGATAATAATATCATTTATATATTTAATTTTTTGTTTTATTATACCGCTGCACAAATTTTATTATGGTTATACTCAATCAACACATCATTTTATAATATTATATATTCAAAATAATAAAATTGGGAAAATTAAAATCAAAAATCAAATAAAATTGGGAAAATTTAAAATCAAAAATCAAAAATTTAATAAAATTTTATTATTGAACTGACCAGGTATCGGTAATTAAAACCAAAACGCCTATAATTGAAATGAAAAAGTATTTGGAAATTTATGATTTTTTATTTATTTTATTTTTTAAAATAAAAAAAATGATATTTCCATAGCACGATTTTTTCGTTTAAAAATAATTTTTTATTATTTTTTTTAATTTTTTTATTTTTTTTATTTTTTTTTTGTTCATTTTATTTATAAATTTTTTTTGTGCAATACCAAACAATGAGAATTTTAATATTTTTAATTTTATCTCTTTTAGCCACTGTATCATTAGGTCAATATAGTTGCTCCAACCCATGTTATGGCAATGTAAGAGTTATATTAATTTTATTTTATTTTTAAAAAAGATATTAATATTTTTTTTTTTTTATTAAAATACAGATGTGTTGTAGCACACCTTCAAACAATGAATATTATTTAACTACTTTTTGTGATGAGGTAGGTTTTTATTTTTATTTATTTTTTAAATAATTATTTATTAATATAATTATTTTATTTTTTTTTTTAAAATAGTCAACAGCTTGTGGAACACCTTGTAGCGCTCAAACATATTTCAGTAAATAATTAAAATATTACAATTAGTTTTTTTTTTATATATTAATTTTGTTATAATACTTTAGCTGCTGATAGTCAACGTTTTGGTTGTGGTGTAACACTCACCATTTGCTCTGCTAGTGGAGGTAGCACCACTACTGGTGGTACAGGTTCAGCTGGTACATCCTCATCATCAAGTGGAAGTGGTAGTGGTAGTGGTTGTAAGTATTGATTTTTTTCTTAAAAAATTGTTTCACCCAAATTAATAGTTTTTTTTTAATTGATATTTTTAGCTGGTTCAGGCAGCGCATCAAGCGGAAGTGGTTCAGGTAAATAAAAGTTATTTTGTTTAATAATTATTACATTCAAGTTTAACTAAATTTTTTTTTTTTTTTTCAGGCTCATCCAGTGGTTCAGGTAGTGGTATGTTTATAATACAAGATTATTTAAATAATTAAACAAATAAAAAATTAATAATTTTTTTTTAAAAAATAGGATCCTCATCAAGTGGTTCAGGCAGTGGTAGTAGTAGTGGAAGTGGTAGTGGAAGTGGAAGCGGAAGTGGCTCTACAATGGAAATTGGAGGGTAAGTTTAGAGCTCATTACTATACATAGTCATATTAAAAATATTAATTATAATTTCAATAAATAGATTTTATGGTGTTTGTGTTAAAGCTGTTACCATTGATGCTGGTCCAAATATCTCTGTTGAAGAAGAAGCTGGTATGGCTATTATTGATGCATCATCACAAGTTTGCCAAGATCTTTTTGGTTCAAGTTCATGTGGATGGTCAGATAAAAGAGCTATTACAGCTGTTCAATCATCACTCGAAGATGGTTTCCCAGTCAATACCCCATTCAATGTCACCTTTGAAGAATTTAATAAAATTGTTTACAGTGGTATGATTTTAAAAGACCAATGCTCCAGCAAAAATGATTGTAAATTCAATAAACAAAATTAGACATCAATTAAAATAACCAATCAAATAACAAATTAAATATTTAAATTTTCAAATAAATTATTTAAATTTAAAGTTTTATATTATAACAAAATAATTTGTTTAATTTTTTTAAAAATAATTTATAATTACAAATGTCTGATCAATTTCAACTTATTTATAATTATTAATTGGAAAAAAAAAAAAATTAAAGTTTATTTTTATTTTAAAATTAACATCATTGAGAAATGAAAATCAATTTTCAAATAAATTGTGGTTCTAAAAAAATTTGTTTTGTTTGTGGGTGTGTTTTGACCAAATTTTTATTTATTTTTTTTTATGAATTTAAAAAAAGAAAAAAAAAATTAAATAAAATATAATAATCACCAAAAAAGGAAAATAAAAAAAAACGAAATGGAATTACAATAAAAAGAATATAAACAAACAAATAATTACATTAAATTTCTTTAAAAAAAAAGAGGAAACACAAGAGAAAAAATAAATAAAAAAATAAAAAAAAAAATATAAAAAAATTTTTTTTTTTTTTTTTTTAAAATTTTTTTTAATTTTTTTAATTTTTTTTTTAAAAAAACATATTTTCAATTTATATATATATAAAATAAATTAAATAAATAATAAAGATATATAAATTAATATATAAATAATTAAATCGACTTTTTTTTTTTCCTTTTTCAATAATTAATCATCACAATATTAATCAAATAAAATAGTAAATGGACAATAGTAAACCCAAAGAAGGAAATTCCGATAAACCACCACAGAAACCTCAACAACAAAAACAGCCAAAAGAAAATAAACCAAAAAATAATAACAATAATGATAAACCAAAAGATCATAATAACAAACCCAAAGAAAATGGTGAAGTAAAACAAAATAAACCAAGAAATCAACAAAAATCGAATGATAAGAATGGAAATAAAAGTGAAGGAGGTGAACAAAAATCACAACAAAACAAACCACATCATAACAATAGTCACCATCATCACCATCATCACCATAATAAGAAATCAACAACAACAGTAACATCAACAACATCAATAACATCAACAACAATAACAGCCACAAATAATAATGCACCAAATAAAAATAATAAAAATAAAACTTTAGAATTCCAATCAGATAAATCATTAATCACATTATTAGATTTAAAAAGATATGAAAATCCAAATAATCAAGATAGTTGTATTATTTGTTGTGATCCAATAATATTTTATTCAGTGGGTATTTGTGACCATACAGAGGTATGTGGATTTTGTGTATTAAGACAAAGAGAACTTTATAAAGATTTCAAGTGTTGTATTTGTAAAACTGAATCACAAAGTGTAATAATCACCCAAGATAAAGAAAAAAAATTTGAAGAATATATGAAAGAGAAATCCAACTTATCACACAACAGCAAACTGAAAATTTACTTTACAAGACCGGAATTAGAGTTAAGCTTACCAAGACTCTGGAACGCAATTTGTCAAATCTGTAATGAAAGCCATGGAAATTTGAAAAAATTAGAACATCATTTGACCAGTGACCATGCATTAATGTATTGTAAGATTTGTTTAGACGATAGAAAGGTTTTCTTGGCAGAACAAAATCTTTATGAACCAAAGAAATTACCAATGCACATGGCTGATTGGGACGGTGGTACAGGTATGGCAAATAGCAAAAAGAAAGGTCATCCATCTTGCAAATTTTGTAATAAATATTTTTATGGCAACGATCAACTCTATGATCATTTAAACAAAAATCATTTTCTTTGCTTTGTCTGCGAAAACAAAGGCCTTCTCTATCAATATTTCCCAGATTACGCAAGAATCCGTCATCATTTCCAAGATGAACATTATCCATGTATGCATCCGGAATGTTTAGAAAAGAAATTTATTGTTTTCGCTGATGAAATTACCCTTCGTTCTCACGAAATATCGACTCATTTAGATATGAGTAGAATGTCTAAAGGTCAAAGACGTAATGCTACTGCAGTTAATGTAAACTTTGAGCGTACTTCTTTTTCATCACAAAACCAAAATTCAAATTTTGGTAATCAACAAATTCCATCAGCTGATTCATTTTCAACAAATTTAAGTGGCCATCAAGTTATCCCAAGACAAACTACCACCACAACCACTACCACCACTACTACTACCACCACTAATAACAATAATAATGTTGTTTCACCATCAGTTTCAAATGTTAGATTATTGAATGCTCCAGCTCCATCAACTTTTAATCCAGATTTTATTAAAGAAAAAGAAAAAGAAATTTCTCAACCTGAAATTGATGAAAGAAATAAATTACTTATAACAAAGATTAAAGATATTTTAAATAACGATAAGAAATATCAAACCTTCAAATCATTATCTGTCGATTTTAAGAATAGTAAAATTGAGCCAAATACCTACTACACCAAATTCCTTGGTCTTTTTGGCACCAAAGCAAACGATATTTTTGATGAATTAATTGCTCTTTTACCAGACAAATCAAAGAGAGAAGCTCTATCACAAATCCATTCTTACATGAAGGTAGTTGAAGATCAATACCCATCATTAGGTGGCGCTATTTCTGCAAAAGCACCAAAAACTTCAAAAAATGCTCCATCGAATATCTGGTCAACTGGTTCATCATCAAATCTTTCAATTGTCAAAAACAGTCCATCCAATGATGGAATTTTATCATACCCTTCTTTTGTACCATCAAATCGTACTACTACCACCACTACAACCACCACCTCCTCAAGAAATAGTAATAGTAATCCAAACTCGGCATCTTCAATGGCTTCAAGATTACAAAGTGTACCATCCAAATACATTGACGACTCTGACTCTGATGAAGACTCTTACCCAACATTATCTTCAAATAATAATCTCGGTGGAGATAGATATACCTCAACAAATAATTTTTCGAAAATACAGGTAGAATCAAATAAAAGTTTCGCCTCAACTATTAAATCAAACTCATCATCATTATCGTCATCAACCACATCCATTCCAAGCAGTAGTAATTATAATTTCCCATCACTTGCATCAAACCCATCACTTAGATCAAATAAAATCCCAACTAAAGATGAATTCCCATCATTACCAGGCGCTGAAAACTTTGTACCAAAACCAAAGAAGGTTGTACAAGAAGAAAAGAAAGAGGAAAAATTTATTAAAAAAGGAGGTAAACAAAAACAAGTTTTACTTAAATTTGGTTAAATTGATATATAAATTAATAATAAAAAATTCAATTTTCAACAAAAAATATTGAAAATAGAAGTAATTAATAAATAATCAAATAATAATAACACAACTTCAAAATCATTTTCATTTTCATTTTCATTTTTTTTTTTCAATCAATGAAATTTATATGACAATTATCCTCACAGATTTTTCGTTATTTTTTTTTTTTTTTTTTTTTAAATTTTTGTTTTTTTTTTTTTTTTTTTTAAAAATAATTTTTTTTTTTTTCTATAATTTTTCATTTTATTTTTTTAATAAACGACACTTATTCAATTATTTAATTATTTAACTTACCAAAGGTCATATTTCCTTCAAAATTAAATAATTAATGATGAACAATTTATTAAAAATCAAACCCGATTTAATAAGATGTTCAATTAAAAATAACAGGCAATTAATAAATAATATCATTGTTTTAAATCAATCATCATCATTGTCATTATCAACATCATCAACATTTTTATTACAAACAAATAAAACAAAAAATGAAATTGGTTTAAGAAATTATAATACAAGAGAACAACAACCATACCAACAAAAAACATTTTCAAAATACCCAACTGCAGAATTATTCAAAAGTTACAGTAGAACTCTTGTTGATCCATTAACTGGTGATATTGATTTTTTAAAGTAATAATCATTTTTTAATATTTTTATAAGACATAAAATATAAAATTAAATTCTAATTTTTCAATTTATATTACAGGATCAAAGAAAAAATTGATTTTTTTTCATCGGAACAAAAAAAAGATAAATTAGAATTTTTATTTACATGGGCAACTAAAGTAATGAAAACTAAAAATATATTAATCTTAGAAATATTTTTATATCAATTTAGAAGATTAAGAATGCCAACATTTTTACAAGCATTACAATATATTAATCAAAATGATATACCACAAAATATATTTATATTCAATATTTCATTGTACTATTATTCAGAGAATGCTATGATGGATGAAGCAAGAAAATTAACAGATTTATTATTATCATTGGGTTCTCAATTGCCAGAAAAAGCATATTTAGCAATCATCAACACATTTTCGAGTGACCATGCAATGCTCAAAAAAGTTGACGAATTAATAAAGACCGATAGTGTATCTGACGACAAGACTAGATTATTAAATGAGCTATTTATACTCTATATTGAAAGTCATAGGGATTTGGAGTCTGCTTTATCACTTTTAGATATTTTAGAAGGCGATCAACTACAGGTTTATTTCAATACAATGATATCTTTACTTCAATTTTTTACCAATAATAATATGCAGGACCATGCAGTTTCACTCCTAAAGAATATAGGCCTCAAATATCCAACTTGGTTTGGTAGTAAGAAGTTCTGTGAAAGAGTAGCACCAATGATTTTATCACTTGGTCCACATTTACCTGAAATTTTAGAACATGCCGAAGCAAATGACTATACCTCTGTCAATTTATTCAACACTTTAATCAACACTTTTTCAATTAATAAAAACACTAAAGCTGTAGTCGAGCTATACAATAAAATGATTAAAAAGTTTGCACCAAATCCAACTACAATTAAGAGTCTTATCTTTTTAGCAGTCAAAGAAGAGAATGTAGAGCAGTGTCTTTATTGGTTTGGTATATTGAAGGGTTTAGGATTCTTTTTAAATTCAAAGCTTTTCGTTTATTTCATTAGATTCTTTATTCAAAAGAAGCAATACGATGTTGTTGAAGAATTGGTTGCCGATTACAAGGTTAATAGATCGTTATGGACACCAATGTCAACCGGTTATATCATCTATTACTATAACTATGTTAAAGATAACCCAGAGTTAAGAAAAGACATCGATCCAGTATTTTTATCACTCTTTGAAGAAACAGAGGATTATCGTGCACAGAGCACTGATCAAATTATTCAATTATGCTTACTTGACGATCGTTATGAAGCCGCAGAAGATTGGTTCAAAAACAAATCATTAAAATATGGAGTTGCACCATCCATGAATTCATATTTAAATTTTATTTCTTACCATCGTATAAGAAACGAATATCAACAAGCTGACTATTGGATCAAAAAAATGAAGAACGAGATTGATCAAGATATAATCAATTCAAATGATCAAATTTTTGATTATTTCCACAAATTCTACCAACCAAAGAATGATAAATCTGTAAAATCAAGCTATAAAGAAAGATCATTAAAACGTCTAGAAATCATCGAAAAAATTCAAACCGATTCAAATACTGCTATTCAAATGGTATTCTCATTACTAGAAAAAAGAGATTCAACAATTAATGAAGAGTTCTTTATTACCGTAGTTAGAAAATTAGCAAATATGAATAGAATTGATGATGTTAAAAGAATTTATGAATCATCTCTAGTATTTGGTTATATTCCTACTTTCCAATACACTTATGCATTTTTAAATAGCTTCTATAGAAAATCATCCTTCTCTAAATACATAGACTACATCAACAATCCACCAGTTGGCGCATTCAAGAAAGATTTTGAAAAGTCACATATCTGTATTCTTGCTGGTTTCTCATTAAGAAAATGTCTTAAGCTACTAGAAAACGAAAAAAGATATACCCAATACACAGACTCTAAAGAATTTTTAAATGGATTATTATCAAATTTAATCAATATGAATCAATATTCCAAAGTAAACATTTTAATGCAATCAATGCTCGATAAAAGCGAAAGAATCAGAGGCTCACATAATATCATATTCGATGATAGTGTATTAGAGTTTTATTTAATCAAGTTTATTCACAATCAACACCATATTCAATTCATCAACAAGCTATTAAACTATTTCCAAATCAATTCTATTCAATTCAATATTCCATTAATTAAAGCAGCAATGGCATCAAATCTTTTAATTGAAGGTAAAATTCAAGAATCATACAAATTATATAAACAAGTAATTTCAGACTATGGTAATATTACAATCTATGAACTAGGTATTAGAATCTATTCAAAGATCTACCCAATTCCACCAGCAGAAAACATTCAAAAATGGGATGATTTAAGAAATAAATTCAATATCGATTATGGTGTTAACATTAAGTCAATGTATTATCAATACTTTAAATCACTCATCGAAATTGGCAGATCTGATGTTGTCAGGAGAGAAATAGCTTTAAAAACATTTGATTTCTCAAATCTCAACTTTGAAACAATCAATTTAATCTTTAAGGTATACGAAGGTAGTCCAGAAAAAATATTAAAATTAGCAACATTACTTCATAATAAGAAATACTCTATTAAAGATAAGCATATTTTAAAACAAATCGAAGACTCCCATGTAATTTATCCAAAAGTAAATCCAAAAGAAATTAAAGAAATTTTAGAGAAAGTCAAAACCTTTAATTATATCGAAGAATTCAAATTTAACGATACCGAGGTACAACAATTAGAGCAAATTATAAACTTAAAACAAAATCATATAATTTATAACGAAAATTATTTAGAAAATGGTTTCAACGATAATTATAATAATGACTATTTTAATAATTTTGGTAATAGCGGAAATAGTGGCAATATTAGCAAAACCGATATTTTAATGGTTTAAAAATCAAATCAAATAAATATTAAATAATAAACAATAATAATAAAACATAACAATACATGTGGTAATACATAATAGTACCCCAACAATTATACTAATTAAAAAATAAAATAAAATAATCTTCTATTTTTATTTCTTTTATTTCTTTTTTTTATTATTTATTTTTACTTTAAAAAAAAGAGGGATTTTTTAATTTTGATTAACAAATTAAATAAACAATTCCACCATTACATAATTGGACTGGTACTAAGTTAACTGTTGTGATATGTGGGGCACATGGGGCTGGTGCTGGTGCAGGTTTTGCACATCCTGATCTACCACTTCCTCCTAATAAACCACCTAATAAACCACCTAATAAACCGCCACTTGCATTTGAGTTGCCACCAAAAGAACTAGAAACTCCACCAGATACTACTGAGCTTGAGGCTGATGATTTTGGGTTACCTAAATTGATGATTGAACCTACACAGATATATATTGAAAAAATAATTAATATTTTTTTATTTTTTTTTTTTATTTTTTTTTTTTAAATTTACCTAAGATTGTCATTTTTGTTTAGAAAAGAAATGTAATAATACTTTATATTAAAAAAAAAGTTTTACAAAGTTTTTTAGTTATTAAATTAAATAATTGTTTTGAAATGATTTATTTTTAAAAAAAAAATTTCAATTTATAAAAAAAAAAATTAAAAGCTTTTATAAATTAATTAATTTTGAAAGTAAATTGGAAACTTTAAAAAGGATTCATTCTACATTTTCTATAAGAATTTTAGGATAAAGTAATTTAAACTCTTTTTAGAAAATCATCAATTTTAAAATGGAATTAATATCTATTAATTTATAGTAATTTAAATAATATGAATCATTAATAATAATATATACTTTAAATAATCTATAAATAAATATCTCTTTTTATATTATTGTATCAATAAATAAAATACCCTTTATCATTTTTAAAATAAAATAGTAAAAAGACAAACATTTAGAACATTCATAGATTTATTTAAAATTCGATTCCCCCCTTTTTTTTAAATTTTAAAAAAATATAAATAAAAATGTGTGGGGTGTGGGGTTATTAATGCTTTGTAAATATATTAATAGAGTTTTAAAAGCGTAATAAAAATAAATTTTTGTAAAAATAAAAATATTAAATATATTTTTTGAATTATAAATAATTTAATAATGGTTTATTTTATTTTGTTTTTTTAAATAATTTTATAAATTATTTATTATTATTTATTAAATTTTTTAATAAAATTAAATGATTTTTTGATGGTTTGATATTATATTGTTTCTTTAAATCTGTTAATCTGCCTAATAAAAACTGAACTAAAGTAGTATCAATGATAATAGATTTTTCGTTTGATAAATAATCTAAAACTTCAATTAGATTTTCAATATTATTATTATTTATATTGCTATTATGATGATTATTATTACTGTCATTATTATCATTATTATTATTATTATTATTATTAATTTCTTGATTTATTTTAAAATTATTTATTTGTTTGGATTTATTATTTAATAAATAACCAAAAGTTATTAAATCTAAAATTGGTTTACTTATTTGAGTATTATTTTCTTTTATGAAATTTATTAAGGCATCTGAAGGATAGTTGTAATAGGACATACAATAAAGTAATACCGAGTCATTCATATTATCGCTATAATTACTATTATTTGATTTTAATGTGGCGTTGATTTGTTTAAGTTGATTATAATAATTTAATGATTCTTTAATATTGTTAATTCTTGATAAACCCCAAATTAATTGATTTAATACAAATTTGTTTAATTTAAAGTTCCATTTCTTTTTTAATTGCTCTAAATTCTTTAAAGAGTTTTTAACATCTTTTTCAACAATTAGGTGATGATAGAGAATTGCCATGAATGTTTGACTGTTGCCTTTAAATTTATCACTGGATGCTTTCTTTTTACTTGGTTTATAGTTATATGCCAATGCTGATAAATTATCTTCGTTCAAATAGAGACCCTCAGTAGCTTGATATTTGATTTTGTTATTAAATGTTTCTAAATCTAATTGAATACCTTCTCTTTCCATTTTATATTCGAGCATCTCTGCAAATTCAATGTCACTATTTTTATAGCAATGGATTAAAATTGGTTTATATAGTTCTAAAGTTCTTAGTTGTTTGGAGTTGTTTATCGGGTTCTCTCTAATTGCCCTATTGATGGCCTCTTCTGTTAACGGTTCGCCTAAACTAGCCAATCTACTTTTCTCTCTTTCTATAATTGGGTTATACAACAACATATACTCCTTTTCGTTTGCAGAGAATTGATTAAATATACCCATAAATTCATCGAATACTTGAGATGTTGTAGTATTTTCTTTTTGCTTTTTAAAGTGCTCATAGTAATGAATAAATACCTCTGGATAAAACTCTTGGAAATAAGACTCCATGTTTGAAGTGAGCATTTCGGCTGATGTAATTTGGTCTTGATTTAAAAATGCTTGAACCATATCACTATAGTCTGTTGGTGTAATATGTTGATTTATACTAATGCTTTCTAATAATTGGAAAAATCTATATAGTTTCGAATTCTTTTTTAAATACTGAAAAGCATACGATATCGCTAAGTTATCTTGAATAAAGTTGGTTTGGTGGTACTCTCTAGTTTTTTCGAAAAGTTTGAAATAGTCTTCTTGGTCTAAAGCTTCCTCAATGACTTTCTTATCTTGATCATTTAATATTAACTTATTTAGATTATTATATAGCATTGTAGTGGGTGTTGATTCCTTAAATAAATTGCCTTGGAGATAAATTTGGAATGAATATAAATGTAACTGTAGTCTATCTTTGAATGAGAGTGATTCAGCTGCATTGTTAATGGATGATTTAGTTAAAGTTTTATATTTTTCTAAAATTTGCTCTAAATCGGTCATGTTAAAGTGGTGTTGGAATGGATCTGTTTTGTTGAACTTGATAGTTGAAAGATTGCTCGATTTAATTTTATTTGATACCCTGTTTTTACTTCTTTTTAATTCTAATAGTTTAATTTTTTTATAAATTTTATTACTTGCTTTTTTAAATCTTTCTTTTTGAATATCTTTAGTTTCGGTTGATATTTTATATGATTTTTTTTCGAATGATTTTCTTTTCTTTTCAATTCTTTTCAATTCTTTTTCTTTTTCAATTCTTTGTTTTTCAATTCTTTCTTTTTCTAATTTGTTTTTTTCTTCTTCAATTTTCTTTTTATCTTCCTCTTCTTTCTTTTTTAATTCATACATTTTATCAATTTTAATATTATTTACTCCAAACCCAAATATATCTGTTTTTGGTTGTGGTTGTGGTTGTGGTTGTTGTGGTTTTGGTTGTTGTTGTTGATCTGTTGTTGGTTTTATATCTTTTACTGGTTTTTGTTTTGCTTTTTCAACTTCTTGTTCTTTATAAAATTTATTTGTTAATTGTTTTAATTGATTTTCGAGTAAAATTTTTTCATTAACTTTTTTCTTTATATTTATTGTGGTTTTTGGAAAAATTGATTTTGGTCTCTTTATCCATGGCTTATATAGAAATGTTACTTTTGGGCCTTGTGAATTATTGTCATGATCATCGACATCTTCGCTGTCATCCTCACTGTAATCCTCACTGTAATCTTCTTCACTGATATCATCTTTTGATAAATCTTCGGTTTTGATATCTTCGGTATTTACGTCATTTTCTAAATCAATTCCTTTGTCTAAATTGAACTTTTTAAAATCTTTAAGATCCTTTATATTTTTTAAATCATCGAAATTTAAACCATTTTTTTGAAAAGTGTCCATAACAATATCTAAAATTTTGCTGCCTCCACCATTTGCACTACCGTCATCTTGATCATCATTCTTTTTTTTTGTTGAATAATTCCTATTTTTAATATCTAAATTATTTAATATATTACTCTTATTATTGTTATTATTATTGTAATTATTATGATGGTTTAAATAGTTTATTATATTTAATCTGTAATTTATTTTATTTAAATAATTTAAATTATTTTTTTTTATTAAATTAAACATTTTTTCGGTATGAAAAATAAAAAAAAAAAATGAATTAAATTTAAAAAAAATAAAAAAAATAGAAAAAAAAAAAATAAAAAAAATGAAATAAATTAAAATTAGATATGTATTTAAAATAAAAACTGATTTTATTATTTATTTTTTAGTTTTTAATATTATTTATTCATTTTTATTATTTTCAAATCGTTATTACATTTGGCTGTGTTGATTGATTTTTTAAATTTAAAATATCCAATGAAAAAAATGATTTTATATTTTGTATGATTTTATTTAATTGTGGAATTTTGGTTAATACTATCCAGATTAAAAGTAAACCTAACCCTATAGATAAAGGAATTAGGAATACAATTGTTAGGGCAAATGATACAGTAGATCTATGTAAAAATTCTTCAATCCACTGGAATAGTGTCGCCAAATTTAAACCAATAATAAAGAGGGCTATTATTGTATTGATTATAATGATGGCTATATGGTTTTTAAAATCTCCCATTATATCTCTACGACTTGTAAATATAACTAGTGGTACAACTGCAAATGGTAAACCTATTGATAAAATTACTTGAGATAAAATTAATAGTGTATAAGTTGCTTTATCACCAAATACTAGTATTACTACAATCGCTGGAATTATCGCCATGAGTCTTGTTATAATTCTTCTAATCCATGGTCTAATTGTAAGCTTTACGAATCCTTCCATTACCACCTGCCCAGCCATTGTACCTGTGATGGTTGATGAATTACCTGATAAGAAGAGAGCTAGACCGAACAATATCGCTGCTAACTTACCATCCATCAATTGTTCCAACATTTTATATGCATCGTTAAGTTCTGTAACCTCAATTCCCCTTTTCCAAAATACAGATGCTGCTAACATTAAAATTGAGATATTAACAAAGAATGCGCAGTTGAGTGCCAACACTGTATCGATAACATTATATTTGTATGCTTGTTTAATTGAGCTTTTAGAGTCGTGCTTGATCTTTCTTGACTTTACAACTGAACCATGTAAAAATAAATTATGAGGCATTGTTGTTGCCCCAACTATACCTGTGGCGACCATAACACTATCAGAGTTTAATGTTGGTATAAAGCCTTTGAATACTTCACTTGCGATTGGTTTGGATAAGAAAAGTTCAATTACAAAGCATAGTGTAATTGAGGTTAGTAAAAATAGAATTAGGAATTCTAATTTTCTAATGCCCCATCTTTGAATAGCTAAAAATAACAGAGTATCTAATGAGGTAATGGCAACACCTGCGATCAAAGGTAAACCAAACAAAATATTAAGACCAATGGCAGTGCCAATAACTTCAGCCAAATCAGTTGCAACAATAGCCAACTCTGAAATAATCCATAAAACATAGTTTATAAAGGTACCGAATTCTTGTCTGCACATTTGAGCCAAATCATTTCTTGTTACCAAAGCCAATTTAATTACTAAGGTTTGTAAAAACAATGCCATTATATTTGAAAATAGTAAAACCCACATCAATTGATACCCAAATCTAGACCCACCTTCAATATCAGTGGCCCCTAAATAAATAAAAATCTATATTAATATCTTTTTTTATAATGGTGAGTTTTAGTTTAACTACATACAATTACCAGGATCCATATAACCTACTGATATGAATAAAGCAGGTCCTAAAAATGATTTTAATTTTTTAAATGAAAAACCTTTTTGATTTTCATTTTGTATTAATACTGTATAATCTGTATTCTCGATATCAAATTCTAAATTTTTTGTTAATGGTCTTGATTCTTTTTCGTCCTCCGAATCATCTTCAGATGAAATAGGTGATTTTGAAATGATAAATTCATCAATAATTTTATTATTATTTGCGCTATTTTCGTCAACAATACTATGGTTTAATAAATTTGGTGATGAGATGGAAGATATTGGTGAATTTGACCCACCATTAGTAACATTTACATTATCAAATACATAAATATTTTCATTAAGGGAAGTTTTTTTAAAATCTACTAATTCAATTTCATTCCAATTATCTATTTCATTTAATGATGATTCTTTATTACTATTATTACTATTATTACTATTATTACTATTATTACTATTATTACTATTATCAATATTGATTTTATCAGAATTATTATTATTCATTATTTTTAAATAATAATACTGTATTGTTATTTATTTTTTAATATATTAAAAAAAATTTTTATATTTTTTTAATTTTGTTTTATAGTGTGATTAAAATAAAAAAAAATATTAGAATTATTTTTTTTTTTTTTTTTATTTTAAAATTATAATAACCACACCTGCTCTTTGCAATTTTTTTTCTATATTTGTGTGTGAATGAAAGTGTGTGTTAAAATTTTATTAATATATTACTTTTTTTATGAAAATATTATATTTTAAAACTATAAATTTTCATTTTTATTATTATTTATTTAATTCTAAAAATAAATTAACTACAATTATAAATTACTTCTTTAATTGTTTATTGCAAACCAATTATTATAAAAATATAAAAATAAAAAATAAATTAAAGAAAAAAAAAAAAAAAAAAATTATTATCTGGGGGGAGGGTGATTATTTTATTTTTTTTAATTTTTTTTAAATATTATCATAATTTTTTTTTTTTTAAAAAAATCAAATTAATTAATCACCTGTTTATTTTTTTAAAATAAAAAAATTTGTTGCAATAACAAATATTTATTAATATAAAATGGAATTTATAAATAAAAAAATAAATGAAAAGTCAAGAGATATTTTACAAGGTTTAATATCACATGCAGATAAACAAGCACGTAAATCAACAAGAAATGAATTAATTGAAATAAATAAAGGTCATTACAAAAAATATTTAAATCTTGTTCCTATGATTGCCACTGTAAAAGGTATGTATTTTAAATTAATAATTTATATAGATATAAAGAAAATCAAATTTAACATTTATTTTTTTTAACAGTTATTAGGACATGCTTTAAAGAACCCTTAAATTTTCACATGGTTATTGAGTGTGAAAACTCTAATACAACACCACAAAAAACCCAATCTAGATACAAATCATTTGACTCTAATTGGAGTGAAGATAAACCATTTGAATTGTTTGTATCTTTTTATAGTTTATATATATAAAACAATTTTTAATTTATTAATATTTTATTTTTTTAGTTTGATGGAAAAAATAGAAAAAAAAGGATTTAATATTAATTTTATGATTATTCAGGAAAATAAATATCTTTTTAATAATACCAAATCTATTTTATCAGTTCATATAGATCAAGGTTTTATTGGTTCATCTTTAGAGGTTCGAAAGAAAGTTTATTTCGAAAGTATTAGAGAAGGATTGGAGGACGATATTATTATAGGAAATATTGAATTTGAAATTACAATGGCACCAATTAAAGATTTCGGCCTAAGATATTGGGAAAGATTACCAGTTTTTGACCCAAACTTTACAGTTCCACCCTATGCAATGCCATCAGATAGTTTTGTACACCATGATGAGTTTAATGAACTTATTGTTGGTTTTGTAATTGTATGTAAAAATTAAATATGGAAATTGAAAAAAATTAAAAATATAAACTAATAATGTTGTTAATAGGTATACTGGTTATTAAGAGGTGAAAAAAATTCATTTGAAATGTTACCACCAAATATTCAATCAAGATGTGACTTTAGCAACACTGATGAATTTTTTACATCAAGAAGACTCAATGGTTGCAATAGACCTTACAATAATTTCGAAATGGTCCAAGATAAAGAGTGGCAATATGAACTTAACCTTTGCTTTACAGGGTGGGAAATAAAAAAAGATGTTTGGTTTCCAGATAACACCAGTTGTAGATTCAAGCTAATCAATGATGAGTTAGAAATTCATTCAATTGCATATCAAATGCATAAAGATGGTGAAACTATTGTACAGATGGCCGATGGATCTCAAGAATGGAATGATTTAAAAATAAAATATATGATGATCGAATTCAACTATAATATTAACTGGGGCCACGTCGGTGTACACTATATAGTTGAAATGTTTAACATGGCTTTCTACAGAAATATAGTTCACAACCCCATCAAGAATTTATTATATCCACATTTTGATGGTGTAATATTTAACAATTGGTTGGTTGTAAGACCCATGATTGACGGTGTAGTCACTTTAGCAGCAGCATTCACATATGAGGGTCAAGTTCAGATGCTTAGGGATAAATTCAAAGAAGTCACTTACAAATGGGAACCAACATCTCTTCCAGAGAATATCAAAAACAATGTATATGATCCAGCCAATCAAGCTATATGGAATGGAATAAAGGAATATGTTGAAGATTTCTTTTTACATAACCAAAATGAAATTTTAAAATACTGGGGGGAAATTGAAAAAGTTAGTGATGATTTAAAGGAACATAGTTTGAATCCTGATAACAATCAAGTTGAAATTAAAACCATTCAAGATTTACAACAGTGTTCAGTTTATATTATTTATCAAGCAGTATTTCAACATGCATGGATCCATTGGAAAGCATGGGATGAAGAAGCAGAAGCCGTAATTTTCAACAAGGGTGGAGAAACATCACTAAAAAATATTAAATACTATCAAAACTTGGGTAATGCAATCGAAGCTGGTGTACAATATCCATCACCATATGTAAGACAGTATCCAATTTTAGATAGTGAATTTGGTGGGCCCGAATTACTTCAAAAGAAAATATGGGAAAATGCTCATAAAATAAATCCTGGCATTTCAATTGGTTCTTTAGTTATGTCACCAAATATTTAAATAACATATATATCTTAAATATTAAAAAATAATAATTAATAAATAATAATTAATAATTATTAAAAAATATTAAATAAAAAATACCTTCTCTTAATCTAAATCTTTTTATAGGTGTTTTTAATAACAACACTTTGTGGGGTTAAAAAAAAAAAATTTAATATATTTTTTTAATTTTTTTTTTGTTGGGTTAAAAATTTTTTAAATTTTATTATATTGTTATAATGGATACATGTAATATAGAAAGTATAAGAAATTTAATAAAAGGTGATGTTTTATTTAGAAATTCTGAAGGATATAAGGAGAGTGTAAATAGTAGATGGAATATTGATGGCTTGAACTATCCATTAATAATTGTAAACCCCATCTGTGATGAGGATATTAAAAATTCAATTTTGTTTTCAAAAAACCATAATTTAATTTTTACAGTAAGAGCAGGTGGTCATTCATTAAAAAGTGTAAGTTTTTTTGTTATTTTAATATACCCTGTTTATCATATTAATTTTATTTTAGGATAATGTAGATGGGTTATTACTAGATTTAAAGTATTATAAAAACATTAAAGTGGATGAAAATAATAAAATATTAACTGTAGGAGGTGGATGTTTATTAGGAGATGTAGATAGAGAGTCACAAAAGTTCAAATTGGTAATTCCAACGGGTCAAGCAAGTGATACTGGTTTAGCTGGTTTATGTTTAGGAGGTGGTGTAGGACACTTGACAAGGTAATTGTGCAATAATTTATTTAAAATATTATAAATCAAAATAACTAATTCTATATTATTTTTAGATCATTTGGATTAACATCAGATAATTTAATTTCAATAAATTTAATAGATTGTGATGGAAATAAAAAAATTGCAAGTAAAAATACAAATTCAGATTTATTCTGGGCATGTAAAATGGCAGGTTCAAATTTTGGAGTTGTTACAGAACTAACTTTTAAAGTTTATGATTTAGATAATATTTTATTAGGAAGTTTTATTACAGGTATAGAAAATGGAAAAGAACTGTTAAATAAAACATGTCAATTTTTAAAGGAAGAGTACTTACCCAGGGAATTATCAGTTTCAATAACCATTGATTTTAATACAGTTGTTATTTATGGTATTTATAATGGTCCAGAAAATCAAGGGAAGGTAGTAGTTGAAAAGCTTTCATCATATTTACCAAAAAAAGATTTAACCACAAACAGCATAGCCAACATAGAGTTTACAAAGCTTCAGTGTGCCTTTGATGAATATCTACCTAGAAACAAATGTTATTATAAGAGGGGTTTTTTTATATCAATAAATCCAAATGAAGAATTAATTGAATTAATCACAACTGAATTTAGTAAACATCCAACTGGAACCATATCTGCAGTTTTCACTCATTTAGGGGGAGCATTAAAAGACTTTAATGACTCACCTTTTGCCTTTAGAGATTCAAAATTTCTTATAACAATTCTATCAATAATTCCAACACCAAAAGATAAACCAATTATTTTAGAATGGACTAATCAATTATTTTCAAAGTTAAATAAATTTAAAACAGCTGACTATTCTAATGTAACTGATGAAATCTTAACATTGGATCACTATCATGGCTATAATATAGAGAAATTAAGAGATATAAAACTAATATATGACCCAAATAATTTTTTTAAAAGTAATAAAAATATAATTTTAAATAAATAAAAATATTTTTTTAAAAACTACAAATTTTATTTATAAATGTTATAATAAAATTATTATTATATTTTCTTTTATTTATATTTATTTTTTTATTTTTTGTTGCTTTTTATTTATACTGTTATTATAGAAAAAAATTAGAAAATGGAATTAGTAAATATTTTTCAAAAATGTTATCTATATTAATATTTTAACTTACTTTTTTTGTGCTACTTTGATTTGATGGAGAATATCATTATATACAGTATCTCTATCTAAAAAACCAGAGAAATTATAAATTTTGTTTTCGTTTGTTTTAATTTGAATTGCGTTAAATATTAAAGCAACTTTAATTTTCTTTACTTCTACAATATTTAATAAAGCTACAGAAATCTTATTACCAATAGAAACACCAACTTGTCTTAAAAGATTATGAAAACCTAAATATCTACTACTAATGATTAATAAACCTAATTGGCCATTATATGAACAATGATACTCTGAAGTTTTTTTTAAAAAAAAAATTATATTAATATTATTTTAATAAAAAAACTAATGAATACTTTAAAGTTTTATACATACTGTCAATAATAAATTCAGTTTCAGGAATAACTTTAATTTCTGAAATATCAACATTTGTACCATCTACAACTAAAGGCTTTTCATCTACACCATTAATTTTATTTACAAATGTACGAGCCTCTTTATCAAAATCCACTCTTGTGGCTAATACTGAAATAACCAATTCTTTTGTTGGCTGTGGTTTGGAACTACTACTGCTACTTGTGCCGCTAAATGATTTCTGATTATATGTATCAATTAATGAAGTTGAATCCATTTCAGAAAGTGAAATTAACAAACGTAATGGTTGGAGTTTTTCTTCTAAAATGGGTGTTGCAATACCACTGCCTCCTCTATGGAATAATACGATTAACTCTTTAAGAACTGAATTTACAATTGCAATTTGATCAAAATTTAAAATTACAATGTTTGCTTTATGGAATGGTAATATTTTTTCTTTTGGTCTTTGAATGAAAAGGTACTGAAGCTCCTCAACAATTTGACACCATAACTTCTTAATGAATGGTTTAAATAATTGCTCTCTAAGTTTACCATAGAGCTCTTCAATTTTTGGTGTTAAAAATTCTTTAATTTGTGATAGAATCATCTTTTCATATCTAGCATTGATTTTTGCGGGATTAACTGAGTTATTACTGTTACTTGTTGAAAGGCCTTCCATTAAAGAACCTGATGAGTTTGATTGTGAGCTTTGAATTGAAACAAATTGTGTTGGAGGTTGTTGAATTGGTGATGATATACCTGTAGTTGATGTTGGAGTGTTATTACCTGAATTATATGACGTTGATAATGAACCACCTTCTAAACCATTATTTGTAGCTACAATTTCAACCTGATCACTAGGTACAACAGGTTCAGTAAAATGACTATTCTTTAATACCAATGGTTCAGAGAATAAAATTGATGAAAAACAATAAAATAAATAATTTTTAATTCTAATCACTAAAAAATCCTCTAAATCTTGAATAGTTTGATTAATGAACTTCATTGTATCGTCTAAACAAAGCTTAAAACTATCTTCAACACACTGTTTAGTTGTACGATCCATTTGCTGAGTTTCACCTTGTTTTTTTCTTTCTTTGATGTTGTTGGAAAGATTTGTATTAATAACTTGAGATAAATGTTCCAACTTCTTTATTGATTGTTCAATGTTATTATAGATGATGCATGGTTCAACATTTAGTGTGAACAGTACTGGTCTATCACCACTTTCAATTTCGGTATGTAATATGTAATGCTCAAACTCTTTCTTTAAATCGCTAACGTAATGCACTACCTCAGATGCTATAACTTCTAATAACTGCACAAATGAGAATGAGTCTGGTAGCCACATTAATGAATCGAAATCCTTAAGAGATTGGTCGCAGGCATTAAAAAACTCTATAAAACTTGAAGAGTGGCCCAATGTAATTGAAGCCAATGTACGTTTATCATCTTTTTTAATTGAATTGGTGCAAAGTCTTGATAGATTACTTTTAATTTCTTTTAACAATTTATAGACATATGTTACAAACAATTGTTTTAATGGCATTGGTTTAAATCTTTCCATTGAAATTGATTTGGTAAAATTATGGTAATCTAAAATTCTTTTTACCAATACCAAAATATTTGGATGGTATGGAGCCCAACTACAAAAGTCTTCCATTACTGCTAAAATACATGAACCCCAGCAATCAATTAGATCGCATGTAATCTTTACATCGATTGGGAATGATCCTTCATATTTTAATGTACTGTTGACTTCCTCTTGAATAATACCAATAAGCTCTACCAACATTAACGAAATCTCTGAAATTAATTTAATCTTTGATTGTAGATCTAATTGTAAGAAACCCATGGCTGCAATATTTTCTTCAAATTTCTTTTTTTGCTCTACCATAATAGTTTTGGTTAGTAATTGGTTAAAATTGAGTTGTGGAGCCTCGCTATTATGAAAGTTGATGATCTTGATGATAAAGTGCAAAGAATTTACCAAACTTTTTAAAGCACCTCTTGGCTTATTACCTGGGAAAGACTCCATATATCTACCGACAGTATATTTAATCTGTTCCATTAATGGTAAAACCGATGAATTTATGGTTGTTATTTCACTCTTTAAAAATATATTATCGAGATCATCACCAGTAGAAATTTGATAAATACTTTCTAATACTTCTTCCAACTCTATTATATAATTCTTACTATAATTTGAAAGAGCGGTTGTAGATGAAGCTAATGAAGGCTTCATCTCTGTAGAGTATCTCTCTGACATAATAGATAGCTGAATTGCTAATGTAGTTGATTTCGATAAACCATATCTAATACTATATTGATTTAAAAGCATTTTAAATGAACCCAAAATCCAAACATCTTCTTCCTTATCATCATTTGTGGTATCATCGAATGGGTTAATAAACTTTGGTGTTGTGGATGAAGATGAATGTCTCTTTGAAGATAATGGTGAAAATTTGAATTTTGAAAGTTTAAAATCCTCTTGTCTTTCTAAAATGAAATTTAGCAATTGGGTGTACAAAGGAGCATGTAATACTGTGCATCTGTGTTGATTATTAATTGAACTTGTTGGATTATCTGCTGGATTGGTGTTATTAGAGAGTGATTCGGATGACTTTAGTACCTCTTGACGCTTTGGTACGTTAATTAAATATTTGTTATACTCTTGGAATTGATATTGATACTCAAATGAAAGATGCACTCTACCAGTACCATGAATACTTGTAATATTAAACCAATGGTCTTTGTGTAACTCCAATTGGTCTTCAAAATGATCTTTAATAGACAATTCAATAATGCCAATACACTCATCATCCTTTCCATTACCCACAGAATTCATTACTAGAATTTCTAATTTCGATCTTGGTTTTTTAATTTTAATTATAAATGATTCTGACCAAATTGGATCGGTTTCTTGCATAATAGTTGTAGTTTTAACTAACTTTTCACCACTTGACAAAACTAAATAACAGTTGACACCTTGTTGATTACTATTTAATTTTAAATTCTCTGCCTCTAAAACATTAATAAAAAGGAACCCGATGAAATCCTCTTTGAAAATTACTGAACGCATAACCCTAGTTAAATTATTAATTTCTATAGACTTCCAAGTTTCGTATAATTCTTTTTTTTCAAATGTAAATTCACTATAATAAGGATTTGCATCTAATAAAAGTGATTCCATTCTGCTCTTCAATTCTACCAATATTCCTTCATCTCTGTATGATGAATTAATTAATAGATTCTTTGTGATTGTTCTGGCTTCTATATCGTCAATATTTAATTTTTGTTGCAATTTATCTAAAAAATCTTGTGGATTTTCGATGTCTTGTGGCTTCATTAATGGCAATGAATTACTGAAACAACATTGTACCAATTCATACAATAAATTCTAAAAAGAAAAAAAATTTAAAAATTTAAAATAAAAATATTAATATTTAAAATAATTTTAGTATTTTTTAAAAAAAAAACAACTTACTCTATCATTTTTATCAAAATATTTAAATTTATCGATAAATGATTTGAATGGTGGAATCTTAACAACCTGAATTAAAGAATTTGATTTTGTAATATTATAATCTCTTAAAGTTTTCTCTTTTTGTAAAACTATACCCCTCTCTGAATTTTTTGGTAAATAAAAGTAATATTCTTCTGCATAAATTTTATGTGAATTATAATTTGAAACTTCTCTATAGATATCTGAAATTTTGGTGTCGACTGATAATATTAATTTAATTGTTTTTAATTTATCTTCTACCAATTCAAAAATTAAATTGATTTCTTTAACTGGTATCTGTTTTTTGAAATATAATAACTCAGATGATGTAGTTGCTGGTGAGGTTAATGATGAGCTGAAGTAACTTGATAGGACTTTTTCATTTTCTAAAATATAAAATTTCTTTTCACCTCCGGTCGATGACAATGATGGTGATGAATTAATTTGATTAGATTTGACTCCACGGTGGCTTAAAGTTACTGATCTAGTTGGTATTATCATATCTTTATTGTTTATGTTGTTTATTATATTATTAATACTGCCTCTATCCGATGATAGCTGCGGTGATGGTGGCGCTTTTGAATTATTATCTGTACCATTATTGTTATTATTACTATTTATATCTATTAATTGATCTATGGAGTACATTATTCTTTTACTTGATCTTTTTGATTTTTTATTTTTGGATTTTGCTAATATATATTGCTGTTGGTCTTCATAAGATAAATTTGAATTTGTGAATAATTTTGATTTTAATTTTTCTAATAAATCTTTGACAAGTGAATCATTTGAAACTGAAATTGTGATAATGCTGGTACATCCTAAAATTTGATAATCTTCAATTTCAATTGAAATTTTAATATTTGTCGATGCTGTTGTTGGTAAAAAACTATCCTTTGTATCTGGATTAGTTGGAGTACCTCTTGATGGTGATGAATTCAATTGGTTTGGTGATGGCGCTTGTAAACTAATTGATAACGATCTTTTTTTAGTGCCACTACCTGCTAAATTTGTAGGATTTGCTGAAGATGATGACTGTGATGATTTGGGTAAAGGTGATAAATTTCTAACCAATTGCTGTTGATTTAATGGATTATTACTACTATGTTGGTGATGACCATTATTTATCATTGATATTTCTTCGTCCTCCTCCTCATTTAGAACACTAGTTGATAATGATGAAAGATTTGATTCATCGTCGTTACTATCATCATCCTCCTCGATATCATTTGCATTATTGCCGCCACCATTAAGTGTCCATTGGCTGGTTAAAACCTTGTAAGCTTTTGATCTGTGGATAAAAGATGCAAATACATATTTCTTTTTCCCTGTTCTGATTTGAATTGCATTTGGTAAATAAAAGGAGCCAATTTTTTTCTTTATACTCTTGATGTCTTTAAAACTAATTAAAAGTTTCTTATTTTTAGCTAGATGGGATGGACTACGAAAACCAATGTAACCCTGTGTAATATACATTGTACCAGAGTGTGACATACCAACCATTTTCTTTGCTTGCTTTGTACAATAACACTCTGAAATAACTTGCTCATTATGTGGTAATTCAGGAAACCATCTAAACATCAGTGGTAGTGACTTCATAGTAGTTGAATCATTTTCGGGCACTAATTCGAAATTTAATATAATACACATTACCTTTTCTTCATTTTCTTCATCCTTATTATTACTCGAGCTTTTATTACTACTATTACTTGTATTTAAATCGTTTTGTTGTTGTTTTTTATTTTTTAAAATGATTACCTTATCTAATGATGATGGTGCTAAAGTTGGTGTTGGTGATGGTGGTTTCTCATCAAAACCTTCTAAATATATTTTTTGATGATTGCTGTGGTTTGCTGGGTTAACACCATTTGCTATATTGGTTCTAATCTCTGCTGTAATAGGTGCTAAAGGTACAGTCGCAAAAGCAAATGATTCGCCACTAGATAACATTTCCCATGTTTCTACCATAATTTCCATTTCACCTGCTGGATAAACCTCTTCATTAACCTCAAATATAAATGTCTCTTTTTGAAATACTACATCTTCTCCACCATTAACATATTTAGTTTTATATTTACTACCATGTAATTTTAATTTTACTAATACCCATTGTTTCTTTTTTTTTAAATATTTCCCGCTTGTAACTATGTTTTAAAATTTCAAAATGAAACAATATAAAAAATAAAAAATAAAAAATTAATAAAAATATAAAAAAATGAAAATAAAAAATATGTATTTTTAAAATTATTTATTTTATAAAAAAAAATATCTTACCTGAAACTAAAAGTCTTTCTTTCATTTTAGTTAATTATTTTTAGAGAAAAAAATAAAATAAAATAAAAAAAAAAAAGCAATATTGTGGTTTATTTTAATATTTGTTTGTTGTTTGTTTTGTTTGTTTTGTTTGTTTTGTTTGTTTAATTAATTAAATTTTATTATTATAATTAAAATAAATAAAAATATTGTTAGGGGGAAAATGAAGGTAAAAAAAATAAAATAAAAATACAATTATAATTTATGTGTATGTATGGGTGGGGTGGTAAATATTTATTTTTGTTTTTATTTTTGTATGTACAAACAAATCAAAAAAAAAAAAAAAAAGAAAAAAAAACCAAGATTTCTTTGGATTGGATTTATATGAACCAATATTTATAAAAAAAAAATTTAAAATTAACTTTTTTTTTTTTTTTTTTTTTAATTTTTTTTAATTTTTTTTTTTTTGGGTTAAAAAGTTTTATTCATTATCTGAAATAATTTGAAAATATTGTGATATGGTGATGAATTTGCATTTATTTTTCGTTTTTTCATTCAAAAGAAAAATATTTTCCTTATAATAAAATAATAAAAATAGTAAATTCATAAATTGTTTATACTATAAATGATTATTTGTATAAAATATAATAAATAAATAAACACACACATTATTTTTTAATTTTTTAAAACACACCACCACACTTCCATAGTAAAAATGGTTCATTTAAAGTTTACTTTTATAGATGATTTAGATTATTTTTAATTTTTTTTTTTTTATAATAAAATTTATTTATTTATTATATATATTTATTTTATTTATTTATTTATTTATTTTTTTTTTTTATTTATTTATTTTATTTAATAGCTATTTTAAATAAATAAATATTTTATTTTTTAAAATTAAAAAAAAAAAAAAATTATTAGTAACCTTAATTATTTATATAATAATGTATATATTTATATATATTCTAAAAATATATATATATTTATAGAATAATAGTTTTAAAATGGTCGAATTTATTAGTTCAATGTTCGATTTTAGGGAATATGAAGGGTTTGATGAAATAGAAAAAGTACAGTTTCAGTTAAAGTGGATTTTAACCTCAATGATGATTATACGATTACCAATGTGTTTTATATCATTGGTCATAATTGTTGATACCGCAATAGAGTTTTTTACAATATTCATAGGTTTTTTAGGAATTTCTTATTTAAAAAAAGTTTTTTTAGTTTCGGTTTGTATAATAATAGAAAATGCAATATAATTAATATTTAAATACTAATATTGCTTTTTTATCAGTATTGCACATTATCAGAAATCAGTTTTTTTTTGTCATCATATGGAATATGCAGCTTTCTCAGTGATGCTCACCCAAATGATATCATTGTTATTATCAAAGTTGGAGGTGGTTTAAAGATTTTTTTCGTAGTAATATTTATTTTATGGAGTTTATTAATGGTAATTATTAGATATTTATAATATTTAAAATAATATTAAAAATTAAAATTTTAATTTCTTTTCTTTTTATTTTTAATATAGTTTTATAGTATCAAGTTAATATTAGATTTATTTCAAACTTCAGAATCAAAACCATTACTATTTAGTTTTAGTGCTTCTTCTGAAAGGTTTGATCCAAATAGCTCCCCTTCTTCCGAGAATAGAATGGTTTAGTACTATTATAATTCAGTATCATCTCATTACCTCATCATTAATATTATCAACACAAACATATTCTTTCATAAGATATTTATGAAAGTAGTCACAATAAATAATATATGATAATTAATTAATAAAACAAAATTTGTTTTTTATGTTAAATATTAATATATAAAATATTTTAAAAAATAATAAAAAAAAAAAGTATTATTGTTAATTAATTATTAAAGGTTTATATATTGTTTATTTTACAAAAAAGGTTTTTATGATGTCTGTTTTTCATTGTATATATTTGAGTAAGTTTATTCTTTAGTTACTTGATCTTGTACTATATTGCTATTGGTATTTGGTTGTGCTTGATTTCTTAATTGTTTAAAAAACTCGGTTGTGTTGTGTACTTTGATTGGTTCGAATTTAGGAATATTATTATTTTGATCTTGTGAGTTTTTAATTTGTTGTAAAATATCTTCTTCTTTTTGCTATAGAATAAAATAGGCAATAATTAATGTTAATATTAGTTTTTTTATATTGTATAGTAATAATCTTTTTACTTACAATGTGTGATAATACCCATTTTAATGGGTTTGATTTACCAGTTAAAGTTGAAATATGCTTATCAGCTTGGTTTAATCTATCTTCTAATACTGTAATGTTTTTATTAATGTTACCTGATAACTCTGCTAATTTGTCAATGATTGGAAATAATTGTTGAACCTCTTGAGTTTTTTCGAGTAATAATGGTATTAATTTTGATTCTGTTTTATCTGAATCGGTTTGAATCTAAATAGAAACCATAGTTATTAATATTAATTTATTATTATATTTATAATAAATAAAGGTTATATTATGCTATTTACAGTTTCAACAAATGCACCAAATTCGTCAATTCTTGCCAACATATATTCAATGGTATCATCTATATTTTTAGCTTGTTCATTGGTACTTTGTGAATATCCTAAATAATGTGAGTATCCTTCTGCTACAGTTTTGACTAATAAATCATTATCCTCTGGTGTATTTAGTAATGGATTGGCATTTAAGTTACCAAATAAACCACTATTATTATTTATTGGTGATGCCATATTTATATTATTTGTATTGTTATCTGTATTGTTTGTGGTTGTAGTTGTAGTTGTAGTTGTAGTTGTGGTTGTGGTTGTATTTTCTACAGCATCAATATCAGCAGTGGCGGTTGCTTCTGACATTTTGTTTTTTTTTTTTTTTTTGTTTTTTTTAAAATTATTTGAAATATTTATTAAAAAAAGTTATTTATAAAACACCCCAGTTGAAACACCCCTTTTATTAAAACAAATAGCTATTTGTGTTTATAAAAAGATTAAAAAAAAAAATTATAAAAAATTATAAAAAAAAAAAAATTTTATTAATATTTAATTATTTTTTTTTTATTTTTTTTTAAATTTTTTTTTATATTTTTTTTAATTTTTACTTTTCTTTTTTTTTTTTTTTTTCGTTTTCATTTTCATATTATTTTTAATTCATTATTGGTAAATATTATAATAATCATTTGATCAATTAATCATTAGCATTGATTGTTAAGGAAAATAAAAAAAAGATTTGTGTTGGAAATTTCTAATTTATATAGTATATTTTTATAGATCCAAAATGAGACACGTATCAGCTCTTAAAAAACTCTGTAGATTTTGTCAAACCATCAGAAGAGGTAAAAATGTTTTTGTTTACTGTAAAGTCAACGCAAGACATAAGCAAAAACAAGGTTGGGTAAGTTCATATTACTATTGTTATTATTTAAATAATAGTAAAACTTTAATTTAAATTTAAAATAAACTGATAAAACGTAAAATACTAACCAATATTTATAATTCTACAGATTCAATAAATTATATAGCCAATAAACCAATACAATAAAATATAATTAAATACAACAAATTCATACAACTAAATATAACAACATAATGCAAATAAAATATTTTTTATTTTAAATTTTTTAAATGATTTATTTATGATTAATTTTATTTATTACCAATAAATTTAATTTTAATTTTAATTGATTTTAATTTAAATTTAAATTTAAATTTAAAATTTTAAAACGAATCACCCAAATTTATTAATATTGTAAAAACTATTTATTGTGGGGGTTCAAATTATTTTTTTTTTTTTTTTTTTCTTATTTTGAAATATCCAAATCGGATAAATTTAAATTTTAAACAAAAAACAAAATAGTTATATTGATTTAAATTAATTTATAAATTTTGTATAGTTTTTATTTTTATTATTATTTTTATTAAAAAAAAAGAAATTTAAATTAAATAGATAAATATGGGAGGAAAAGAACATTATCATGGTGAAGTGCATGAGGAACCATCGCAAATTGCAACGGAATATCCACCACCTTTTGACCCACCTCTCTCACAAGAAATGGGTATGAATGTATCAAATGTTAATACATTAGATATCAAACCAAAATTCCGTGAAATACCAGTTGATTGTCAGTGTAGTTATTGTCATAAATATATTACAACTACGACATTTTTTAAAACTGGAACATTAACATGGATCTTTTGTTTGGTCTTTATTTTTCTTGGTTGTTGGCTAGGATGCTGCCTAATTCCAGTAAGTTATATTGCCATTTGATTTTAATATTCTTTTTTTTTAATACTAACTATTTCAAAAGTTTGCATGTGATAGTCTAAAGGATGTAGTTCACCAATGCCCCAATTGTCATAACAAGTAAGATTAAACCCATTAATACTATAATAAGAGAACTAACTAATTTGCTAATATTATTTATTATTACTATTTTAGGTTATATAGATATGATCGTTTAAAAAAATAAAATAAATAAAAGAATAATTATATATTTGTTAATTTTATTCTATTTTTAATTATATCATTTATTTGAGTATGGGGGTTAACCCTTTTTAAATGAAAATAACATTGAGACATAAAAGGATTCAAATAAACACAATCAAATAAAATTAATTTTTTTAATTAAAATAATTAAAAATAAATAAAAATAAATTTTTTGGAAAAAAAAATAAAAAATAAAAAAAAAATAAAATTTTAAAAAAAACGAAAAATTTTTTTTTTTTTTTTTTTTCTTTCTCTTTTTTTCTTTTATTTAAACTCAATAATTGTCAAAGCTACAGGAGATACCACTCTTGTAATTATATTTTTAAATAAAAAACATGACAACTATAGGAGAATTATTTCCAGGGTTACGTGAAAATTCTTCATCAGAGACCAACAGAAGACTCTATGCAGTATTAGTAGCCGTAACTGATTTAATTCGTTTTAATAAAGCACCAATCAATGCAACATCATATTTTGCAATTATTTTGAAAACTCTTTCAGAAAATCAATATAAGAAATCCCAAATTCATGATTTAGTTAAATTATTTTCAATCATTTTACCAAGGTATTAATATATAAATTGTAAAAATAAAAAAAACCGGATTTATACTAATGATATTATTTTTTTTATTTTTAATTTTTTTAGAGTTTCAAATCCAGTTATCAAAAATCATTCAGTTAATGTTATATTACAAATGACAGCATTATTAGAACATTATGTTAGTAATGATACAGCATTACATGCAAATATTGCAAGTGAAGAACAACAATTAATTAAATCAGCTGTATATTGTTTAGGATATGTATTGGTTTTAGCAGAAAGTAATCAATGGCAAACTAAAGAATATTTAAGAGGTTATTCATTTATACTTAAATTAGCAGTCAACAATACACAATCTAAAATTCGTCAAAAATCAGCAGAACAAGTTATTTTAGTTTTAAACAGTATTGGAGCTATTCAAAAAGGTGGTTCAATTCATAAACAATTAGCAACTGTTACAAGTCAATTTTGTCATGAAGTTTTTAATGGACTTACTTTAGAAACTATGGGTATTGCTTTTTACACTTTAAATATCGTTACTGAAGCCCTTTGTTTATTATCTCCATCTTTAATCTCACTCTTATTAGAAGATATGATCAAATTAACCTCTCTCTCAAACTCTGCTCTCACTGTTGCTTGTTACAAAGCAATTGGATCATTATTCTTTAAAACCAATCCATTAATTGGTTCTCAAATTCAACAATTAATTGATGTCTTATTCCAACATCCACCAACTGGTTTAGATTATAGATCAATGGTCACCTATACAGAATTATTAACTCAATCTTATTTATATTTTACAAAGTAAGTATATCTATTTAAATGTATAGTTAAAAATTAATAATAGTTTATTAATAATTCATTAAATTTTTTTTTTTAAAAATAGAATCGATCAAAAATTATGTAATCAACATGTTCATAATTATTTCATAGTTTTAATGAATAACTTTGGTTCAGATAAATCAGAAATTACAAATACAACTATGGAAGGTTTTAAAACTATTATTTTTGAATGTGTTAATAAAGATGTTATTGAACAGGGTATTCACTCATATCAACAAAAATTAAATGGTTCAAAGAGTGCTATTAAATCTTCATTGGAATCAATTGTCGAAACTATTGAAAGTGGTTTAAGATTAACATTCAAATCATCATGGGATTTAGTTTTATTAATTATTCAAGCTCTCTACGAACAATTGGGTCCATATTCTTCAATTATTTTAAATAACTTATTAGTTGGTTTAGATAATCTCTATCACTCACCAGAATTCCATCACCAATCACATTTAACTCAAGTTTTAATTACAGTTTTAGGTTCAATTGGTCCAAAGAACTTTTTAAATATTTTACCATTAAATTTAGATTCACCACCAAAAAAGTATGTATATCCCATAGTTAAAATTTAAATATATAAAATTTTAATATTTTTTTTATTTAAAATTTATAGTAAAGAAAAAATTAATAGAAATTGGTTATTACCATTAATGAGAGATAATATTAAATACACTCAATTATCATTCTTTATTGAATATTTCTACCCAATGGCCTTAGCAATGAAAGATAGATCAAAACAAGCAGAGACTGAAGGTAAATATGTTGAAGCTAGAAATTTAGAAATTTTATATTCTCAAGTTTGGGATCTTTTACCAGGTTTCTTAAATCATCCATTAGATGGTGATCAATCATTCAAAGTAATTGCTCGTAATATTGGTGTCGCCCTTAGTGATGAATTGGGTCTCCGTACTGTAATTTGCGTTGCTTTAACCCAGTTTATTAACAAATTAAAAGAATCACAACAAACTAAAGTTAGTCCATACATTCCATACAGAAAAACTCATCATACAATGTCCCCAGAAAGAGCTACTCAAATCTTAAATTCAGTTTCAGTTTTCTCTAAAAACTATTTACCAATTCTCTTTAATATTTTCCCAACATCAAATCAAGATCAACGTTATTTTGTTCTCAATGCCATTGAAGCTTTTGTTTCAATTACCGATAGTGTCACACTCAATAGTATTTTCAATTCATTAATTACCAAATTAGTTGAAGCTTTAACTGTTGAAGGTATCGAAAAGAAACCATTAAGCAAGGATGCCATGAGCGAGGATAGCGGAAAAGCTTCAAAGAAAGAAAAAACAAAGAAATATTATCTTACCGATTTAACCATTGGTTTTGTTAAACATTTAGATGAAAACAACCTTAAAGTACTTTACAAGATTATTAAACCACAATTAAAATGCTCTGATTCAGGTCTTCAAAAGAGATCCTTCAAGATTTTAGTCAAGATTTGTGAACACCACGAAAGCTTTATCCTTCAAAATTTAAATAAAATCAAAGCTTTACTCGTTAGCAACTTAATGCAATCAACATCAAATGTAAAGAAAGCTCGTTTAAAGTGTCTCAGAGAAATCATCCTATCATTATCCAAAGCTTCCAATAAAAAAGATCTCAACGATGACCAAGATGACCAAGACTTTGATGGTGAACAAGACGATAAATCAAATGAAAACAAACCAGTTAAATTAAAAGCAGGTTGGACCCACTTAAAGACCAAATTCATTCCATCATTAATCCCAGAAATCATTTTATGTACAAAAGAAACCAATATTAAATGTAGAGAAATTTCAAATGAATTACTCATTGAAATTGGTAATATTATGTGTATAATCTCTGTCAAGTTAACACCACCAAAAAGAGGTGTTTCAATGGAAGATCACATTGCCAATGCTCACAGTCAAGCCATTCAAGAATACCTTCAATTAATGATTGCTGGTTTAGCTTCTATCACTCCACATATGGTTTCAGCTTCAATCGTTTCAATTGCTAGAGTTATTCACCATTTCTATAAAGATTTAAATGATGAATTTGTAGGTCAAATCGTTACTACATCACTTGTACTTTTAGCATCACCAAATAGAGAGATTGTTAAAGCTGTTTTTGGTTTAGTTCGTGTTGTTATCGCTTCATTCAAAGATGCCAAAGTCATCGAATCAAACTTGGAAGTACTCATCAATGGTCTTGCTAAATGGGGTGGTATCGATAAGAATTACTTTAGAGTTATCATTCAAATCCTTTTAGAACGTTTAATTAAAAGATTCGGTTATGATCAAATCTACCCATTAGTACCAGAAGACTTTAAGAAAGTAATTACCAATATTCGTAAAAAGAATGAAAAGAAAGAAAAACTTAGAGAACAACTTAAAGATTTACAACAACAAACTCAAGATGCATCAAGCGATACTAAATCACAAAAAGGTAAATCTGTTAAGGGTGCTAATGACGATGATGAACAAATGTTAGCCAGTGATGAAGATATGGCCGATTCAGATAGAGACCATAGTGAAGATGATGCTGATATCGAAGATTTCCTTTTCAACACTAAAAAGAAGAAGAAGAATGATCAATCAGATAACTTCCTCATTAAAGAAGGTGAAGACCCAATTGATTTCTTTGATAGAAATGCATTCTCTCATCTCAGCGCCAAAGCTGCCGCCAACGCCGTCGCTGAAAAATTATTTGCTCAAGCTGCTAAAAACGGAGGTAAAATTAAAAATCCATTCTCATTAGATGAAGACGGTCGTATGATCATTGAAGCTAGTGATGAAGAAGGTGAAGATGGTAAAAGAAAGAGAAAGAAGTCTTTCCTCGATCAAGTTTTCGAAGAACAAGAAGAAGCTTATGAAAGAAAAGCTGGTTATCATGCTACCAAAAATAAATCACTCCGTAAACAATTTAACAATAATAATGACGATGATGATGACTCTGATGACGAAGATCTCGAAAGATACAATGACGATCTCAAATCAAACTTCTCAAAGAGAACCTCCAAAACTACCAAAACTACTAGAACCACTGGTGCCAGATCTGTTGCCCTTACAAATAAAACAGTTGGTGGTAAAAAAATTAATGACGCTCGTATTGAAACCGCTACTCTCCGTTATAATAGAGTTAGAGGTGTTGATCATTTAGTAAACTATCAAGATAAAGAATCAAAGACTATGGTAAGAACCAATGTTTCAAAAACAAAAGGACAAGGTGATAATCGTAAAAATAATCAAAAATATGAGCCATTCTCTTATATTAAATTGGATCCAAGAGCTTTAAATAAGAGAAGAGGTTCAAAACCATCATCTATAGCTTCATTAGTTTCAAAGAAAAAAAAATAAATCCAAAAAATAAATAAAAATAAAATAAAATATATTTATATAAATATAATTGAATTCCTTTTTAGAGTATAAATTACTTTATTCATATTGACTAATTATAAAACCATTATAATTAATCTGCATGAATATGTAATTTTTGTTTGTGTATAATTCAAAACTTCTTTTATTTCTTTTAATTATTGATATAGTCTTTATCCTGATTAATGATGGGGTTAAATATTTATGGAAAATTAAATTATTAATTCATTGTATAAAATACTTTCTTAGAAAAAATAGATAAAAAAAAATAAAAAAAAAAATAAAAAAAAATTTTAAAAAAAATTTTTAAAAAAAAAAAAAATTTAAATTTTATTTATTTTAATTTTCACAACAAATGCATTTTATAAAAAAAGATAATTAATAAAAATAGATAGATAAATAATTGTATATATAACAATATGACATACCTAGAAAATATAAAAAGGTATTTAAGTTTGGGAAACGATGATGATGATTCAAGCAGGAAAAAACCTTTAATTGATATGGTGAATACTCAAAATGAAGAGATAACTGGCGATATAATCGAAAATATATTTTTACTTGTAAATGTAACGAATCAAATTAGATTACTATAAAACTCAACAAAAGGAATTCTTTTATTAATACCAATTTATATTTTAGAAAGGTTTAAAGAATAATAATAATAAAATGCTCGAAAAACAGCTTGTGTGGATATTACTAGAGAAAATAAAAAAGCAGATAGATTTTTTAAACGATGGTAGACTATCAGGACTATTTCTAAGAAAGTTTACAGAGGATGATTGTTATATAAAAGAATTCCTTCCATTTATAAATTCAATAAAAAAGGATAAAACAATACCCTATTCAACCTCAATTGTAGATAATATTTTGACACCATCAGTCGATTACCTTACTCAGAAATCATTATTTTCATATGTCAATTTTTATATATCATTTATAAATTTCAAAAATAAAAAGAGACAAGAGAGAACTACCATCGATGTGGATTCAAGCTCACAAGCAGCCCCACCGTTAGATTTCAAAGAACTTTTCACCTCTTTAGATTCATTTTATGCAAAAATTTTGGATTTCTTAAAGTCAGATCTACTGGTTGAAAGATTAGGAAATGGTGAAAAGGATAAAGATGAGGCTTTTATAGACTTTACCCACGAACTATTCAATATCTATTTACTTGGCTCCAGAGATATTATACCATCCCTATTAAATATTACCCCAGTATTTAAAAACATAATCATCAATCATTTGGTACCAACTAATAAACAAAACAAATTAAATTATTCAAGAGTCTACGAAGATGCATTAAATAAATATAATGATACCTTTAACCATGTAATAAGAGAATTAAAAAATGTAAGTATTTGTATAATCCATAATCAATGAGAAATATTTTTATAAACCAATATTAATGTTGCATTATTACAGGATGGAAAAATATCAACTAAAAACTCAAAACTATTTAAATTTTTTTCAAGCTCAGTTCAATTTTTTATTCAAAATTTTTCACCAATTTTTAGCTCTTCTCAATATAACAACACAATCAAAGTATTTATAGAAATGGCAAAGTATGTATTGTAACAGTTTCTACATAAACTCATTTTGACATAAACTAACAAAAAAACTTTCTTTTTCTATTCAGTCAATTAACACCCAATAAAGAACTTGATGAACAAAATAAATTTCTTCAAAGTGAAATACAACCAATATTCGAAAAAAATATAGAATCGTTTTTACTAGCAAATACAAATGATATAGCATGGTTAAAAAAACTTATAGATTCAATTTTTAGCAACCTTGTAAATAGTAATGATGATAAAAATAGCATCAACAGGACCAATCAACATTTAAAAATATTTAAAACCATAACGTTATTATTCAAAAATTCAAAACTTTTAAATGGATCTCATTATAGCAACGAACAACAACTATCATCAACTTTGGTATTATTATTCAAAAGCAGTATTACTTTATTGGAAAACTGTTATTATGAAATATTTCAACTGCCCACCACCCAACTGGGTATCATAGAAGCCTTTAAATCATTTGTACTACAGTCATCAGTTACTAGAAACAGCGAATTCTTTAATCAACTGGTATTATTAATTTTTTATTCAAATAGTATCATTCAAAGTTTTCTAATTAACATATGGTATACAATTATTAAAAACTCTACCGAATCTTTTCAGAATTGGAATTTAAAATTTATAATTAAACTTGTAAGATATCCTTTAAAATTAATAATTATACCTCACCCACACATTCTAATAACAATAAAACTTTAACATTACTTTTAGGTTTTAAATTTTAATGACAAATATGAAGTTTCAGATTTCTTGGATAAGATATCGATTCTTTTAAAAAGAGTATTTACTTTATTAAGCAGCGAACAACAAAAAATTGTCTATAGATATTTAGTATTGGATGTTTTAAAAAATCTCAATCAAAATGAAATTCAAGATAACTCTAAACTTTTACCAAATTCAATTGCCATCTTCTTTTTCATTATCGATAATGGTAATATAGTAATCGATTACGAATTGAAGAATGAAATTCAGTCAACCCTAGCCCCATTTTTAATTACAAAATTAAATCAAGAAAACATATTATCATTCCCGAATTTAATGGTAAATATTAATAAAAATATAAAAAAAAATGCAAACCAATACTTATATATATCTCTTAAATTCTATAGGAAAATTTATTATTTATTATAAGCAAAATCAAATATAAATTAAAATCAAAGGATACAGTTTTAATAAATAATATTTCAATTTCAATTTTAAACTCGATTGTGCAATCAAAAGAACTATGCAAATTATTTGAAAATACTTTTGTAGTGCCATATTGTTTGGATATTATAGGTGTAAACTGTGAATATTTATCCATGGATCAATTGAATAAAGTACTTTCAATCTGCTCAAGTATAGTTTCAGCTCAGCCTACGACAACAAAATATCCAATATGTACATTAATCGGTAGAATTGGTCAATCAAATACCTGCAATAAACACCTGATAAAACTAGACCATGGTTCAGTAATTCAATGCCTCAAAAACATTTACCAAAATCTTTTTAACTCTGCATCGCTGACCCTTTATTTAAATATTGAAGAGTCACTAAAAAGCTTTATAACACCCACAACAACACCATTTTCAAATAATACAAATATAATCCTCAATGATAATGGAGATATGGAAATGCAAGAACTGCACTCATCACAGCAAGAAAACTTTATTAAAATGTATTTGGATCAAATTATACCAAAAGAAGAAAAGAAAAGAATTGAAGATTTCTTAAATTCAAAACCACAAACCTACTCTACAATACCATTGAATGACAAACGTTTCATTGAAGAAATTAATGAAATTCAAAAATTTGACCATTTTAGAAAGAGTAATTTAAGAGAAAGATATAATATTTTAGATTGCCAAAAAATAAAAATCAATCAAATTTTACCAATTAACAAACCGTCATCACCATTATCATCACCAACATTAACATCATCAAATGGTAAACTAATGCTCTCATCGAATGGTAAATTAACAAGCTCAACCCCACCCAAAGGTTTCAGCAAAGATGAATGCAACTATGGTTTAGAACTAGTCAGAGAAGGTATTTCGAGGATAAAGAAACAAATAGAATTTGGTATAAGAATGGACAAAGACACTCTTGATAACTATAGAAGAAATGTTAAACAAACTGCTGATCAAATTATAGAACTACACGATAACTTGTTTTATATAAAATAAAATAAATAAAAATAAAAAACAAATTAAAAAAATATAAAGTAAAATATAAATACTGTAGTGTCATAATCAAATCTCAACTAAAAAATAAATTAACTTTTTTATTTTATTTATAATAAAAAAACATTATTTATTTTTAATTATCTTTTATTATATTATTTATTTTATTATATAATTCATCTTTTGTAATTGATTCACTTTCTAAATCGATTTCAATTGACTTATTTCTGGACTTTGAACCTTTTGAAACTTGTATATTACTTTTTCTAAGCCCCAATTCTTTTGATAAAAATTCAACAACCCCTTTATTGGCTTGCCCATCTATTGGTGGTTCTGATATTCTTAAAGATAAAATTTCATTTTCGAAAGATATTATTTGATTTTCTTTTGAATTTGGATGGACATTAATGTTTAATTTTAATATTGGTAAATTGATGGGTTGTTTTTGTGATGGTTGCTGTTGTTGCTGTTGTTGCTTTTCTTTTTTTGACATTTTATTTTTACTTGAATAATATCTATTTACTGATATTGGTTTTAATACTAATATTCTTTTTAACATTCTATCATTTTTTTTATTAATTTAGTGAATATAATTTGATCATTATTGTGTTTAATAAAATATTTTTAAAATAATTTGAAAAAAAAAAAATGAAAATTAAAAAAATTAATTTTTTTATTTTATTTTTTTTGGACTGAAAAAATAAAACCGAAAAATATAAAGTCCTGTATATTTATACAAAATAACAATTTATTTATAACTATTTATAAAAAAAAATAAAAAATAAAAAAAAAAAAAACTATTTCATTGTAAAAAAAATAGAATTTAAATAATAAATTAACTGAAAAAAAAAAAATCGTGCATTTGAAAAAAAAAAAAAAAAAAAAAAAAATTTTTTAAAAATTTATAAATTTTTAATAAAATAAAAAAAAAAAAATTTCATTTCTCTTAAAATATAATTTTAAAGAAAACTATATATATATAAATAAAAAATGGTAAAATAAATAAATATTAGATCCGATTTAAACAATATATATTAGATTTACTAATAATATTTTAAAATTTTATATAGTCAATACCAAAGATTAGTGAAGTTAAAGATTTAACTAGAATTGAAAGAATTGGTGCACATTCACATATTAGAGGTTTAGGTATTGATGATTCTTTGGAACCGAGAGAGGTTTCACAAGGTATGGTTGGACAAGTTAATGCAAGAAAAGCAGCAGGTTTAATATTACAAATGATTAAAGAAGGTAAAATTGCTGGTAGAGCCATTTTAATTGGTGGTGAACCAGGTACTGGTAAAACTGCAATTGCAATGGGTATTGCACAATCATTAGGTAAAAACACTCCATTTACAGCTATAGCAGCAAGTGAAATATTTTCTTTGGAAATGAGCAAAACAGAAGCATTGACACAAGCATTCCGTAGATCTATTGGTGTTAGAATTAAAGAAGAAACTGAAATTATTCAAGGTGAAGTTGTTGATATTCAAATTGATCGTCCAGCAACTGGTAGTGGCGCAAAAGTTGGTAAACTCACATTAAAAACCACATCAATGGATGCACTTTATGATTTAGGTAGCAAAATGATAGATTCATTAACCAAAGAAAAAGTTCAAAATGGTGATATCATTCGTATCGATAAAGGAACCGGCAAAATTACCAAGCTTGGTAGATCACTTTCAAGATTAAGAGATCACGAAGTCAGTGGCAGCAAAGTTAACTTTATCGAGTGCCCAGAAGGAGAAATTCAAAAAAGAAAAACTGAAGTTCATACTGTTTCACTTCATGAAATCGATGTTATCAATAGTCGTGCTCAAGGTTTCTTTGCACTCTTTGCTGGTGATATTGGTGAAATTAAATCTGAAGTACGTGAACAAATTAATCAAAAAGTAGCTGAATGGAAAGAAGAAGGTAAAGCTGAAATTGTACCAGGTGTTTTATTCATCGATGAAGTTCACATGTTGGATATCGAATGTTTCTCTTTCTTAAATCGTGCCCTTGAAGACGATATGTCCCCAATTCTCATTATGGCAACCAACCGTGGCAATACAACTATTCGTGGAACTGATTATAAAGCCCCACATGGTATTCCTTTAGATTTACTCGATCGTCTTTTAATCATCAACACCCAACCATACACCGAAAAAGATATTTATAAAATCCTCAAAATTCGTTGCGAAGAAGAAGATGTCGATATTCAAGAAGATGCTTTACAATTACTCACTAAAATTGGTGTTGAAACTTCACTTCGTTATGCAATTCATCTCATCACCTCCTCTTCACTTGTCTCTGTCAAAAGAAAAGGTACCGATGTTTCTGTTGATGATATTAAAAAAGTTTATGATTTATTTGTCGACGTTAAAAGATCAGTTAAATATTTAAAGGATTATCAAGACGAATTTTTATATAACAGCAATATGGAAACTAATTAAATAATCATTAATAAAAAAAAAAATAAAAAAAAAATAAAAAAAATTTTAAAATTATAAAAAATAATAGTACACATTTTTTTTTTTTTATATTTATTAGTAGTATTAATAAAACTTGTTTTAATTTTTTTATTATATTTTTATAAAATTTATTTTATTTATTTAAATGGTTTCTTTTTCTGCATCTTCCAATGAGTGAAGTTGAAATTCATATGTGATATCTTTATCTTTTAATTTTTGTTCTTTTTCTGAATTTTTTTCATCTTCTTTATCTTTTTGTTCCTGTGGTTGTTTTTGTTTATTTAAATTGAAATCTACAAAATCAATAATTGAATCCAAATTTCTTGTTAAATTATATGCTATTGGGTTTAATGTTTCATTTTGTAAAAACAATGAAATATATGGATATGATTGAATATGTGATTTCATTAAAGTTGGAACACTGTTTTTTTCTACATCGTAAGAAAGGATTTGTAAATCCACACCATGCTTTTTTGATAATATAGCCGCTGCTTCCTTGTAATAGATCTCCATAGTTTTACAAAATCCACACCATGGGGCATTAAAATAAACCAATGAATTCTTATTCGACTCTAAAACTACACTTTCAAAATTATTAAATACAATCTTATTAATACTATCCGTTGATATTGTTGTAGGTGTTTCTGTAGTTGTTATATCATTTGATAATTTTTCTGAATATTTAAATGGTGATAATTTTTTATCTAGGAAATCGTTTATGAATGTCGAAATTATATTTGTTGTGAATGGATCTTCGTTTTTATTTTTTGAAATAAAAAATTCTTCCTCTTGAAAATCGATTATAACCATTGCTGGTAAATGAGTAACACCTAAACGATCACCAAAATCCCTAAAACTAATACCGTCGACATAGTAAAAGTTTATATATTCATTAAAATCTCCTGCAACTTGTAGTAGGGTGTCCAATTCTTTTGAGAATGGTCTATCGTTTAATGCTAATGTTGCTGTTGAATTATTTAAATTTAAAAATAATAAAAATGATTGTTTGATTTTATTTGATAGTACTCTGTGTACTGAATCTGGTGTTAACTCGTTCTGCAGAATAAAATAAAAAATGTTTATTAATATACATATTACTATTAAAATCAAAATATTAAATCAAAAATATACATACAATAATTGGTAAATAGTGCGCTGATAACCATCTTAGAATGGTACTTATTTTATATTCGACATTAAAGTGAAGATAGGACTTTTGAATTGGTTTAATTAAAACTATACCCTCTGAAAATGGCTCCGAGATACCAAAATGTTTGACTAACTCTTGAATTACTAGAGTATCGTTTACAAACGCAACTGGGAATTTGTATGATAATTTTTTAGAAAGCTTTTGAAAAACGACAGCGCCCTCATGGGTTGAATTTGGGAAGAGACCAACCAAACCATATGGAACAGCTCTACTAAACTTATCATACTTTTGGAAACTATCCAAATAAACACTAGCTGGAATTGTGTGTCTACGTAGGAAAGAAACCATTGTAGCCGGTTGGGAACTTGAACCTCTTGGTATAATATTACCTCCATTTCTTCTAAACAACTCCATAACTGGATAACCACCAATTGACTGTTTATCTCTAATAACTGGATATTTATGACAATTAGCTTTTGCAAACAATACCTTTAATCCCAATGATTGAACCAATCTATGTGCTTCTTCAAACTCGCTCATTAACGCCTGTGATCTGCTGCACCATGGTGCATAAAATAATACATAAACAAACTGATTCTCTTTAATAACACGATCGAAATTTTGCTCTGTTAAATCCAATATCTTACTATAATCTAATTCATAACTTGACTCTGGAGGCCATTCAAAAGGTTTCTTTGGTGCAGGTATGTTGGGGGTAGTTGTTGCGACTACTGTTTCCAATGCTGTAACTGTATTACCTGTTTGTGGGTCTTTTGTTTGCCTTGAATCCTCTTTAATATCTGCAGTTGGTGTTGATAAAGTTGTTACGGAGGGATTAGTTGATAAACCTGATGGTGTTGTATTAACTGGTGTTTGTTTTGCTTTTTCATCCTTTTCAGTACTTTCATTAACTGTTTCTTTTGACTTTTCTTCCTCAGTATCATTATCGCCACCAATACTATTTGATTTGTCACCACTCTTATAACCTTTGCAAACATTATTCTTTATATAGTCTGAAAATTGAGTTTGAACAATACTGTACTCGATTGAATTTGGTGAATAACTATCAAAATAACCTTTCAAAACCTTATTTATAACTTCTTTATGCTCTTCTTCTGATAAATCTGCATTACATAATATTTCTGTATCAATTTTAAGTTCAACAACCTGATTATCTTCATCACTATCTTCAATGTGGGTATCTATTTCATTATTATTATTATTATTATTATTATTATTATTATTATTATTATTATTATTATTATTATTATTATTATTATTATTATTATTATTATTATTATTATTATTATTATTATCGTTATTTTCACCCTGGTTTTTGTTAAAATCTAATGGTTCTTGGATTAAATCCTGTAATGTTGGTTGTTTTTTGAGATCATTAGTTTTTAAATGATCAAAATTTTCTTTTTCCTCTAATGATATCGATCTATCAATTTTATTATTATTATTTTTATTAACTATATTTTCATTTTTATTATTATTATTATCATTTTTATTATTATTATTATCATTTGATGTTGTTTCAATTTCTTGAGACAACGATATTATTAAATTACAAAGAATCAAAAATATAAAAATTATATAAACATGCTTATATTTAAAATTTATCATTATGTAAAACTATTTTATGGTGCATGTGTGTAAAAATCTATATATTATACAAATAAAAAATGAGGACTATTATTATTGATTTTAGACTATTACAACCACTTTTATTAATAGT